GACATTACTCATACAAATGAAAGTCTGATTATATTATAATTTAAATTGACTTTGACAATTATTATAATTATTATGATGTAAATGAATAATGAATTAATTTCTTGAGAAGCTATTTTAACCAATTTTGCATTGATGTATGAAATAGTATTCCCATACAATATATTTATTTAAATGTAATTTTTAAAGACATTACTCATGCAAATGAAAACCTAAGTATATTATACAATTTAAATTGACTTTAACAATTATTAGAATTAAAGTAATTATGGTGTAAAATAATTAATAATTAATTTTTTGACAAGTTATTTTAATGATTTATGTAATTTAATTTAATTTAATTTTCAAGATAGTTAAGTAGTTACTTAAATGTATAGTTAATATTGGTATTGTTGTAATAATCTATTTGTTTATAATAGCATTCTGTTACTTTCTTTCAAATTGAGAAGTCATTGCGACAGAGAGAGATAGAACAGTTCAATAGTAAATTTATTTATTCATCCAAAACAATACTAATTGTGTATGATAACATAATAGTAACATTACTGTAAATTTTCGTCAACAAATAATAGAAACTTAAGCAGTAAATCTCGTTATTCAAATAGCATAGTGCAGTAGGTCCTTATAAGTCTTTATGGTCATCTATACATCTATACATATAAATAAAATTGGAGTGTCTGTTTGTAATATTGAAATAACCGGGTTTTACATCCATATGAATATAAATACGGTACATACGCCAAAATAGCATTTTTTACAATTTTTGACTGTCTGTCTGTCTCTTTGTTCCCGCTAATCTCTAAATTATATTATTAATAGCTGGATTGATTTTGGCGGGACTTTTTTTGGCAGGTAGCTGATGTAATAAGAAGTAACTTAGCTATTTTTATTTTATAAAAAATCTCTAATTAAGTTTATTGTTAAATTCCACGCGGACGTAGCCACGGGTACTGTTAGAGTTATTATATATAGAAGTAAATGTGAGTGACTTAACCAATGTTAGTATGACTTAACATGGTTAACATTAACGTCTATAATAAAAAGAAGAATCCAATGCTTCTTTCCTATTACATAATCTTGGTTTCTTATCAATGTTTCGTATCATAGAAATAGAGACAGAAAAAAAGAAATTACTTTTAGCATTACAAGGTTAAGAAGCCAATGCTTCTTCTTCTTTCCTCTTACATTCTATTCATGCGCCACCTACCACTTTTGTTATATTTTCTCTACCTAAAGGTTGTCTGGAAGAGATTGCTTCTAGCGATAAGACCGCCTTTTGTACTTCCATATCTCTTTTCTGTCTAATTCTCTTATGTATTAATTCGATTGGTGCAATAAAGAGTTTATAAATAAATAAATAAATAATTTTGAGTTCTTATCAGTGTTTCGTATCACAGAGACTAAAAAAATAAAATACCATGTTATTTTTAGCATTACAAGGTTAGGTGTATTTTTATACTACGATTGTGGTAAACAAACGTACGGCCCATCTACTAGTAAAAGGTTACCGGAGCCTATAGACGCCTGAAACAGCAGCGGTGTCGCGTTGCCGACCCTCAAGAAACCTTAATGTCTTATAACGTCTTAGACTTCTAGAATGGTCGAGAGGAGTACACACGGATGTCACATGATAACGTGATGTCTGTGCGAGCTGTTCATGTATATAGGCGACCTCGGTGTTACAAAGAATTTATCGCGACGGTTTCCAGGGGAAACCGCGTGGAGGTCAACCTGACATGATGTTACATTGCTAGCAATGGGATCATTAGCCCACATTACTAACAATCCTCTTCCCCCCTATAGGCGACGGTTACCACTTACCATCAGGCGGGCCTGATGTCTCGGTTGCTATTCCAGTCACAGAAACATATGCTAAAAATAAGAGCATTGTCAAAGTTGATATATTGGTTTTGATCGAAACAACCAGTTGGTTAATCGTTTCCTTATACTGCAGACAAAATGTCAACCGTATACATATACATAAATTAATTAAATATTGTCTTTTCGTTTTGATAAACTGGCCGTGGAGCGCCGGTCGAGCTTTCAATGCCGTCCAAAAACTTGATTTGTTTATACCCATTTTTGTTGTATACCATTACGGTTATTATCACAGACGGTGTAGTCAGGGATATCTGTGTTAATACGTAAAACCAAAATTTTATACTATTTTTTAAAGAAGTTACGCTGATGTAAGTATGTGAAATTTCGGACACCTTTTTTTTATATAGATAGTGCAATGCTAATATTTTTTTTTAATTATAAAAAATACATTTAATTAATAAAACAAAAACAATGTGCAATGTCATGTATTTGACATACACAGACATAAACCCTATAGTCTGTGGTGAAACTGACAATAGATTAATATTGTTTGTCTTTGATATTATTTGTCTATAGCCTTACTAGAACGTTAAACAGTGCTGAATGGTAATGTTAAAAAAAATACATAGGGCCTCTTACTACCTCTTTTTACTAACAATCTCTCGTGCACCACGATGCATTGTAAGCTGCCGATGTTTGGTAAATGCAGCACTTGATAGGGCCACAGCTCGCTCGGTATATTTGATTTTTTTTTATATATCTCTTTAAATTTAGGGACTTTGTACCATCTAAGTACATGTTAGTCCCATTGTACCCTAAAACCAATCACCCCATTACCTCACCAGTGAACAGATTGCTTTAGCCATACCCCCCGAACGATCGGCTAAAACAGTATATTTGAATTAAACTTGACAAAGACGGCACAGTCTTACATTTTAATTTGATATAATCAGGGTTTCTAAAACCAAGACTCAGATATATAAATAGATACATACTTTTTTAGATTGGAACTCCTGACCTTTAGGACGTAAGTCGTTATAGTAAACCACTAGGTCATTACGGTCTCTGAAGTTTATGTATTTATAAATAAGAGTGATAAGATTTCGCTTGCCGTATTGTATTATATAAAATATTAATTATATAATTGTCCACCTCGTGGAATAGTACTGGTAGGAGATATAATAAAAATATGTATACAAGTGTACTTAAATGTAGAATGTTATTCATAAAATTGTAATAGGTGTTGCTATATGAAAAGCAAAGTATACTTAAGCTTTCCAGAGATACACATTGTAGAAACTCCTCTGCGTGGCTACCTCAGTCTCACTTATTTCATGAGCCAGGCAGCTTGCTTTGTTATGTGAAAGGGAGATAGGGCAGTGAAATTATAGGATACAGAGGTATGACATCATTGTCCTCTAGAATGGCAACACCTGGATACAGTTGCGGTTATTATTTTTTGTTTATGCTGCGATGGTGGCAAACAAGTATACGGCCCATCAATTGGGTTACCGCAGCCTGTAGACGACTGAAACACCAGGTCACATGCGCTCTGCTGACCCTGGCGAATAACCATGGTATTCTAACTGATTTGATTTCATGCTCGTCCTACTATTCACTACTATTCACTGTATACTGTATACTATATATATGTATACACTGTATACTGTATTACTTACTATTCACTGGTGCGGCGGCGGTTGTGCAACTGTATGTATGATATACCATTTTTACCTATTAATAATATTTTTGATGTTTTATATAGAAAATAAATATATATACATTCCAATAAAGAACATATGCCAACATTAGAACAAAATATTGTTAATATAATTAATAAGTTGTGACGATCAAGTGACGAATTATAACGATAAGTGACAAGTTGTAAACTGTGACGATGACGAGAGTGTGACAAGTGTGACAACCGTCAGAATGACAGCTGGCGTCGCGACACGCAGGAAGTCGCGGGCGAGGAAGAGCTGGGCTAGAATTGAGACTGATGCACAGGTATTATCATATGTTTTACGGATATGTGGATTCTAAATATCTATAGTTGATCGTAGAATGGTGTAAGTTTACGATTGTATGTATTTTTTAATGTGGAATTATGAAAGCAGAGTCTAAATAATAATAAAAAAAATTGAGATGGGCCATCTTTAACACTTATAATAGTTCCTCCTATATAATAGTTACGTCCAATTCTTAGACCTGCAGAATATACACTCCAACTGTCAAGAGATATTATATATCAGCCAAAAAAAGTTCTTAAAATGTTTCCATTGGTGAATATGTTGAGGTGTGGGATGTAAGTTATGAAAATTGTTACGACTTGCCTACGTCGCGTGCCCACAATAAAATGGAAACTGTAAAATATAGGGTGTAATGTAAAGAATATAATCCCAAATCCAGTAATCGTCATAAAACTCGGTTATGAAATGTACCTAATGTACATTTTATATCATCCAACCTAATATTATACGAAAATGTGTCTGTCTTTCTATGTTAAATATTACAGTATTAATATTACAGAAGGTAACAAACCTTCTCATTGTAATATTTATATACAATAGTTGTCGTACGTTACGACTTAACGGCTGTACGTATTTTCGTCTGCTTTGTGATTCAAGATAGCTCATGTTCAACCTCGTGATATAGTCTGTCTTTAGTTAAATAATAAATTTGTATTGAGATATTGTAAATGTTGTTTGCGCGTGTACGTGTACCTGTCTCACCTAATTTAGCCGCCAAGCAACTTGCTTCTTAAGCTGCTTTGGTTTAGGGTGCAAATTAGGCAGTGAAAGTACAGGATTAGAGCCATGATATCTTAATCTTCAGGGATGGCAACCTATGAGTGGCATCACTAACGTGATGACCGTAGTGAAGTTCATGTATCTAGACGACGTGGACGGTTCCCACTTACCAGCGGATGAGACGTCAGCTTGTTTGCCATTGCCATTCCTCTTATGTAAAAATAAAGTCATAAGATCCTAGTCAGACCTTTGAACTAACCTAATTCTAAACTGTATCTGAACAACATTAATTTAAAAAGAGCAACACGCAAGTTCTCAGGTCGTTCTTCTTGTGATGAATCTGCGTTCCGAATGAGTGGTAGAATATAAAAACTATTTAAAAATGCTTATATTAAGTTTATTTGAATAAAATATTATTTCTATTGTTCACAGTCATCCGATTTCACGGATATAGGCGACTGGCCTACACTTGGAGCGGCTGTGGCCGGAGCTCGGTGTCACTCCACTCCACCACCACAAGATGGAGACTCATCCCATCACAATGGCGTCGTGGTGAGTACAGTTTCTTTATCTATATATATTTTTATTAATATACTTCCGAGCTTTCTCCAAGGTAGACTTGGTACTTGGTAGAGTTGGTTAGTTGTACGAACTAGGAGTTTAGAAGGAGTACGAGTACGAGTACGAGGAGAAGAGTGTAGGAGTTAGAACATCTTAATTGATGATAATAGAATGGTGCAGCTCCCTGCGCGAACGGTTTACGCTGGCGGTCACCAGTGGAGCATGATAAGATAACCATGAGCTCACGTCAGTTAGCCCATCGACACATTCACCAGGATATCACGATGGTTTCCAGGTGAATGGCATGTGGTCTACCTGACATAGGAACGTAAGTGATCTCGAACAATGCGTACACTTAGACTGTGGAACTATATACCGAGGGTTTTCTCGAGAGACTACAGCATGGGGTTTTCAAGAAGGGTTTATAAATGTTTCTTAAGGGTTGATTTATACTCGTCATTATGATTGTTTGTATTGGACAGGGTGTTTTCTAGGTATATTATATATTTAGTTATAAAGAAATGAATTTAAGCATTTCTATCAGGTGTCTGTACCCATGACACAAGCTTAACTAGAGACTTGATGACGCCGTGTGAATTGTCCCGGGTTATTATAATGTATTAATAACATCAAAAACTTTGTCTGTTTCCAGGACCAAGAACGTAAACCCCTGGAGGAACATCATCATCAGACGAAGGTGGAGAAATTGGAGCCCACGCACAACCATCACGCCCACAACGATAAACACGAAAAGAACATAGATAAAGCGAAAGCCTCAGGTTGGTACATGCCAGAGGTAGAATGTAAAAAGTCGTTTTGCGTCGGTACCTCAGTCTCACCTATTTTAGCCGCCAAACAATTGCCTTTACGGCGAATCGCAGTTTTGTCGCCGAACGGAATATTCAACACTATGCTTTCAAGCTACATCCAAACCCTATTCAATGTCTGATAATGCCTCGTTCAGAGACGAAACACGTGCCCCATTATGACTATTGATTTAATGACAGTCGGAATTTGATCACCATGAAGAGGACGAAGTCTGGTCAGTCAGCGCATCGTGGCGATATCACCAGGAATTAACTATGATGGTATCTACCACCACGTGGAGTTTGACCTGATGTACCCAGAATGTACCCTACATTGCTAGCAATGGGGCTACTAGATCTCATTACTAATATATTAAAAAGTAGATAGGTACGATGGTGATTTATAAACGTGAGTCTTATGCCTGAATGTTATAAAATAAGCGATTTGTAAACGTTGTAATTGAATATTCTGCAGGTGTTGGAAAAGGCGGAAGCAAATCCGGGAAACACAAATGGGTCCCGTTGGACATAGACGTGAAGGCGGCGAGGCCGGGCAAACATGGACCCCAGCACAATGCGAGGCCCGACCATGGTATTTAAATTTATTCTTCTTATGTACGTCATGCTCGGGAACGTTCACGATATGATATTTTTAAAAAGTTAATTTTGTAGGTTTTTAAAATGCAAATTATTTATATTTTTGTCATACTCGTCAACCTTCCCGAGTATGATGATTTGTCTATTGTGGCTGTACTTGCAAAATGTTATCCCGTAATTTAGGCCTCTCGTCACTTCTCTATAGAGACGTTGGGTTACGCACTCGGGTATATTATAGTTTTTCTATGTAGTAGTGTATATTGCATTGATCCTCGAAGCTTAATGTGATTACTATATAGATAATACATGTTGATCATAAAAAGTATATGCAGTTAATCTAGTGATAGTATAGTATTCATGAAACTGAATTAAAAATATGTTATGGTTAATTATTAGGAAATATGATTCTTCCACACGTTCTGTAAATCCAATATAAACATCGCGTTTTAATCAAGCTGTAGTTTGAATAGAGTTATTATCCACTTTAATAACAAATGTTTTGGCAGACACAGTGTCGCTGAACGGCGAGGAGGTCCGGAGCCGCGGGGCCCCGGGCCGGGGCCGCGGCGCTCGGGGCCCGGGCGCGGGCCCGCCGCGGGCCGGGGCCCGGCGCCCCAGGCCCGCGTCGGCCCTGCCCGCGCCGCACCACGCGCACCTGCCCTTCCACCCGCACGACTTCCCGCACCACCCGGACCTCGCGCAGGTATTGTACATGCGAAGACGGTTATTAAACACCATACAGTCTGAACTGCAGCTACAGACGAAGGTGGAAATATCTAAAATCTACATTCGTTCGCGGCTCATATATGCGTTCCCCGAATGGTACGCAGTGTGCTCGGCTTCACAGTGGTGGAGACTACAGCTCCAACAGAACAACTACTACGTCTGTGTATAAATGCTGGACGTTCGGAATGACGTCCCTTAAGATCCTCACGGTGGAGCATTTTGTCGCCCGGTTGACGCATGCGAAGTTCTCACGCGCGAACAACGGGCGCCCACCGGACGTAACTCGCGACTTACTCTCCATTTCCATCCATTCATTCGCGACGGGGCGGTGGTCAACGTCAACCCTGCTAGCGACTTTAACTCTCACTCTCGTCCCAGTACTTTTTCAGCCGGCTACATAACCGTAGCTGGCTTCGCCACAACGGCTTTAACGAACGACGCTGGGGTGGGTGATTTACCCCAGTAATACGTCCGGGTTATCACACGCATAGGCCCGTACCCGGCAGAGGACAACAAGCAACAATCAAGCTTGTAAAAATGCATTTTTCGTTATTAACGGTTAATTAACCGCATTTTATGCCTGATACTTTCCGTAGCTAAAGCTTAAACATAAGACAAACTACACTAGCTTTACAAAAGAAATCTCAACTAGAAACTTCAAAACAAGCCCTTCTCAGTTCTTCTCTTTATTATTATTACTTTAATGGACGCCATCAGGGTCATCCATGCCCATGTGATTGAGTTAATAAGTCGACCATTTTCATGTAAGCATGTCTTATGTTTCAGAATTTAAAAAAAATTGTATTTAAAGTGTTTAAAGTTTTACATTATTTCCATAATTTGCGTCGCACCTTAAACAGGGGTTAAGAAAGTATTACAAGAATTTGAGGAAATCACAAATTTAAATGTAAATGTAAAATGACTAAAATTGGTGCGACGTAATTTATAAATTGACCCTAGTTAATAAAATGTTAAGGTACATAATTGCTGAGCATTATTTTGTCTATGACTTATGTACTATTCTGAATGAGTTCTCTTCTAAACAGTAGTTTTAATGGTTACAATGAAATATATAAATCATATATATATGAAACTAATATACGCGGTTGAAATACAGTTTATAATCGCTTGTTTGCAACTATAGTGTTTTTAAATATTTAAAATCTATAAAAACGATATTTACAAATTATAATGTTACTTAATATATAATGGTTAACGTCTAATTTCCTATAACGCACCTTGATTTTAAATTAAAAGGAATATTATTAACTGCTATTAAAATAATCGTTAAGAAAAGAAGAGTGGTACATAAGTCGTAGTGTATTCCTATCCCTCCTTTGAATTCATCTCCATTTTGTATCATTGACATAAGTAAATCATGCTTGTTGGGCTTTTGAAATATTAACCAATAATTATTTATAATATGCAATTTTATATAATTAACATATATATTTGAATTTATAAAATATATGATATATTAACAGAACTATTTTATAACATTGTTGAAATTTATCTAAAGGCTAAACTTCTTACAGTCCATAATCTCTGCATATTTTATTAATATTATAAACGCGGAAGTTTGTGGTATGGTTGGATGTTTGTCACTCTTTCATGAAAAAACAACTCAATAATCACAAACTTTCGCTTTTATATTATTAGAAAGAAAGAAAGAAAAATATTTTATTATATTAGTTAATTTGTTAACGCTAATGTTATTAAGAAGTCTTTATAGTGGATTTTTATTCTTCTTTTTTAAGTTTTACACTGTAATTATTAATTTATTATTATTAACTTAATAATACATACTAAAATATAAAATAAAACGATGAAATTTGAAAAGTTACTTGTAAACTACTATGTTTTATTACTGCAACATGTAAAGGTAATCTTCCGTCTACACCTGCCATGCTGTTGTATGTTGATTTGGTGAGATATGGCAGTGCAATTACAGGATAAGAGGCATGAAACCTTACTTCTCAGAAGCATATGAAGGATACCTAAGGCAAATGTCCATGGCACTGTTAGTGTATATAGACGTTTGGCACTTTTCATCCCGTTAGCTTGTTTGTCACTAAATGAAGAATTTCTGTATTTTGCCTTTAATTCCAAGCAGTCCTCATTCAATCATACATATACGCTTCTAAGCAATGCTACATTTATTTACGCATATAAGCTCTTGATTTATATTTCTAACTAGCATTATTCGCGACTTCGGCCGCGTGGAATTTAACTTTATTTTTCTAAAATAAAAGTAGCCTAAGTTACTTCTAATTACATCAGCTACCCACCAAAAGAAGTGTCGTCAAAATCGGTCCAGACATTTAAGAGATTAGCCTGAACAGACAGACGGACGAAATTTGAAAAAAATGTTATTTTGGTATATGTACCGTATTTATATTCATATGCATGTAGCAAAAAACGGCAATATCAATATTACAAACAGACACTCCAATTTCATTTATATGTATGATTTAGTATTAATTAAAAAGTATATTGGTTCTCAAAATACACAAAAATATGATGGGCCTATATTATATATATTATAAAATGTATATATGTATTGAAATATAATAGTTATGTATATATTGGAATGTCATTTGATCATTACTGAGGTTTGCGGTTTCACCTCCATGTCTGAATGATGGGTGTCCATACAAAATGTCTTTGGTTTTCAATACAAAATAAACTGAATATTATCCTTAGAAATAGAATAGAATAAAATAGAAATAATACTTGTTTAACTAAAAGTTTATTAAAAATTACTGTTGCTAATTATTTTCTAGTATATTTGATTTGCAGTACTTGTTTATAAAACATATACAATGTTTATAAAAAAATACAGTAATAATACTAATAATAATAAAGATGTTTATTCAGTATTACATCAGTATTCTTATACACAATAATATTTACTATATTTACTGGTAACACTGAATGTGACCCAATCAGCATTTATACTGTAGTATAACTAAATACTACAGCGCTGATTTTCAGTGTGGCCACCACACACGAGACAGCGTACGTAAAAATAACAAAAGAAAATAAAATATACGTTTAAGACTATTTTATAAATAGTACTCGATGTTATTTCTATTCTATTCTATTGCGGTTTAATATTGCTAAAGATAATGTATTCCGAATACTGTTTTATACTTTTTTTTTTCAATATTGTTTATTATTATATCAATTATATAACCGGGATACTTTCTGTATTATTTATACAGAAGTTTACAAATGAAATTATAATTGTTAATAAATCCCGTATATATTATGTATAATAAATACATTTTACCTTAAAAATTCGTAATTGACATTAGTTTCAACAAAAACCAAAGGCAGTCCGTCTGACTGGTCCCCTCCCTCCCCCTCCAGCTGCGGGTGGCTCAAGCTGGCGTGGCACAGGGGCTGGTGCTGCAGTACTCGGCGCTGGCTCCGCTGGGAGCCCCGATGGGCGCTCCGCTGGCGCAGGCCTTCTACTACGGCGCGGCCGCCGCCACCGCAGCCCCCTATGGCATGGGTCTCGACCAGGCTACGCTCAAGGACTTCATCAAGAAGCAGATGTGAGTGATGCTATTTTTAAACTTTCGTGTTTAATATACATTATGTATATTATTAACCGGGTCTTAACACGAATAATTTTATGGCAAATAAAGGTGTTTACTTCTCTAGTTGAAAGACTAGGTTGCACTAGCCGTGGTCACGAGCTGACTGGAGTATTAGTGATGTCAATGTAGATAGGGTCCAGCAGAGTTTTCATTTACAGTCACAAGATTGTTCAACGAAAGTTCGCCACACACAGCACTTACGGTATCCGTATACTTACTGACTGTTGATGCTACTGAACTTTGCTTGAATTTATTTATGACTGGATTCCATGCAGAAGACCACGCTTTCATCTATCTAAATCGCTGTTACTGCAGTCAGCTCGTGACCACGGCTAGTGCAACCTAGTCGAAACGTCGAGATAGGTAAATACTTTTATTTGCCATAAAATTATTCGTGTTAAGACCCGGTTAATAATATAAATAAGATGTAAGTATGGGTTTTTATATTGATTGATGTTGGGCGGCCTAGGTGGTCTACTGGTTTAGCAGATCAGCATATTAATAAATAAATAAAGTATTATTAAAATGATTATTTGTTCACAGCGAATACTACTTCAGTCCGGACAATTTGGCCCGCGACTTCTTCCTCCGTCGCAAGATGGCGGCGGACGGTACAATACCAGTTACGCTAATAGCTTCGTTCCACCGCGTCCGCGCTCTTACAGCTGACGTCCAGCTCGTGTTAGATGCTATTAAGGACTCGGATAAGCTGCAGCTTGTTGCCGGGTTCAAGGTTAGCCCTTATTAAATTATTATATTTTTTTTTTAATTTGCCAAATGAATTTAAAAATGTTTTCAGTTTTACATTGTTTACAACTAGATTGAGGACTTATTCAATAAGTGTTGCTATTCCGTTGATAATTATTAAAATGATGACCATAAAGACTTCAATTGGCCTAATGCACTATGCTTGCTGACATAAAGAGGACCATAAGCTTGTTTACCATTTCAATATAGTGCTGACCTAATTTCTACAGATAGGATATTTATAAAAATGTTTATGATTTCATACCATATTTGATGTTGCCTTCCTCTATATGTAAATATAGTATATATACATATACATAATATATATACTTGTATATTATTTTGCAGGTGCGAACGGCGTTCGAGCCGACAAAATGGCCGATCTTGGATATCGCGTCAGGCACGAATTCGGACGACGGTGAGAAGTCGAAGTTACCCGAAGAGAAGCCGACAGTTGCCGAAGATAATACGAAGGTAAGATTAAGATTAACATTAATGATCAAATAAAAACGAAATGTTTCTGGGATTTAAAAAAAATGTTATAATGAAGTTGAATTTAAAAAATATATAAATATACTAGCTGCCTCAAGGGAACTTCGGCTTCGCGTCATATTTTCCCTGTATTTGTAACATATTTAATTGTAGCTGTAATCCTATTTAGCCTCTCTCGGTAAATGGGTTATATTACACTAAAAATATTTGCAACATGATCAGTAATAATAGTATTAGACTTAGCCTGTTGGCATAGGTTTATAATGTTAATTTTGATAGATCTTAGATATATAATTGCATCACATGTTTTAAATGTTTTAAAAACCCATTTTTTTAACCTACGACCCAAATAAGCAGAGCTTGTTCAATCTAACTGTCTGCATATAGAATAATCGTGGGTGATTCTGTCCCTCTGCCTTTTATTACGCACATTTTTAATCTACTAATGTTTTTATTTAATCTACGGCCCAACTAAACAGACGTATGCTAAAAAAGTCTACAATCAATAATGACACTTAATATATAATGGTTAGCTTCTGATTTCCTATGACACATCTTGATTTTAAATTAAAAGGTATACTTCAATTTTAAAGGTATCCGAAACTGAAGCCTCCAACGGCTCCGATGACCAATCAACCATTCCCACAAACGAACCAACCGTAGCCCAAACAGAACCGACCGTGTCCCAAGTAGAAACAACGGTAGCAGAAGAGAAACAAGCCACGCCGAAAGAAACCGTACAGGAAGTAAAGCCGACAGAGCCAGAAACGCCTGAGGTGGTTGCAAATGAGGTAGCAGAAGAAGCACCGAGCATAGAGGGTGCGAGCGAGACAGTCGTAGAAGATAGTGAAGTCACAGCTAGCGCTGAGGGGGAAGATGAGGTGAGTTTGATTTATGATTATGTAGGGTTTGCTCTAATCACTATTACGCTCCCCCCTCCCCCCCTCTGCGTCTCTCCACTCTCTCTATCTCTCTCTGTCTAACCATTTCTCATTTCATTGGGGGATGGCTCTCCTAGTCTTTCTTCGCCAGGCATATCTGTCCAGGGTCGTCGAGACACTTATTTCGGTTTTCTTCAGGTCGTTATTGATAACAGACTGCCAAGTTAGTAGGGGTCTTCCTCTACGACTGATTTAATCTTATTGTCTATTTAATATTCTGACCCTAATAAATTAGTGCTAGTTGGTAGCTTGTATTCACACATTTCGACTTAAAAATGTAAAATTACAACGATTATTTAAAAAAGTAGCTCGCAATTTCTCATTCTTTTTGTGATGAATAAGCTTTCCGAATGAGCGGTAGATTAAAAGAAACTATGACTACTCAAAAGTTCTTAAAGTAAGTTTATTTGAATAAAGGGTTTTCTATTCTATTCTATTCAGTCTGTACTTATTTATTTTGACGACCACGGTGGTCTTGTTGTTGCTTGTTTGCTAGCACATCAGTTTACTTCCGATGGTCGCGGTTTCGATTCCTCGCACGATGTAAACATGATTGTTTCGGTCTGGGTGTTTGGTAATAATAATAAATAAATAAATTTTATTTCATCTCCACAAAATACATTATTCCAGTTTTTTTATATAAATGCCAACAATAAAAATCACAAATATAATTTGTGGGAAATCTGGAGCCCAAACTGCCACAGCCTGTACCTCAGACACCAGGTCTCCCCTTCATATCAATTTGTTATACATCTAGTTTTAAGTTTAAACGTGGAGTGCATTGAGCACGTGTGGGTGTATATGTGTATGTTTGTATATGTGTGTGTGTGTGTGTGTGTGTGTGAGATGTGAGTGGGTGATCTGTGTAAAATTTATATATAAACTTATAATTACTATTTTACTTATATTATGTGTATTTAATTTATGTATAATGAATTATGGTAATGTATATTATGTATGTATTTACAAAAAAAGTCTTAATGTTGTATTATAATAGATATTATAAATCATATTAAAGAAAACAATATTTTACCATTACCATGTCTATATATATTTGAAATGTGTTTATTTGTAAAAAGAAATATTGTTCGAAATTAATTCTAAAAATCGAAGACTAAGAATACAAAATAAATTGATGATACCGATGCAGAGACTTCACATGTTTCAAAGAAATGGTTATTGCATGGCCATTAAATTATACAATAAATTGTCTGATGGTGTAAAAATATTACCATACGCTCAATTTAAAGCGAAATTGTTTTTATTCTGTAGAAGATCTTATATCTAACTGTAATTTATGAGAATTTAATATATTTATCTAATATCTATTAATCTAATTTTATTATAATTTAAAAATTTATTTATATTGGTAGTAGTTTACACAATTTTATGGTTTTAAATAATTTACACACTTTTAATGGTAAATATGCTGAACACCTTATTAATTGTTGTGTAAGATCTGCTCTATGCAATTACCAGTATTTTGTAAATAAACATTCATTTCATTTCATTTCAACTTGATGTTATTTACTTCAGGAAACAGAGAGAAAGGGCGATTCTAACGATGACCCACCACTGCAGTCGGAACACACCGATGATAAACCTGGAGAGAAGAGGTAAGATTTGATTCATTATGAATGAATGAATTAAGAGCCACGCTCTTGCCGGTGGAGCTCTCAACTTTCTACCGTCTTGATTTGATTAGAAAATAATAACACAAATACGTATAACTAGCGGGTTAACCCGCGTGAAATAGCCTGTGTTATTTTTAAATATAAGCTATATTACTGCAGTTTAATTAAAACCTGTTAAGTAGTTTTTGCGTAAAAGAGTAACAAAGATCTATCCGTACTCACAAACTTTCGCGGAGATTTTCTACTCGGGGATTATACCTGGCTTCCCATTAGTTAGACAAACTATAGCTCAGCATCCTTGGATAAAAAATATATTCACATTGGTAAGGGGATCGTGTAATAATCCCTAGTATTGTACATTAGTGTACTATGAACCTCGTAACGATAGTGGTCGCAGCCCGACTGCGGCCACTTTGAACCGAGGTGAGAGAGACGCGGCGCAACCGAACTGAGAAGGCGCACTGCCTTCTACGGCTCATACGCGACGCTACAGTGTTTATATATAGTATATGTAATGCGTTATACTAGATTATATGTACTATACTAATATTATAAATGCAAAAGTAACTCTGTCTGTCTGTCTGTCTCGCATTCACGCCAAAACTAGTGAACCGATTTAAATGAAATTTTGTACACTCATTTTCTAGACCCTGAGAAAGGACATAGACTTTTTAATGCGAAAAAGGGTTCTAAGGACTTGAAAGCGGAGATCAAAGATTGTATGGTATTATCGTCATTTTTAAAGCTAGAAGCTTCAATTTTTTAAACTGTTGATTAAATATAAACAAATATGACATTCAAAGTTTGTATATGGAAAATCGTTATTCGTCGTCTATTTCTCGCGGACGAAGCCGCGGGCACAGCTAGTTATACTATACTAGCTGTCCAGGCAAACATTGTTTTGCCTTAAAATAAAAATAAAAAATAGAGGTGGACTACCCCTAATATTTAGGGGGATGAAAAATAGATGTTGGCCGATTCACAGACCTACTCAATACGCTCACAAAATTTCATGAGAATCGGTCAAGCCGTTTCGGAGGAGTATGGGAACGAAAACTGTGACACGAGAATTTTATATTTAACATATACACGTACATAAATACACATTTTTATAAGTGTGTGTATTGTCACAGACGCAAGAAACAAATGGTGGGGATATTCCCCCTGGCCACAATGGGGGGTCCGTTAGTTGCGCCGGTGTCGAGTCTGTTGCGCGCTGTACCGCCTCCACCGTTGCCCAGGTATGTGCTTTGTTTTATATTAACGAATATGCAACGGTCTTTTTAAACTACGTAGATGGCAAACAAGGATACGGCCCGTCTGATGGAAAACGGTTAACAAATTTATAGCCTATATGTTAGTATAAATATTATCGTAATGTTTCATTAAAATCCATTCAGTAGTTTTTATTTGAAAGAGCAACAAATCATCCATCCATATACACACACGCTTCCACATTTATAATATTAGTGTTAGAGTTAAAAATCTTCAAAATGAAACTTTGGTTGTATTCAACAGTTTATAATTCTGAACATTGACCCCTTCGTTCACATTTCAAAATCAACTCCCCGTTCAGAGGAGTGGCGTTCATTTAAAGACTTCCATTAAGTCGTTAAACAACTTATTTTGTTTAGCAACTGAAATTAATTTACAACGCTTATAAAGTTTTATAAATATCTACATTAAATAATAAATATGAAAATAAAATGTTAACAATCCATACTAAATACACTTTCTGCAAATAAAACAAATATCTTTATACAGAATGTTCCGGACAAACCGCGGAACAACCCCACTATTGGGCAGCACGCCCCCACTGCTGGGCGGATCGAGCGGTGGTGTTCCGCATCACGATTTTCTCAACCCTGATGTACCAGAGTTCGTGCCACAGGCCAGGAGACAAGGTAAGAAACCTAACGACTCTCAACCGTCTTAACAGTTAAGACTAAAGTCTAGAGTTATACTATATACCAAACTATATACGAACTCTAGTCAATGCCTGATAAACCAGACTGCTGCCTCTCAACTGCCTAGCAGTCAACACTAGGCTTCCAAGCTATATCCGATCTCTATTCAATGCCTGATGATGCCTTGATCAGAGGCGAAACACGTGCCCCGATATGGATGTAAACTATAGTTTTAAAAACTCGAATTTACATACTTTCAATATATAAATAAATGGAAGATTTAGTATTTGGTTATTGATAAAATGTTTGTTTTATATTTACAATGATTATTATTAGTTTTTTTAGTTTAGTTTTGTTTTTAATTAAGTTTTTAAGCTTCTGCAGACATACTGATTTGTTGTTGTACTAATAATTATTAATTATTTTATACTATTTATGTCTGCAATTAACTTTGATTATAATAAAATACCTATATACACAACACACTTGAATGTAAATACATGCCTATAATTAGTCAAAATCACGGGATCTTACCACGTACCACCACGATCACGGGTAAACAGTTTACACGTGAAACAATAAACAGTTTACTCAGCAAATAAATATAAAACGTGGTAAGATCCCGTGATTTTTACTAATTATACGTATAAATAATGACCGCGTCAAGCTTAAAACAGTATATAAATACATGTCCTAGTAACATACCTAACAATGTAATATTTTCTTAACAGAAGAGTTAAGTGCCGATAAATCCGAGGCGGAGGACCGGCAAGGTTCAACTACGATCAGCCCCAGTTCTGAAAGAAGCGGCACCGATGTCTGGACTGAGGTGAGTTTTGTATAATATCATATATGTATATATATACACACACATAAAAAAATGTTTGTGTTGTACAATACAGCAACAGTAATTGAAACAATAGTAGGTGTACATAAAGTAAAAAATATGTTGTGGAAACTTCATATATAAAGTTTTAAAACTAATATTCAAAAATAAAAACTTACGATTAGACAGTAAACCACTATCCTGCTATACCTGGTAACATTATTTGAAAAGTTTACATTTACACCTGTCTCCGAGACTAAAATACAAACTGTAGTTGCTTAACTAGTTGGTTGTATATTTATTATTTTGATTGTATGTGTATTTAACATATTTATGAACTGATGAATAACTAGCACTAAGCTAGTTGGTAGTTAGTATACACCCATTTCAACTTAAAAATCTAGTTACAACAATTATTTAAAAGAGCAACACGCAATTAAGTTTCTTGATCGTTCATCTTGTAATGAGACAGCTTCCCGAATGAGCGGTAGATTAATAAAATAAATATCACTATTCGTGCTGAAATTTAAGTATATTTGAATAAAGAATTTTCTATTCTATTCTATGATATTGATGAAGGAATTGTTTAGTAGTGCCTAGTGTTGTACATTAGTGTACTATGAACCTCGTAACGATAGTGGTCGCATCCCGAGTGCGGCCACTTTGAACCGAGGTGAGAGAGACGCGGCGCAACCGAACTGAGAAGGCGCACTGCCTTCTACGGCTCATACGCGACGCTACAATGTAATATCCAATAGAAAATAACTATCAGTAGACTAGTAGGAGAGAAAATCGTCTTTGTGGTTACCCCAGACTCACTTATTTCAGTCGCCAAGCTTGTTTTGTCGTGTCATTGAAACACGAATGTATAATTGTATAGACTGCATATTGGGCAGTGAAATTACAGTCTAAGTGCCATGAAGTCAATCTTCTAGAATGACAACACATCAGTGGTATCAAAGATGTTACATGATAACGTGGTGCCATATCTTAGCCAACAACATAACATATCTTAGTAAGAAAGCTGCTTGACAACTGATATATTCGAGACTGCACTACTTACTTTCGTGGTAAACAACCCTGAATAACACAGTATTTGTAAGAAATTAAATATCTTTATTCATGTAGGTCTATTAAAGACTCTTATGATATGTCAAATCTACCGTCAATTCGGAGTGCTTTCAAGCTGTGAACTGACAAGAAACTCAGCTCTTATTATTTACAAATGAACTTGTACATGTTTTTATAAAAATACAGATTGATTTTTAATTCTAATTTATTAAGATTAGTTCGAAATGGTTAATGTTTATTTAAATGTGCAGGTGAAACGTCGCACAAAAGCGGGGTCCCGCGAGCGAGCGCCTCCTCCGTCAGCGGAGCCCGAGTACGAGGAGCAGCGCGAGGAGCTGCACTTTCAGCTCGACGAGGAGCTGGACCTACCGCCGCCGAGGCACAACACCTTCACTGATACCTGGTTAGTGTCATTGGTTTTATATCTTTTGAATGGCATTTGTTTGATAGTCCATTTATTGGTGAATGGTAAGCGTCGTCTTTAGACATATGTTTGTTTAATGTGTGTTTTAGTTTTCTACTGAATAAATATCATTTCATTTCATTTTATTTCATTACATAAGCATGAATACAACGTTAAACTGTTTAAAGAATGAAATAATCGTACTTCCTTCTTATTTTTTTTCGAATTATTCTAACTTTCGGCCACAGCTGGCTTTTACAGCTTTACATAATACAGAAGGGGGCGAGTGCAGATGGCACTCCAAACCAAAGAACTTATGGAGCGGCTGAAGATCAACTCCCGCTAACGGATACGACTTTAGTCTGAGGGCACCGCTAGGAATTAGAACTTCTGCTCAGTTTTGTGTTTTATTTAGATTCCTGTTTGAATTGTACTGTCATGTTTTAATGGAAATGCATGTATTGTTGCTAACACAGTTTGACAATATTTAAGTACTTAAGTATGAAGGTGATAATAAAAAAACACAATTATTGTTATACAACAAATTGGACGGGGATCAATCGTAGGCCACTAGTATGTTAATATAATTTGCTTATAAAACAATATAGTATCTACATACTACATGTAATAAAGATACTAGTAATTTCCACCCCAGTCTGACAGGGGATCGATCGTAGTGGAGACTAGTACGCGGGTAAATATATATTGAAAGAAGTCATCCCGTATATATAAAAATGCACTGTATGTCCACTGTATATGAATGAATATAGCATATATAGTTACTGCGAATAAAGTGCGAAATTATAGTACTTACTAGGCGTTCCAGGTGATTCGCAAAGTGGGTTGATTGGGTGCATTGTTGGTACTACAATTGTATAAAAATCATGTGTTTTATGGTATTTTTTATGTACTACTAACTCTTGGTGAGTTGAAATCTTTATTTTTTAATGATTTAAACGTTCAAATAATATAGATTTTACTTTTTATTATTTGTCACAATAGTGGCATATAACCCATCTGATGGTATTATTTTTTTCTGCTACCGTCACTAGATTGTCCAACGAAAGATCGCGACACTGTTTAAAAATAACTGTAATTATCTTTACACCTATGTAAATAGTTATAAGAGTAGAAATAAATAAATAATAATTATAATGACCCATACGTACGGTGGTCGCCAGGTCGGATTCGGAGTCGGAGTTGGAGTTCACGGACCGGGACATCGGGCGGCTGCTGATCGTGACGCAGACTCCCGCGCGCGTCGCCAAGCACGACCACGACCGGCAGGGGGACTGGACCACGCGCACCAAGATCTCCCAGGACCTCGAGCAGGTGACACCCACGATACTTCTTACTATATAATATACGACCTTCCGTCCAATATTAGAGATATTATAATAGAATTTAATTCCGACCATTTAGAAATTCTGTTTAGATCTTTATTTATATATTAAGTAGAAGTAGAAGTCTCACTAGGCATTAATGATATATACAGCTGAAAATCATCAGCATATAGTTAATAATAATGTAATAATAATCTCAGGACAATTCACACAGCGCCATCTAGATCCAAGTTAAGCTAGCCAAAGCTTCTGTTATGGGTAATAGATAATTGATACAAATACATAGATATTTTTTTTCGTAAATATATACATATTATACATAGAAAATACCCAGACCTATACGAACAATCATACTCATGAATACAAATGTTTGTGCCGTGCGAGGAATCGAATCCGCGACCATCGGACGTAAAGCGGTGTGCTAGATCGCCAGACCACCGTCAAATAGTTGGTTCTGACAGTAATTTATAAAAAGCAGTGGTCCAAGAATTGAGCCCTGAGGAATATCTCTACGTATTGCAAGTGGCTGTGACGATAAAATATACATATATATAAGGAAAACATTGTATAGATATATTACTAGTTGACCCAGCAACATTAAACTAAACAGGAAATACATAGTCTGTTTATGATAATGAAATGGTGCACCCACCTGCGCTAACGGTTTACGCTGGCGGAGCACCAGTAGAGGATGATAAGATGAGCATGAGATCAGGTTAGTTAGTCCATCGTGACAAATTCAGCAAAAATTTATCACGATGGTTTCCAAGGGGAACCGCGTGGAGGTCAACCTGATGTGGTACATTGCTAGCAATAAGACCAATAATAAGGTATCAGTTCACATCACTGACAACCCCTTTTCCTGCTGGAAATACATAAGTCTGCCCCCTGCTACACAGGATACGTTTAGTGCAGAGACCGTTGTAAATAAAAGCAACTGATCACTTTGTTTAATTGTCATAGGTTAAGTTAAGTTATAATCTATATCTGAAAAGCTGTGTCACATGTGAAATGTTTTTCTTGAAATAAATATTATTATTATTATAACTAAAGATATTTTTATTTTTTGAATAGAAAATATTCAATGTATTGATTTGTTACAGGTCATAACTGATGGTCTAAGATATTATGAAGAGGATTTGTGGAATGATTCCGAATATACATCGGTAAGTTACATTACACTAGCTGTTTCTCTTAACTTTGTCTGCATTTTTTGATATCAAACAATCTTTGCCCATCCTTGTTGTATAATCTATTGTCACGTTAAATTTCATTAAGATTCGTTCAAACCTTTAGTTGCGAATATTATCTTAAACTTACGTCATATGTTATTAAGGTGGGGGTAGGTTGACAAAGTGTGACATTGTATGTCAAAGTATGACATTGTATGTCAAAGAGTGACGTTGTATGACAAAGTGTGACATTGTAACACAAGATGTTGGGGCAATCACAAACTTTGTGGAAAAAATTAAATCACCAAAAATTATAAAATTTAGGATTTCTCCTTAGAGGAATTCTTATCACATTTCAATTTTATTATACTATACTAGTATTAAGCATTTATAATAGTTTTATGGATACTGCTATATATTATATATTATACTAGCAGACCCGGCCACGCGTTGCTGTGTTGTGTTAGCCAATGGTTAAGGTTAAATAATATTGCGACTATAAATTGTAAGCTATCCTATCTTTCAAGTTGGATCAAATTGCACACAATGTGCAAATCAAATTTGTAATCGGTTCAGTAGTTTAGGAGTCCATCGGGGACAAACAACGTGACACGTAATTTTTATATATAGAGATTACTTCAAGACATCATCTGGTTTGTTTTTTTTCTGAAATGTCGTAAAAGTTCTTTTAAATTATGATAATGCACTGTATGTCCACTGTATATGAATCAAAATAGCATATATAGTCACTGCGAATAAAGTGCGAAATGATAGTACTGACTAGGCGTTCCAGGTGACTCGTTAAATGGGTTGATTGGGTGCAATGTTGGTACTACAATGATTTATCTGAATGTATTTATTGTAAATCAATATAAGAAATAAATTGCAGAATGTAATTTTACTATGTCTGTATAGTTAATTCTTATGTATTGAAGATAAATTTTAGTATAGTATGTTAAAGGAAATATATGTAAAAAAAAAATTCAAAATAGCTTTAAAAATTATTACAGATTCTTATTGCAGATTCTATTGGAATCTGTATAAAAAGAAATTCAAATTTGAGAGTCATTGCGGTTTCTATTGGAATTGCACTGTCTATTTGTAATTGGGGTATTAGTACGGGTGTAGTAATATCAGGAGTAATAGTTAAAAATTTCTTCCAAGAGTATGTTTGTAAAATGTGGTAGAATATACCTGGATTAATTGCAACTAGCAATTAATCCACTATCTCCCTTGAAATTGGGAGTAAGCTATATACATTTTTTCAAAGAGAATAGTCAGTTATCGAGTAGAATAGAACAATTTGTTCGTTCGCTAGGTCGGCTGGAAGATATCTCTCTCAGAGACGAGCCCATCCTTGCTCTTTTTATAGATATGGTGCTTTTTATTACATATATAAGTGAGATAAAGAATATTAAAAAAAATATTGTCGTGTGGGTACAATAATTCGTAGAAGCATATCGGTACCATAGACGCCTCGAAACTCGCGGCGTGACTAGACTCTCGACGTCGAGTCAGTCCCGGTCCGCGTGCGTGTAGGTGTGTAAGTGTGTATGTCTGCGTCACAGTGGGGCGGCAGCCAGTCGTCGTACCGCACGGTGTGCGTCATCAGCCGCGAGCAGTTCGAGGCGGCGGTGCCGCCGGACAGGCATCCCAACCCCGCCGAGCCCCCGCCGCCGCCCCCGCGCGCCGCCCGCGACCACCAGCGCAGGGTGAGTCCGCCACACACCCGCCCTACACACGCACCACACCCCAACCCCGCCGAGCCCCCGCCGCCGCCCCCGCGCGCCGCCCGCGACCACCAGCGCAGGGTGAGTCCGCCACACACCCGCCCTACACACGCACCACACCCCAACCCCGCCGAGCCCCCGCCGCCGCCCCCGCGCGCCGCCCGCGACCACCAGCGCAGGGTGAGTCCGCCACACACCCGCCCTACACACGCACCACACCCCAACCCCGCCGAGCCCCCGCCGCCGCCCCCGCGCGCCGCCCGCGACCACCAGCGCAGGGTGAGTCCGCCACACACCCGCCCTACACACGCACCACACCCCAACCCCGCCGAGCCCCCGCCGCCGCCCCCGCGCGCCGCCCGCGACCACCAGCGCAGGGTGAGTCCGCCACACACCCGCCCTACACACGCACCACACCCCAACCCCGCCGAGCCCCCGCCGCCGCCCCCGCGCGCCGCCCGCGACCACCAGCGCAGGGTGAGTCCGCCACACACCCGCCCTACACACGCACCACACCCCAACCCCGCCGAGCCCCCGCCGCCGCCCCCGCGCGCCGCCCGCGACCACCAGCGCAGGGTGAGTCCGCCACACACCCGCCCTACACACGCACCACACCCCAACCCCGCCGAGCCCCCGCCGCCGCCCCCGCGCGCCGCCCGCGACCACCAGCGCAGGGTGAGTCCGCCACACACCCGCCCTACACACGCACCACACCCCAACCCCGCCGAGCCCCCGCCGCCGCCCCCGCGCGCCGCCCGCGACCACCAGCGCAGGGTGAGTCCGCCACATTCACCCGCCCTACACACGCACCACACCCCAACCCCGCCGAGCCCCCGCCGCCGCCCCCGCGCGCCGCCCGCGACCACCAGCGCAGGGTGAGTCCGCCACACACCCGCCCTACACACGCACCACACCCCAACCCCGCCGAGCCCCCGCCGCCGCCCCCGCGCGCCGCCCGCGACCACCAGCGCAGGGTGAGTCCGCCACACACCCGCCCTACACACGCACCACACCCCAACCCCGCCGAGCCCCCGCCGCCGCCCCCGCGCGCCGCCCGCGACCACCAGCGCAGGGTGAGTCCGCCACACACCCGCCCTACACACGCACCACACCCCAACCCCGCCGAGCCCCCGCCGCCGCCCCCGCGCGCCGCCCGCGACCACCAGCGCAGGGTGAGTCCGCCACACACCCGCCCTACACACGCACCACACCCCAACCCCGCCGAGCCCCCGCCGCCGCCCCCGCGCGCCGCCCGCGACCACCAGCGCAGGGTGAGTCCGCCACACACCCGCCCTACACACGCACCACACCCCAACCCCGCCGAGCCCCCGCCGCCGCCCCCGCGCGCCGCCCGCGACCACCAGCGCAGGGTGAGTCCGCCACACACCCGCCCTACACACGCACCACATCCCAACCCCGCCGAGCCCCCGCCGCCGCCCCCGCGCGCCGCCCGCGACCACCAGCGCAGGGTGAGTCCGCCACACACCCGCCCTACACACGCACCACATCCCAACCCCGCCGAGCCCCCGCCGCCGCCCCCGCGCGCCGCCCGCGACCACCAGCGCAGGGTGAGTCCGCCACACACCCGCCCTACACACGCACCACACCCCAACCCCGCCGAGCCCCCGCCGCCGCCCCCGCGCGCCGCCCGCGACCACCAGCGCAGGGTGAGTCCGCCACACACCCACCCTACACACGCACCACACCCCAACCCCGCCGAGCCCCCGCCGCCGCCCCCGCGCGCCGCCCGCGACCACCAGCGCAGGGTGAGTCCGCCACACACCCGCCCTACACACGCACCACACCCGCAACCCCGCCGAGCCCCCGCCGCCGCCCCCGCGCGCCGCCCGCGACCACCAGCGCAGGGTGAGTCCGCCACACACCCACCCTACACACGCACCACACCCCAACCCCGCCGAGCCCCCGCCGCCGCCCCCGCGCGCCGCCCGCGACCACCAGCGCAGGGTGAGTCCGCCACACACCCGCCCTACACACGCACCACACCCCAACCCCGCCGAGCCCCCGCCGCCGCCCCCGCGCGCCGCCCGCGACCACCAGCGCAGGGTGAGTCCGCCACACACCCGCCCTACACACGCACCACACCCCAACCCCGCCGAGCCCCCGCCGCCGCCCCCGCGCGCCGCCCGCGACCACCAGCGCAGGGTGAGTCCGCCACACACCCGCCCTACACACGCACCACACCCCAACCCCGCAAACCCCAAAGTTCACGGCTCTGAAACGGTTAAGAACAACACATATATGATTAGAATAAGGTGCTCTTATTGCTAAAAACAATCTTTTCAAGACGCGCTCACACCCTGCCACCACCACCCCCGCAATCTTCAGAGTATTTACCCTTCTGGAAATGGCGGGTGCTACATATACATTACAAATAGATAGACTAAACTTTATTAAAAACAAATGTATAATTACAATAAAGCAGCCTTATTGCTAAAAGCAATCTTTTCATAACACGCTCACACACCTACGCACATACGCGTATTAGATAATTGTTTAGTACTTCTAACTAACACTCAAACATTGACTAAAATGAAAATGCTTCAAATGGGCATGTTACTTAATGTATTTCTTGTACAGGGTGCTCAAAATGAACAAGGCACACAAGAAACCGGCAGTAAGGCCAAGAGACCGCGCCGTACAGCACGTTTCTACGCCGCTAACAAGGACCCGCACGCTACTGATGTCATGTACGTATTACTTTCTTTATATCGAATCGAATCGAAGGATCATGATCCGTCGAGCCGGATATTAGAAATTCTACACAGATTTTTTTTATTAAAATGTCTATCTGTAATAACGCTACTGCAACACAGTTTATTGTCCAAGCTATTTTGTGTAAGCCATGACTGATCACATGGACGCCCAAAGGCCATAAGCTTGATAGACAAAAAAGAATTATAAGAATAATGGTTGGCAACCCTGAACGTGGATAGATGGAAAGGGAGAGGACGACCGAAATAAAGACTGGATTGTGAGAAAATGATATGAGTAAAAGGAGAGTAAGGTCACGACCGATAGGGTTCAATGAAAGAAGATGACATATTGCGCCGACCACAAATAATGGGATAAAGGCAAGGCAATGATGATGATTGGCAACCCTATACTACGTTATAATAATATATATTACCAATTGGTAAGTATATTAATATTATTTTTGTATTACAGTACGAGCAGGAAGCACAAGACGAGGCATAGCCTCAACCCTCCCGTGGAGCACCACGTGGGCTGGATCATGGACGTACGCGAGCATCGCCCGCGCACACACAGCACCGGGTTAGTACGCACACACGCACACACATCACTCGAAATCAGTAGAAATTACTGGCTCATCCAATTCTGCCTATAAACGCAATACTGAGTGGTACTACATCACGTCATATGTATTTAAAATATATATATATATATATATATATTTGTATCTGTTGTCTAGAACCCATAACACAAGTTCTAGCTAGCTAACTAGAGACAAGACGGCGTGGTGTGCATTATCCTGATATATAAAAAGCAGAGTTGTAAAAAAAACTATAAATTTACATACAAACTTTAGTTTAACAGTTCCAACATCAATTTATTACTATTACTATAACACAAGCAACATACTCGTGTTAAATTTCGTGTTGTTTGTACGTCTAGTTCATCGCTGGGCACCTCCCCAACGCTGGGCTCGTCGTGTGGTTCAGTGCCGCAGTCGCTACCCGCGTTCCAGCATCCGAGCCACGGACTGCTCAGAGAGAATCACTTCACGCAGCAGGCCTACCACAAGTACCACTCGCGGTGTCTTAAAGGTAAAGTTTATATATATAGTTTTACTATTACCTGCCTTTATATGTACGCTCTTTCACACGGGAATCGCCTTTCACGCAGGAAAGAAATAATCTTTATTCAAATAAACTTAATATAAGCACTTTTATTTATTTATTCCTATTAGTAAATAATAAATAAATTACATTTAATCATATACAATTTGCAGAGCATTACAAATCGCAATAATCAATGAATTGTTACAGAACGAAAGAAGCTCGGCATCGGCCAATCGCAGGAGATGAACACCCTGTTTAGATTCTGGTCGTTCTTCCTAAGGGACCACTTCAATCGCACCATGTATAATGAGTTCAGGTGAGTTACAAATAGACATATATTTCAGCAAGCTGTATCTATAATATACTAAAATTATATTTTTAATAAATATTTAAGAATCTATCAATTTTTTTTTATTCTTGGGAGTTTCAGTATTACATAAAAATTTATGGAAAATTTTAAAGGGGTTTCCACTAATGTAATACCTAAGGGCCTGGCTAAAATTAGTTACAATATTTCAACATAGATGGCGCTCTAGTGTTAGGTGATTGAAGCGCATTTACTTTTTTATTTATGATTGTTGTAAAGTCAGTCTTTAATACAGATACGTCAAATCTATACCGGTGTTTTAATTAATAACATATTAGGAAGTTAAACAAACATTGTTTTTTTTTTTTTTTAGATCATAATGTTTGTTTAACTTCCTAATATGTTATTAATTAAAACACCGGTATAGATTTGACGTATCTGTATTAAAGACTGACTTTACAACAATCATAAATAAAAAAGTAAATGCGCTTCAATCACCTAACACTAGAGCGCCATCTATGTTGAAATATTGTAACTAATTTTAGCCATTCCGCCCACCAAGAATATAATTCTTTCTCAATCCGCCCACCAAACCGCATTAATTATCTCCTTGTGTAGGTTTGGGGATATCATTGGGCAAAGGAATTAATTTTGAAAGTGGACGTTTCAAAATGGAATTTTTGCATTTAACAGTGACAACTCTCACTTCTCTATCTGGTCCTGTATGTAATTCTATTATTCGTGCCAGCAACCATTTTGAGGGTGGCATGTCCCTTTCTTTAAGTATTACCAGGTCACCTATTTTTGGATTTTCAGATTTTGAATTCCATTTATATCTTTGTTGCATAGTATGTAAAACCTCCTTGGACCAGCGGTCCCAAAAATGTTTCATCATTCTTTGTACCAGTTTCCATCTATGGAGTGGACTAATAACATCTCCTGTATCCTGCTTATCTGGTATCATTATTACTGGTTCTCCTATAAGAAAATGTGACGGTGTTAAGGGAATCAAATCATCTGGATGGTCGCTAAGTTGACATAGAGGCCTGGAATTTAGACATCCCTCTATCTGGCACAATACAGTAGACATTTCTTCGAATGTTAATGTTGTATCTCCGATTGTTTTAAGTAGATGTGTCTTCAGGGATCTTATATTGCTCTCCCAAAGACCTCCGAAATTAGGTGATCTTGGAGGAATAAAATGCCAAGTAGTTCCATCATTTTCTAGTAATTCAGCGACTTCTTTGATAACACCACTCATACTCTGATTCAACATTTGTGTTAACTCATTCGCTGCACCAACAAAATTCAAGCCATTGTCACTCCACATGTCAGAACAGTGACCACGACGTGATACGAATCTGCGGAATGCTGCCATGAAACCATCAGTAGTAAGGTCGCTCACGGCTTCTAGATGAATGGCCTTAATCTTCATACAAATAAAAAGAGAAATGTACCCTTTATAGGATTTTTGTCCTCTACCCTTTGACACACGCATCTGTATGGGGCCAGCAAAATCCACACCACATGACTGAAATGGTCTCCCTGGATTGACACGTACAGACGGTAATTCTCCCATGAGTGGTTGTTGTGGTTTAGCGTTATATCTGATACATAATGTACATTTACTTAGGATTTTTTTTACTAACGGTTTCAATCTAATTATCCAATAACGGGATCTGATGTAATTCATCGTCAGAGCAGTTCCTCCGTGCATCACTCTTTTATGTGCATCTCTTATCAACAACTCCGCCAAGTGAGTTTTATTTGGTATTATTATTGGATGTTTATGTTCTTGAGATATTTTTGCAGCTTGCAAACGACCACCCACTCGCAATAAGTCATTTTCATCTATATATGGTGTTAAGGAGATGAGCTTACTACGCCTTTTTAATATATTTTTCTCCTTTAAATCTGCAATTTCTTCTTCAAAATTATAAATTTGAATTACCTTAATACAATTATCTAATGTAGTCTTCATTTCAGCAGCAGTAAGGTAAGCGGGCAATATTTTTCTACTATTCTTTTTGTCTTTTAAATTTAGAAATCTTCTGCAATATGTAAGTACTCTTATCATTTTTTGTAAGTCTGAAAATCTTTGTATAATTGTTTGTGATTCATTTGTAACAAGGAATATATTTGTGTATTGTTTCTTTTCTTCCAGTTGAGTTGTAGGTACCACTGTCTTCTTTGTATTTAGTAATCTTTCACTTAGCCAGTATGGTCCTCTCCACCACAATTGGTTTTTATTTAAATCTGCAGGGTCAAGTCCTCGTGAAGCAATATCAGCTGGATTTTCTTCTGAAGAAACATGGTTCCATCTATCATTATCCAGACGTGTTTGTATTTCTGTTATACGGTTTGCTACAAAAGTTTGCCATCTGATTGGTTGTGATTGTATCCAAGCCAGGACTACCTTTGAGTCTGTATATGCATAAACTTGATTTTTAGGTACCTTAGATTTCATTATGTTGTTTGCTTCTGACAGAAGTTTCGCCAAAAGAACAGCAGCACATAATTCTAATCTTGCTATCGAAATTTGTTTCAGAGGTGCTACCTTTGTTTTACTTTCAAGAATGTTAACTGTTACATTTTCTCCTTGTATGACTCTCACGTAAACTACGGCAGCATAGGCAGAAATTGATGCGTCAGCAAATCCAACAAGCTCAATTCGTTCATTTTCTGGATGTATATGAAGCCATCTATCTATCTGTATATTTTGTAGTGTATATAATTGATTTCTAAAATGTAACCATTCTCGTGCTATGTCATGTGATATCTCTTCATCCCATTCTGCATTTGATAACCATAATTTTTGTATTAATATTTTAGCTTTAATAATCACAGGGGAGAGCCAGCCAAAGGGGTCAAATAGTCTAGCTACGTCAGATAAAATGTTGCGTTTTGTTATGGGTTTCATTACTTCTGGTAGGTTTACTGAAATTTTAAATTTATCATCATTTCTGTCCCATGAAATTCCTAAAATTTTAATAATTTGATCAAATTTTATTTCGTAACTTTCAGTTGATTCACTATTCTGTTTTATTTTTTTCAATAGATTGTCAGAGTTGCTCGACCACTTCTGCAGTACAAAACCAGCACTCTTTAACAAAGCAGTTACTTCATGATAAATCTCTAAAGCCTGTGTTTCATCACTTGCTCCAGACATCATATCATCCATGTAAAAGGAATTTTTAACAATTTTTGCACCCAGTGGATATTTGCTTTGTTCGTCTTCGGCTACTTGCATTAAAGTTCTTACTGCCAAGTATGGAGAACTTGCCGTTCCAAAAGTCAAGGTCAGCAATTTGTATGTTTTAAGATCTTCGTGTGGATTGTCTCTCCAAATAATAAGTTGGTAAGAGGTATGATTTTCTGCTACCAACACTTGGCGATACATTTTAATAATATCACTAACTAATGCTATTTTGTGTTGTCGCCATTCTATAATCAATGTACATAAATCTTTTTGTATTACAGGTCCAGTAAGAAGGGTATCATTCAATGATTGTCCTTTGGATCCCTTCGCAGAAGCATCATATACTACTCTTAACTTAGTTGTATCTTTATCTTCTCTTATTATTGCATGATGTGGTAAATATATACTATCTTCATAATCTGTCTCAACTAGTGACATATGTCCTAATTCTTCATATTCTTTTATGACCTTTCTATATTCTTCTTTTAAGTTTTTATTGTTTGCAAATTTTTTCTCTAATTGTAAAAATCTATATGTTGCCATTTCCTTTGTTCTTCCACATTTGTCTACTGGAGTTATTACGTCCTGCTTGAAAGGTAAGTTAACCATATATCTTCCTGATTCTGTTCTAACAGTAGTCTCTTTATATATCTCCTCAGATCTTTTTTCATCCTTTGTTAATTTTCTCTCACAGGTGAGTACTTCATTTTCTACTTCCCAGAACTTTCTTAATAACTCATTATCACATACACATAAATGCATGCTAATTGTTTGTTTTTGTTTTACAGGTTGTTTGTCCTCAGTATCACCGGAAAGAATCCAGCCCAGGTGTGTTTTTTGAGCTAAATACCCAGATGGACTCTTTATCAATCCCATATCTATGATTTTACAATATACTTCTGACCCAAGCAGCAGATGAACCTTGCTTGGTGTGTTAAAATATGGATCTGCTAATACAATTTCTTGCAGTTCGGGCCAGTTAGATATGTTGATTGATTGTGTAGGTAAGTATTTTGTAATAGACTTTAAAATAGAAGCCTTGACGATTATTGTGAAATTAGGGTTGTGTCTAGACTGCAGTGGTACTTCAACCATGTATTTGGTCTGAAGTTGATTTCTGTCATCCAAACCTGACACTACCCCGTCGATTCTTATCTTCTTCAAACCCATAGTTTGAACTAAATCCTCTGTTACAAAAGAGGATTGTGATCCTTGGTCAATGAGGGCACGGTAGATGTGTGTTTGTCCCTGACGTGAAGTCACATCTACTAGTGCGGTGGCTAAGAGTACTTGACCAGGTTGATATGCAAAATGTGATACTGTGTTTTGATTTGAGTCTTTATGACATTCTTCCCTTACAGATTCATTTCTTTCCGGATGAAGCAATGAATGATGCTTTTTATTACATATACGACAAGCCGTCTTCCTCATACATCTTTGTGCCTGATGATTTGGTATTAAACAGTTAAAACACAGATTATTATTTTGTACAAATTCATGTTTTTCTTTATACTGTAAGTTTGCAAACTGTTTACATTGGTAAATATAATGAGCACTTTTGCAATATGAACATTTTACTGTCTCTATTATACCATGAAATGTTTTTTGTTTGTTTGACTTGGATGTATGATCTGTCATCTCTAATGACTTAAATCTGGTTTCTAAAAATTCTTTTAATTTGTCAAAATTTGGAAATTCATCTTTTTCATTTGAAACTTGTTGCTCCCACAGGCGATGAGTATCTGGATCTAATTTGGAAACTGTTAAATAAATAATTATTGTATCCCACTTGTGTGTAGGCAATCCCAGGTTTTTTAGTGAATTCAAACATTCCACTGTTGTATCTAATAATTGTTTAATATATATGGCATTTTCATTGTTTATATTTCTTAAGCCAAAAAGTTTTTTAAAAATGCAATTTGATATATATCTTTTGTTGTTATATCTATTTCTCAAAATTTCCCATGCTTGTATGTAATTTTCACTAGTTACTGAAATTGTCCGGAGTAATTGCTCAGCTTCGCCTGATAGACTTGATTTCAAATAGTGTAGTTTCTGAACATTATCTAGAGATTGATTCGTATGTATGATAGATTGGAATAAATCATGATATGACGGCCAATCTGTATATCTTCCTGAGAATAGCGGAATAGAAATAACCGGAAGCTTTATTTCTGCATTTGTTTTACTGGTATTTGTTAAGGCAGTACAATTTGAGAGAGAAAGATCTTGAATTTTTGTTTTTAAATCACTTTTGTAGGTTATGTATGTTTCCTCACATGTTTCATATACACTGGTACTAAAATAATTCAAATTGATTCTTTGTTCTTTAGAAATATTTGTTATTAAATGTTCATGAGTACTACTAAAACTTTGCCATGTTGTTTCTGGTTCTCTAATCGTGTTTCCACATGAGTTAATGTAATTCTTGCTTTCGGCGTCTTGCCATAATTAATTTGAGATTTTTTAATAATTTCCAATCGTTCCTCTTGAAGAGCTAATAATTGACTTAATTTGTCCATTATAACTGTTCAATGTTTAATAAAATAACACTTAAATGAGTTTTTAGCACTAATTTTAGTTTATTGTCACTGATACCTAACCTCTCAGTCACTTTATTAACGTTTTTATTTTTAGTGAATCTCGAAGTATTTCATGTAAATTATTTAATGTACTGAGTTATTATTGTAAACTGCACAAAACACATCCGGCTGAAGGACCATAATGTTTGTTTAACTTCCTAATATGTTATTAATTAAAACACCGGTATAGATTTGACGTATCTGTATTAAAGACTGACTTTACAACAATCATAAATAAAAAAGTAAATGCGCTTCAATCACCTAACACTAGAGCGCCATCTATGTTGAAATATTGTAACTAATTTTAGCCATTCCGCCCACCAAGAATATAATTGATGGCGCTCTAGTGTTAGGTGATTGAAGCGCATTTACTTTTTTATTTATGATTGTTGTAAAGTCAGTCTTTAATACAGATACGTCAAATCTATACCGGTGTTTTAATTAATAACATATTAGGAAGTTAAACAAACAGGGCCTGTGTACGATCTTAGAAACATATCACCACGCTTTCATTTTAGGAGCAAAGCGTATTTAAGTCATATATTCTCAAAATATGTTAAAACCAGTAAGTGTGTTACTGTACCCACAAAGTGTTAAAGATTTATTCTATTTTATTCTGTTCTATTAAATTCTATACTAACTACCCACCCCGGCTTCGCACGGGTGTTCATGTATTATACATATAAACCTTCCTCTTGAATCACTCTATCTATTATACCGCTTCAAAATCCGTTGCGTAGTTAAGATTTAAGCATACATAGGGACTGACAGACAGCGACAGCGACAGCGAATAGAATAGAATAGAATAGAATAGAAAAGAAAATCATTTATTCAAATAAACTTAATTTAAGCACTTTTGAATAGTCATAACAATTTGTTTTTTATCTACCACTCGTTCGGAAAGCTGTCTCATCACAAGAAGAACGAGCAAGAAACTTGTGTGTTTGCGACTTTGTTATATACTATGTAATGACTATACTATTCGCATTAGTAAGGATTAAGTACGTTATTACCAGTGTGATGATGAAGTGGATTGTTCTAGAACGTTGGCGAACGAGGACGCAAGCGCAGGGTTCCGCTACGGACTCGAGTGCCTGTTCAGATTCTACTCGTACGGTCTGGAGAGGAAGTTCCGCCCGGAGCTGTACCACGACTTCCAATTGGAGACGATAGCTGATTACGAGAAAGGTGAGTACATTTTTTTGAATAATTGAATATTATTACAACAATAGGTCTCTGTAAGTCGCCTTAAATAATCTGATTTGGTTAGTCTGATTACTCTGAACACCTGCCATCAGCTTGACATTCAAGTTAATAAGTTAATATTCAAGATTATTATCACGAACTACCCGACTATTTATTATTTATTATAACCTTTATTCAGATCAACTTATACATTACTACCTGACTATAAACCCGTAGGTCTATATTTGGTTAGACCTTAACTGACTAATCTTTAAGATCTAACCAAATATAGGGGTTGAGAATTTAGGATATTCTAGTATATGTTTTTTCATATCTTATTAATATTATATGGTATACTTATAGTCAGGTAGTACGATAATATTAGTAAGATATGAAAAAAAATTACTAGAAAATCCTAAATTCTCGACCTATGGGTACTATAGTCAGGTAGTAGTACCCATATAATATTAGTAATATGAAAAAAAATTACTAGAAATTCCTAAATTCTCGACCTACAGGTACTATAGTCAGGTAGTAATGTATAAGTTGACGATGATCGTGATAATAATCCTGAAGTTAACTGGAATATTAAATTATTAACTTGAATGTCAAACAAGCTGATTGTAAGTGATAACCGTCGCTTATATATCGTTGATTAAATAGAAAATTTTCATTTTTCATAATTAGAAGCTAGATTTGCCTACTTTTATATAAGTCAATTTAACTAGGCCGTCTTAATCATTATCTAAATACTTTTAAAATTATATATAATACTTCGGTGTAAATTTTTGTTAAAACGTTAAAGGAAAATATAATCATTTAAATAAATTAAAAAAAACTTTAAATGCTTGTCTTATAAAAAATGTACAGTTTGAATAGTTTATTTAACTTCAATGCACACAATATACAAAATATAGTAAAGTACATTTGGCGGACTTAACACCATGCGGCATTTTCAGATTAGTGCCATTTTTTCTATTTAACCGACGATATAATATCTGGATAGCCGTGATACTGTTCATATTATGAACAGTATCACGGCCACGGAACAGTATCCAGATGTTTATTGCAAGTTCTTCGCAACTCAAGTATTCGAAATGGATGGTGATGTGGCCTACACTTGTAATATTTCAGTCAACACTTGAGACCCTTCCATTAGTTACGTCTCCACAAACATAGATTTAAGTTAAGTGTAAAACAGTCCGCATTACGACTACGCGTTGTGTACTCGCGTTTCTAATAAATATTGTAGCACATTACCAATACCAATAAATGCTAACTACAATAAATAGTACAATTATTTAGCGGTATACTCACTACCTACATACTACAGTAAATAATATATTATGTAGCGACACCTCATCACTTTACAACATACATAACGCTACAGTGGTGAGGATAAACTAGCACTACAGTATGTATAGTGATAAAAAATTATGACACGTACAAGAGGCTGTAAGGTCCTATATGAATATACTAGCTGTGTTCACAGTTTCACTCGTATGTTTATAGCCTATGTGTTATTCTGATGTATAAGTTATATTATTGTAATGTTTCGTCAAAATCCGTTGAGTAGTTTTTGCGTGCAAGAGTGACAAACATCCATCCATCTACACGTGCATACTCACAAACGTTCAAGTTTATAATAATAATCTCAGGACAATTCACACAGCGCCATCTAGACCCAAGTTAAGCTAGCTAAAGCTTGTGTTATGGGTACTACACAACTGATACAAATACATAGATTTTTTTTTTCGTAAATACATACATATTATACATAGAAAATACCCAGACCGATACAAACAATCATACTCATGAATACAAATGTTTGTGCCGTGCGAGGAATCGAACCCGCGACCATCGGTCGTAAAGCGGTGTGCTAGACCGCTAGACCACCGAGGTCGTCAAATTATAATATTAGTAAGATCATTTTAAATTTGAGTTTTTAATATATCTACAACAATATAGGCTATTACGTTAATAATGATTATGTCACAGGTCAGCTATATGGTTTGGAAAAGTTTTGGGCGTTCCTCAAGTACTACAAGCATGCTTCGGAGCTGCAGGTGGATCCCAAACTTGACGGGTTCCTCGCCAAGTTCAAGAGTATTGAGGACTTCAGGGTTTTGGAGGTGAGTCAACCACAAATGTATATATTTGATATAGGTAGAGTATGTACAACATCGTTGCGTTGGTACCTATCGAGTTGGCGGGTATCGAGCCACTTAGTTTGATGCGAGACTTCGCTTCGCTTTGTGTGTTCTACCGATTATACAACGGACTGTGTTCTGAGGAATTGTTTGACATGATGCCTACGGGCACCTTTTACCATCGCACCGCTCGCCATCGATTCCCACATGCTGGAACCTAAGTAGTTTCAGAGGAGCTTCCTCCCGCGTACACTTAGATTGTGGAATGAACTTCCTGCCGAGGTTTTTGCAGAAGACTAGAGCATGGGGTTTTTCAAGAAGGGTATATTGTGCTACGTTTACATTCAGCCGCTTGCCCTGCCACTCGCGCTGCCGGAAATATTGCCGGGCGACAACTGAGCGAGAGGGCTGAATGTAAACACACGCTGCCATTCCTTTGACTTGCGCACGAAAAAGAGTGTTTACACTCTCGCGCTGAACACTACCGTGCTCTCTTCCCTGCCCACTCGGGCTGAGTGTAAACGTAGCATTAAGGTTTCCTAAGGATTGGCAACGCACACGTGGCACCCTTGGTGTTTCAGGCGTCCATAGGCTGCGGTAACCATTTACCATCAGATGGGCCGTATCCTTGTTTGTCACCATAGTAGTATAAAAAGAAAAACCTCAATTTCACTTATTTCAGCTAAACAACTTGCTTTGTAAGCTGTGATTTGGCTGTAGGGTGAAGTCTATCGGTGTTCTGTAGGTCGTATTTTGGCATATATGCTCATGAACTCCATAATATTATTCCTCCAGTACTGTCTAGTGGAGCGTCTTGTACGGTGACGGAATCACCGTACAAGACTCTCCACTCATACACTGTTGACATCCCTGCTGTTCATACCAACCGATTTGTGTCATCTTTCCTTATGCGAGCAGCAGTTGAACTCTTTCAGCGTTAGTATTTAGAAAGAAAGAAAGAATGAAAGAAATAGTGCCATACTTCGACTATAATGTACTTTTTTTTTGTATTTGATTTATTTTTTTTGTACATCCAAATATGGCACTTACATAAATACAACCTATTTGGTTTTCCTTTCGCCCCGCGACCCCGCGCCACGTCGGGAACAATGGCATAGAGGAATGTAGTGCGAACGTATCGTGTAACGGTGTGTTCTGTTATGACACAGCCGCAACTGAACGAGCTGCTAGCGACCCAGGGCCCGCAGGCGGCCGGACGCGGCCCGCACGCGCGGCCCTACGACCGGCACCGCTCCGTGTCAGAGAGCGACCGCCCGCAGCCCGGCCCGCCGCACAGGAACCAGGAGTGGTGAGTTACCTCGACGCAGGGCCCGCAGGCGGCCCTACGACCGGCACCGCTCCGTGTCAGAGAGCGACCGCCCGCAGCCCGGCCCGCCGCACAGGAACCAGGAGTGGTGAGTTACCTCGACGCAGGGCCCGCAGGCGGCCCTACGACCGGCACCGCTCCGTGTCAGAGAGCGACCGCCCGCAGCCCGGCCCGCCGCACAGGAACCAGGAGTGGTGAGTTACCTCGACGCAGGGCCCGCAGGCGGCCCTACGACCGGCACCGCTCCGTGTCAGAGAGCGACCGCCCGCAGCCCGGCCCGCCGCACAGGAACCAGGAGTGGTGAGTTACCTCCACATTTTTCAGTCTACGGACTCCTAGAAAATCGATTGTCCCGCCCTGCACCACAAGAACGACTTCAGGTAAGTATACTTGTCATTACACCATCATTATTTAACACTTTTCAGTCACCCCTCCGATCGATCCCCCGTCCAATTCAAACGGAGATTGAAATTGCGAGGACCCGAGCCGAGGTTCGAACCCTAGCGGTGCCCTCAGACTAAAGTCATATCCGTCAGGCGGTAGTTGGCTTTCAGCCGCTCTATAAGTCCTTCCTCTGGTTTGTAGTGCCATCTGCACTGGTCTCCTATCGTCCGGTGAAGCTGTAAATGACAGCAGCGACCAACAGCATTAAAATAGTCTGAAATATAAAAAACCTTTGAGTCAATGGACTCTTGGAAAAGATATAAAATAATACTATAATAACCACCTCTAGTACTCTCACTTGCTATCAGACTTTCTTCACATATTGCAGTCCATGAAGTTCTATATAATCAAACACAATTTCAAGGACCCTCTGAATAAGTTAGCGTGACTATTACAAACTTTTTTTTCGAACTATTTTAATACTATTGGTCGTAGCTAGCCATTACAACTCGCCGGCCGATAGGGGACGAGTGCAGGTGCCACTCCAAATGCGCAGAAGGAATTGCCGCTGAAGGGCAACTCCTACTGGACGAATACAAAATCTAAGACCTATTAGGAGTTTGAACCTCGACGGATGAGATAGAGTAGAATAGAATAATATATAGCCCTGAAAATAGTAATTTACCCTTAATTAGACTTCTCTAAAACGATGGTAATTATAAAGATTGGACTGCATTGTAACGTATGTAACCTGTACAGCCGGCCGGCGGCCCTATCGAGCGTTACGAGCGGTGTGAGCGCTTCTCACAAGGAGAAGGACAGCCGCGGACGTGCAGGCTCCTGCGGCTCGCAGAGCGTCATCGCAGCTGTAAGTCTCTACACTCATTTTACTCACTCCGACCACTAATTCTGTGTACAAAAAGTGCGATTGGTAAAGCTTTGTTAAGCTCAATTACGAACTGAAACCTTTTGTTTTACAGAAGTACAATAATATTAACCTATAGAGAAATATTAAGACTCTATATTTAAAATTGAATCTTGTAGCATTTGTTAAATTCTATAATGTTAATTTGTACAAGGTTAGTCATAAAACTTACATAAAACCAAAAGTAAATAAAACTGTCAAACTTTCGCAAATCAAAGTGAATACCCAGAATAATCCACACGCAGCTATCTAGTCCAAGCTAAGCAGAGCTTCTGCTATCGATACTAAACAGCTGATATAATTATTAACTTATTTAATAGTAATAATGATTGTTTCAGCGTCGACCAAAAAACCAGAAGCCGTACCCCCATCTAAATTAAAACCGGTCGCAGCGAACACGCAGTAAATACGCAGTGACAACGCAGCACGCAGTAACTCATCAGTGTATATAGACTCGACGCGAACTTGTGTTACTTAACGTAGTTTTAAAATTAAAAGGAATGCATTTTTTTTATATAAATATTAATAAACGTACATAAACGAAAAAAAATTAGTGCTGACGGACACTGCAATGACGTTTCAGTGTTTTTTTTTTGTCCGGTGTGTTTTGTGACTGGTTGCGGCCGGCTCGAACCGGTTTGAACTGGTATCGGCCGGTCGTTATGGACAATGGGAACGGAGTCTGGGAATGCAGGCTGATTATTACATGGAGCCTAGGTGAGTTCTCTAGTCATATTTTTTAGAATTTCTCTAGATATTGAATATTAATTATCTGTATTAACTAAAAAAAAGAATGGTTTTGTCTGTGAATTTGTTGACGCTATTCTCAGAAACTACTTAACAGATTTGGTTTTCACTACTGTATTATTATTATAGTTAAAGTTGTGTGTATATTTTATACAAATAAGTACATGGATGAGCTTACTTATCTGGGCTGAATCTTAGCCACGACGTAAAGTGGTCTATAAGTGTTCCATAGGCTGCATTTCGGCGAATATGCTCAGGAACTTCATAACCTCATTCCTCCAGTACTGTTCCATCACCGTACAACAAGACGTAGTGTCTAGACACTCCGCCTATACACTGTTGACATTCCAGCTGCTCGTACCAACATATTTGCATCGTCTTTCCTTATGCGAGCAGCTAAGGAGTGGAACTCTCTCCTAGCATATGTTTCTTGCCTCTTACAACATTAGATCTAGTACTCAGTCACTGTTAGATAGTTGATTAAAAAAATATTTAACACTAACTGTACCGCCCATCGTCTGCATCACACTTACCCAATTCACATGTGTTATTCTGATGTATAATAAGCTATATATAACTGTGAAGTTTCATCAAAATCCATTCAGGAGTTTTTGTGTGAAGGAGTAATAAATATCGATACATATTCACAAACTTTCGCGTTTATAATATTAGTAGAGTAATTACAAATATTGTAGTCCTGTATAGTTCCTGAATACATTTAGATTGTGTCATGAACTACCTGCTGAGGGTTTCTCTGGAACACTAGTTACACTAACGGTAACCGTTTGTCATGAGTTGGACCTTCTTGGTATAAAAGAAATGGTTTAGTACATGTGGACATTTTTTTACACCTTGGGTTACATTATTGAAGTTTCAATAGGATTCCCTATATACTCTGGGATTGCTGCAATGATCTTGTCTTATTAATATTATAAACACGAAAGTTTGTGAGTATCGATAGATCTTTGTTACTCTTTCACGCAAAAACTACTCAACGGATTTTGATGAAAGTTTACTGTAATATAGCTTATATTAGGGGTACCGGAAAGTAATGACGTTTCTGCGCATGCATGCAATGCTATACTGTCATTTGTCAGCTCATTTTATTGTTTAGAGGGATGCAAAGACGTTGTGAGGTTATAGTTAGATCTTGACTTGTGGAAAATTAATTTTGCATAAGTCAAGATCTCACAATAAAATGAGCTTGAAAATCAAGTATTGAAATGTGCAGATACGACGTTACTTTTCGGTACCCTTAATACATCAGAATAATATTTAAGCTATAAATTTCACGCGGTTGAAACAGCTTGCACAGCTAGAGGTGATGTAGTTTTAGAAATCAGATGATAGACGAACACTTGTCAAATAATATGTTTTTAAGCTTTTCATTTCGTTTTCTTTTTCAGCTTGTACGCAACGACAATAAGCAATGCTAAGCAAGAAATCACCGAGGCGCGTCTGACTATTGGCTTCTTCTAGTGTGTAAACTTAATATTAACTATTATTGTAATACTATATATATTTTTGACATGTATCAACCGAAATTCAGTCATCAGAGATAGCCAATTCGTTTTTATAGGTTATAATTAATAATATATTGCAAAAAGATAAAAAAGAGTAATTAATTACGTTTTTTTTTTGTTAGTTATCGCTTGTAGGTAAGTTTTTTAAGTGGCAACACTTTTTTTTAATTCACAAGTGGTGCTGCGGTTTTTCGGATTTCAGTTTTCGGATCTCTCCCGTAGGACCGGTTTTTAGCGTTTTTGTTTCTAGACATCCGGGACTTGATTTTTGTTCTCGTACGCACGTATGTAAGTTAAAAATTACTCGGATTTTTAGGAATGGTAGGTGTTCTTGTGTTTGCGTCATCGAAATGGATAATGTAATTTGGGTTTGGCAGTTACGTCTCTTATACTCTTTAAAATTCGAATATTCGATGTAACTATAGGAAATCGCCGGAAAAAACGGTGCCCGCAAACACACGTGACCGGACGCGTATTGTATTTAAGAACGTTAGAATCGGAATTGTGTACAGATGTTAATATTGTTCAGGTAGACAAATTGATATTAGCGAGACGTCATAGGACTACGGAAATGTAAATCGTCAGAAAGACTGGCTATAAATTTTAAAGTGTTGATGAATAAAATGAATTGTGTTGTGCGATGCGTTTGATAACTGGATGTATTTGACAATTATTATTATTTATATTCAGACCCTATAAGATGGATGTTATTATATTAAAGTAATAGATTCATGGATTTCATTGATATTAATAGAAACCTGCCGTTAGAAATTTTTTATTACTTAACTTATAATAAGAAATTTTTGTTTAGTAATATTTGGCATCTAAAGTCTTAATAAATCTTTAAAAAAAACACGGCAATATATATTTATGAGCGGGATGTACCTGATACAGGCGTTGCTATGTTTATTAGGTAATCCCAACATTGTTATTGTAATCCAAACATTTTTTCATTTCATTTTCAGATTAAAACATATCTCAACTTCTATAGGATACCAAAATAAACTAGGATTATTACAGCAAATCTAGGTACATTCTACAGGCGTTACATTTTATATCTCTAATGGCAACTTCTGTGTAATAATATAAATAAGTTGTAAACTGTAATGTTCTGTATTTAATAGTTACCATACATTCTGATTGCTTTGTGAAACTGTTTAAGACATATAATCTTTAATTGACCAATAACAAACATATGTTGAACATCTAGGTAATGATTGAGACAGGAAAATCGTTCTAAACAATGAGCAATACCGTTTACTGTTTTAATAGAAAAAGAAAATAAAAAAGCTTAATGATAATGACATATTTTAGGATTTAATGAGACAAATTATACCTGCGTATTAAAAAGAAAATAATGATAGGAAAATAAAAGGAAAAAATTGAGTCCGATTTTAATTTTAATAATCTCCATCTGTTAGGGTCTGCCTGTTATACTGCCACATTGTTCGGGTGACACAAGCGAGCACACAATTTAGTAATGTTCTGTCTTGTACAGTTAATAAGAATTTCTAAGTTTGACAGTTGTAAAGGTAATGTTAACTCTCGATGTATACGACGGTTATAACCAAGTACCCGTTCCATATGTTTCTTTTATAAAAACGAATTTCTTTAAAAACAAAACATTTATGATTATTTTTAATAACGGGAAACAGGTTTCCTAATTCGAAAATGTATGTTACCTTCGTGGAATATTTATAATTTTTTTTGTTTTCGACTTTGTGTATATGGATGATTTAGACGGTTATTGTGGAAAGTGTCATTCAATGCTGTGTTGTAAAAAATGTAAATAAACTGCAATTTGTATGTTGTATGAGGGGGTAAATTTACTTTTTTTTATTGTTTAGGAAACCCACAGAGAATGCGAGGCGTGTCATGTGTATGTTAAAAGATGTAATGTCACTACGTCAAGGTTTTGCGCTTGCGTATTCGTTTTCCTTTCCATTATTATTTTTATATTTGTTTTTACCTTTACCATTGTCAACAGTCTATAATGTTGTTCTTAATATGATTCCTATTGTAGTCTAAGATCCCACAGCACGGTTGTACACCTAAAGATTTCAAATCAAAAAATTGTAATGCAATAAAACGCTGTCGGAGCTTGAACTATAAGACAACCTCGAAATCTTCAATTGACGATGTTAAAAATTCACATGTAAAAAAATTACTAACTTGCTCAATTTTTTTTGTGTACGAAATGATGAAGTGATGTGATTGTGACTTGATGCACTGGAATGTTTTATCCAAATTGAATTTTACAATACCGATCTTCTCCATTCTTCAAATGGAATTACTTCACCATCACCCTGATTGACGGTGAATGTGGATAGTGTTAGAAGTTACGAAAATTGTTAAAAACGAATGAATTTACTAGTTGTAAAGTTGGCAGTATTTTCTTTGAGACAAAGACAATATTTGCTCAGCAAGGCATAGTTTATTTAGTACGAGATGAAATCCAGTTTCGTCACTATTGAAGGACTATTGATTCCTAATAGCAAATGACAGCTAACCGGCGCCAAAAACTATAACTAAATAGCGCTGAATATGTATTAATGTAGTGCTATTAAAGACTAATAAAATTATTTGGCAGTTTAAAACCCCACTATTCCTTGAACAAATCAAGTGCTTACGCCTTAGATATTATAAATTTAATAATTAAATTGTTTTAATGTAACAACAAGTAATAAAAATAAAAAAATAACCCCCAACACAAAGTAGAACTCTAAAATATAAAAAAAATGCTACTGACTATGAAACACCTTCATAAATTATAGCTAAGAACGATCTTGATCCGTTAGCTTTAAAATAAAAAGCTTTCAGACCAGACCAGAAGATGCTACAGACAGACACACAGGGACAACAAATTTATAACATCCCTCTTGTTGTGTTAGGGGTTAAAAAAATTACTCAAATGTTGTAAATAAGGAATAGGATATAAGCAGCTCTAATTATCGCGAGAATATTATTTTAAAGGCATCTAGTAGCTCCATTCAAGTCATAGACAATTGGCGCGAACGATTATATTTATATTCTATAAACATAGTACCAACGCGAAATTATAGGTCATTCAACCATTAAAATGGTTTAGTCAGGAATATAAACACCATTTAGTTTATACTATAGTTGTTTTTGACCTGTGCGTGAGTTTATATTAAAAAAAAAATAACCCCCCCATTTTGAATTAATTTCGCGCGCTTTTGTGATCATGTTGAAATTTGATTACGAGTGAATTTGTCTTTGGTATACTCTTCGTATGATTTGCATTCAATTTGGATAAATACATTATTATTATTTCTTATGTATAACTGTATATTACTAAATATAATACAGATTAACATGAGTCGATATAATTTTTTAAGTTTCTTAGTTTTTAAGTGTGCTTTTTATTTTTAAACACCGTGATATTATGCTGGCATGTGATTGAAGGTGTTAAAAATAATAATAAAACACTTGACAAATGTTTGGAAAGAGAATATGTTTTTTAAAGAGACACCATTGTTCTTTTTTCAAATTATAATTATAATGTTGACAGTTCTTATTTTTTCTGTAATTGTAGATTATTTTATCTATGTAATTTTGTTACTAGATTTCAAACAATTCTCTTACAACTTAACAATATTGTGAACTTATACTAGGGGAATAAGTCATATAATCAGCAAATGCAATTCTTCAAACACTATACTGGCATATATCGCGTTTATTTCATAACTATTAGTATATAAAATAAAAAAAAATATAATAACTGCAGGCTTAGATCGCTTCTAAATAAAAATAGTTCCTATACGTTATTTTGTAGTTTCCATGGCGCGGCAGTCGTGTTTTTGGTTTGTATAATAAAAAATATCCTTCAGTAATAGTCGAGAGTTATTCGCAACCTCGCAACGTTGATAAATATTATTTTAAATGTACTAAATTTCAATTTGTATTGGATGATTTCCGCGTCGCAGTCCCAGCGGTAGTCTGTCAACATTGTAAATGTCAATTTTGACAGCACTTATGTCAAAATGACAACACTTGTGACAAATTCACTGCAGACTAGTCAAACGTTTGTCACAATTGACATTTTCAATTGTATATTAAAAATTTTAAAAATGCGTACTTTTGTAGACAGAGATTGAAAGAGTTCATACTAAAATTAAATGTTGCAGATAATGCAAGATTTTTGTATGAACACTTAGAATAAATCAAAATATATATAATAAATAATGATATTGTCTGTATTTCTCTCACAATTACTCGATGATTGGACGCATACTTTTACCTCTCTTATGCACACGTAGAATTTCTTGAAATCAATTTACTCTATGGTTTTCCGTTAATTATTTGTCAATGTCATGTAATAAGAATGGCTATTTAACTATCATATGTTATTTTTCAGTGTTTTCTTTATTTATTTACTAGGCAGATATTAAACTAAATAAATATAATATATCTTAATTTAAGATTATCAATTCATACAATAAGAGCTAAAAAAACGCTACTCCTAGTATCAAGTTTAGCAATTGTCTGTCTTATTTGCATGCAAAAAAAGTAATAAAAGAACTCACACTTTGACATTATAGCAAAGTTATTATTTTTAATAAAGGCGCGAAATCCTAAATTAGAAATGCGGCGGTAACGGATTATTCATATTATATGCATAGTATGAACGTAACCACTATTTAGTGAGATCAATGGCTTCATCAATAATGTTTTAAAAAATAATACTCTTTCGGATTATGCTTATCATCATCAGCAGCTCACTGCAGTGCACTGCTGGACATAATTATGGGCATATGTGCGTCCAATCTGTTTTAGTTAATTACCGTCCCATAAAATTACTCTTAGAGTTATAAATGTTAACCATAGTTCCATTAGAATTGATAGGAAGCGATCAAGAGCGTACGTCGTCATGTTTTCAAAATATTTTGTAAAAAATATATATATATATATATATTTTTAATATGTTTCACGCATATTAAGTTGGGCTAAAAAAGACTTTTAAAAAAATATATATATATTGAAATATCTTGCCATATGTGAAATATCAAATTCAAAATATAACACACGTAAAGGGAGTTATTTTTTATTGTCTATACTTTTTGAAATGAGATAAGGTAGACTGGGGTTAAATAAACCATATAACTTGATCTATGATCTTATTTTGAACAGTTCATTTTCATATATATATGCTATTGATAATAGTATATGTAAATAATGAACATTTCATATATAACGAACATTCATATATAAAAATATTGGCAAACTATCATTTTTGTATTTTAACAACATATTTGTCTTCAAGTTTCATGAACCGCCTATCCCTTTATTTATTCTTTAATAATTATATTCTATTAAATTTCACTTGCTTTTTACATTTTATATTGCATCGTTTATAACCAATTTGGGAGTATAAATGATAAATAATTTAATCGAGTTAATTGAGACTTTCAAAGTTTAAAAATAAATAAACTTATAAAATACACGTTTTCTTCTATTAGTAACGTTGGAGTAGAGCTGAGAAAAACTGATACGAAACTCAACTGGCCACTTTGTATCTAAGTTACCGTATCATCATATAAATCATAAGACACTATCTGTTATATATGAATAAAATTGAACTCTATATACGACTGGATTTTGACTGTCTGAAAACTGAAAATATTTTGAAAACGTGACGTCACAAATGAATACTTATGAGAATTGTGTTATTGTTAAGTTTTTTTTCTTTAATTTAATTCGTGACGATTGTTGCAATTTATTATAAGTATGCCAAAGTAGAGGAAAGCCTGTAATGCACATCTATACATATAAAATGTAACTGATCGCTGTCTGTACATTGACTATATATGAGAAAATCTATTTTTGGCGGACTCTGTCAACGTAACAGAGTTTCTGTGCGTTTGTACGCGCTAATCTCAGAAACGGCTTAACCGATTTTCGTGCAGTTTTCACTAATGTGGTAATATTTAGTGTTTGTTATGTTCCAATCGCCTAACAAACAAACTTATGAACAATTGTTACTCCAAAGCCGCGGTCTCAGCTGGTACAAAATATAGGATTACGTAATAACGAAAATATAAAAAAAATGCTGTTTAACTGTATCATAAGGTATTTAGGATACTCCAAGGATGATTGTTATTTTTTTTTTCATTTTATAATTTGAAGGTACTTTTTTCTGAATTATAAAACAAATTGGTTGTTGTAATTATAGAATGCGTAGGTGTTTAATAGTATTAGATATAAAATATAGATAGTTAGGGATACCCCTTGAAAGGAAGTTTTTTAAGTGTGCTTTTTCGACGCCAGCATCGGATGTGTCCCGACATGCAACGCTGACTTGTGGAAATAATATTGGTGTATGTTTTCTTAATTTCTTTTTCACAACTTAAACTGCCGACACGGCAATATCGGGCGCCTTCGTTGCGGGCGATCTTTATGGCTGTAAGTTATACACTATATACATAATATTATTATATTGATAAATAAATTAATAATAAAAGCAATGTTGTTATTTTATTTTATATTCTTAGTTTACAGTTCCTGTTTTATTTTGAAACTTAACTTTCACGTGTTTTATTTAGCAATTTAACGTTACTATATATTATGAAGACGTAAACTTTGTGAGCTTGATTGATTTTTATAATATAATTAGAATATGTAGATAACTCATGGGCGCGACTAGTTTTTTTTATGTAAGTGGTATGGCAAACAAGTTGAAGGACAATATGAGCAGTATTGCGTTACGATTTCATATAACGCACGTAGTATCATTCTGACATTACTATTCCAGAGAAATACGTTTCCATACCCTGTATGTCCTCAACCGAAATTCAACCTACACAGCAAGATTCGCGGTACGATTAATTATAAAATGTGTAGTCGTTTCTGATCGGCCTACATTGCAAAACTGCAGGTAATTACTTTTTATTCTTTATTCTTTATTCTTTATTCTTTATTGTACACACACAGGGAAAAAAAATAGCAATAATAAAATAAAAGTAATGTACAAGGGCGAGCTTATCTCTAAAAAGAGATTTCTTCCAGCAAACCTAGAAAATGTTATAGGATAATTTGGTCATTAGATCAGCCATACATACGTGTACGAGAAAAGAGAAGAAAAAAAAGGGAAAGGAAGACATTAAAATCATATAAATATTAATAAGTCACACTATAAGAAGGAATAAACATACACAAATATATAAATATATAGACATACATAAATTGTACATAAATAGTATATAAGGTTTCGGTTAATATATAATTGTAATACATATATATGTATAATAATACGTCAGCATTGTGAAAGATAATATTTTTTTAAGCGGCTTTTAAATATACCAATGCTAGCGCTGTCACGCAGTTCGTGTGGTAATGAATTCCACAATCTAATAGCCGACACAACAAAAGAGTTTGAGTATGCCTGCCCAGAGTGTACAGGAGTCCGTAAGACTAATCTATTTTGGGATCGAATGTGTACTTCTGTCGGATGGAGAAAATGGAAACGTTCGCGGAGATAGGAAGGTGCAGAAGGATTATGCAATATATTGTATAAAAGACTGAGGACGTGTACGTTAAGTCGTAGTTGAAAGGGCAACCATTTTAACTGTTTACGGTACTGTGATATATGGTCGAACTTTCGCAAACCAAAAATAAAGCGAATGCACACGTTCTGGAGACGTTCCATTTTGCTAAGCAATTCGACAGTGGCATCGAGAAAACAAACATCTGCATAATCAAGAAGAGGTAAAAGGAGCGTATTGGATAATTCGACCTTCGTTTTGAATGGCAGAAAACTTTGAAGACGCCTCAAGGAGTGAATTGCCCCGTAAATTTTCTTACTAACGTGCTTAATGTGAGAAGACCAAGAAAGGTCACTGTCTATGTAAACACCCAAATCCTTTACAGTTTTAACGCATGATATTATATCTCCATTATATACTACTGACGGTATGTGCGTTGTATCTAATAAATTCACCATATATTTGCTGCCAACAATGATGGACTGTGATTTTTTAGCATTCACGAGCAGACCATATGCCTTAGCCCATTCACAAATGTCATCGAGATCCGTATTCACCAAGGAGATGACGTTATCTATGGATCGGAGTTCGAAGCTGCGATACAGTTGCAGATCATCAGCATAGAGATGGAAGTTGCAAGAGAGTACTTTTGTCAATGAATTAATGAAAACAGAAAAAAGTAAGGGAGAGAGAACGCCACCTTGAGGGACGCCGGCAGTCAATTCGCACCAGTCTGAGGTGATTCCATCCAGATGAACGCATTGCCTGCGGCCCCTCAAATATGAATCAAACCATTCTAATACCAGTGGAGATACGTTAAAAGAATCAAGGACGCCAAGGAGGATATCGAAGTCAATAGAATTGAAAGCGTTGCTGAAGTCTAATAAAGTAAGGATTGTGAGCTGTTTATTATCCTTAGCAAGGTGAATGTCATCTAGAACTTTGAGTAAGGCAGAAATTGTACTATGCGCAGGACGAAACCCCGACTGAAAGGGAGATAGTAAGTTGTTACTGTATAGATAGAAAGAAAATTGTTCATGAACAACATTTTCTAAAATTTTGGATAATACGGGTAGAATAGAAATGGGACGAAATTCGTTAAAAGAGCTAGGATTATTGGTTTTGGGAAGGGGAATTACACGAGCATTTTTCCAGGCAGACGGGAAAGAACAAGTGACCAAAGAATGATTGATTATGTGAGAAATTATGGGCACGAGCTCGTCAATTATCAGTCGAATCATTTGTAAGCAAATATTGTCATCACCGACTGCCTTGGAGGAAATGGAAAGGATAGATTTTTTAACGTCACACTGGCTAATGATTTTGAAGTAAAATGGTTCACAGTTGGGTTTAGACTGGCGGCGAAGATTATCAAGAGTAAAAGCTTTGATACTGTCAGCAACGGAGACAGGAGGCGAAGAGAAATGCTGGTTGAGCGCATTATAGTCCAAATTAGGAGGACAATTTGAAAAAGACGATTTGCCAATACCCAATGATTTAAGAAGTCTCCAAGTCTGAGCTGAGTTACAGCTGTGAATGGATTCATGAATATGGCGTCTCTTTGCATCTCTACACATCCGATTACACCTATTCCGCAGCTTTTTATAGGATAATAAGTTATCCTCAGATGGAAACCGCTTGTATTTCCGTTTGGCCTTATCCCGTCTCGCCATAGTATTCCTTATATTTTGAGATAACCATGGAGCTGGGAGATGTTTGACCTTCACTTTTCTAATCGGAGCGTGCTTATTGTATAGTTCAAGTAAAATTGAATTGAAGTTTGCGATCATTTTATACACTAAACTGAGTTATTCATACCGTCAATAAGATATCGGTCTACCGAATAGGTGGTTAGGAGTCATGTGTATGCCAGCGACAAGGATGCAATATAAGAAAATATTAATATTATGAAAATATCTAATGCCTGAGAGGTTACGCAATCGAATTGTGTAGTATCGAACGGTGGCTGATTGGCCATCATTTCTAGACTAATCGGTGTCAAGGTGGTACAGTTTACAACTATTTTATTTAGGTACACAACAAATCGAAGTAGTAATTACGGATATCAATTTATAATTATATTGCACTATCATGCAGACAAACCCACAGGAAACGGAACGTATTAAGTAAAGACTGATAATAACTACAATATGTAAATAAACATCTAAAATCAAGTGTTTATAATTGATAACCTACTTCCTACTTGATACATATACATAAAGTCAGTTTAAGTCAGTATCACTTTTATTCATATGTATCCTAATAACCTTGTAGCTTTTTAGTACTCTCTGCGTAGTGCTTAAAATACCCCAACTTCCTCAAAGTTCAATCAAAATAATCAAATCGATTTGACTGACATGGTGACAAACATGCAGGGCAGAGATGTCAAGTCAATTTGTCAACCTTTAATATTATCTTGTCATCTTGTCAATCATTATTTTGACAATCGCTGAATATAATTACAAAAATATAGCCTCTTTAAAAAGATTTCTGCATTGAAATAAGTATACAATACAAATCAATTGTATATTAGAGATTCATTACCGGATGTACGTATATTGAGTAATAATGCTATGATCATCAGCTTTGTCTATGATTACTAGCATTAATGAAATACTTCGAAGAATTACAATAAGAAAAAATCTTAGGTGTATTTAATTATTTTATCATCGACATACTTAATTTTAGCTCGAATTACAAGGAAATTGGCACTCTGAGCTAATTTTACAGTATCCATATAATTTCATGACAACACATATTTGTAGGAATTAAAAACATAAGAATTTGTCTATAGATAAATTTCTAGTATAGCAACACACGAGTATCGGCTACTGATTCCGATTCAATTCGATTATTCCAGTAATTAAAATGTTATATAGTTGTTATAGTTTTTATTTGTATTTAACTGGTAAAACCTATAGTTCCAATAAAAACATTATTTTTATATTTACATATTATAAAACGAATCGAAAGCTAGTATTGAACAAATAAATCTTTGTATTATTTTTAAAGTTACACTATATTAAAGAAAGAAAATTATTGTCTTGATCAGAATTTGTTACTTAATTCGCTTGTCTGCTTAGGCTTAATTCTAGATACTTGTTACTCTAATAAAGGAATTCTATCTTTTGATTAGTTAGGTACTTTCATTGTTGTAGTTGTCAACTCGAGTAAGTAAATTTAGACAGTAACTCTAATATAATATTGAATAAATTAAATTATTATTTGTATGAATCACAGTAATTATATTTTTTAATATATAAGTAAAGACAATTCCGGTTTTGTAGATATGTTAATATTTTAAATCGAGTCAAGCCAATATTCGATTAAAAGAACATCGGTGTTGCTAGCATATAATATTGAGAAAAATTACATCACCATTTCATGGCACGCGTTTGACGGCATTTGTTAAATTTTTCGACTTTTCGTGACAGCACGTCATTTTCGACATTTGATTGATAATTTTCCAAAGATCCATCAAATTAGTTTGTTTGAAAGTTAGTTTTAGCGCTAAGTGTTATGTTGTGATATTTTTGGTTTCGTTTAAGTATGTGATATAGCGTGGCCCTAAATTTAGAGAGGGTCCATCATGACTGCACAAAAGTGCGTCGTGGAGGGCTGCAATTTGGAATACGATGTGGTTTGCAGCTTCTCCTTTTACAAGTAAGCTGTTTACATTCTACTTTTCTCCTACAAATAGCTCCTGCAACCTCTTTTTCCCTGGGGCGTATTACGCGTGACCTCGAAACGCAAGATTTCACCCAAAATGGTCGAATACAGTATTTATGGTTTGAATGGGCGTCCTTCCTATTAGATAGTGATTTCCCGCTTTTTTTTGTACTTGCCACTATGGCTTGTGTTTATTAAGATAAAATCAATAATAATTCTAAGAGAAATAGAGAATAATATATATATTTTTTATTAAAGTAATAAATAAATATTATTTTATAATTGGTTGGTGGTTGAAAACTGCCATTTATGTATTCGTATAGAATAATTTCTATTATACAGTGCAGAGTACTATAGTGTTATTGGTTATTCTTAATCTTTGATAAATTAAATGATACTTAGCAAATTTTGAATTATTAGTTCCTCTATAAGACCTTGTTAAACATAATAGAGAACTAATTATTAAAACAAATAACTCGAATGTTAATAAGATTGCATTGTTTGAGTACAACATACATTTTTATACAAGTGTATTCCAATTTTTGTTAAACATTATTACAATTTACATTAAACATTACATGAATAGTGTTTAATTTGGGGTTACTAGTCTTGATGGAAGACTGTGCTTTGTGTAAATTGTCTATATTTACATTCAGTTTAATGATGTCACTACAATAATACACAATAATAATAATATTATAATACATGATATTAAAAATATAACTGAATAATCCATAATAATCAAAGTACTGTAATATAGTGTTATTAATCCATTTATTATATGGAACTTTAAGATGTTAATGAAAGATTTCTATTTCTATTTGCTTGCTTACTTGCTTATTTATATTAAAAATATATCTGAGATAACTGGATGGATTAATTCAGTAAAAATAATAAGATCTAAAAGCATTTTGTTTTATGGATAATGGATTGTTGCTCTCAACTGTGGTCATGGTATACAGTGGGGCATCAGTGAAGTATGACAAGATGAGCATCAAGTCAGCTTAATTAGATATTCATGGCAAATATACCACAAATTAATATAAACACATTATTGTGGGAGGCCTTTGTTCAGCAGTTGATATTTTCTGGGCTGAAATGATATTACTGACTATGAGATGTTTAACCTAATTACCACCAATTATCTCCTCTCAGTGGCCTAGCGGTTTAGCATACAGCCTTCCTTCCTTGGTTGCTGATTTGATTCCTCGCATGGTACAAACATTTGTATTCATGAGTGTGATGATTTGTATTGGTCTGGTTATTTTCTATGTATATTATGTATGTATTTACAAAAGTATCTATGTATTTGTATCAGTTATCTAGTTCCCACACAAGCTTTAGCTACATGATACAATACATATATATATATTGTAAATACATAAATATTATACATAGAAAACATCCAGACCAATAACAAGCAATCATATAAATGTTTGTACTGTGTGAGGAATGGAATCCGCGGCCATCGGAAGTAAGACGGTATGCTAAACAGCTAGACCACTAAGGCTGTCATATGAATTTATATTTATCTATTAAAGTATTAATAAATAAATAAAGTAAATATTTTCCATTTTCAGCACAAACACATCATACGACAGTGATGGCAAGCGACAGGAATGGATCGAGGGAGCCATGCAGGAGGAGAGTGAGTGCCTCTGGCGACATGTCAGCCTACATCTGTGTGGGTGAGAATATTGACTTGGAAGCCAGCAACAGGTTCTGGTGACCAATTTCCTCTTGGTTAAAAACTACTAAGATATATTTTTTTAAATCTCAGAATAATTCACACAGCACCATCTGGACTCAAGCTATCGAAAACTTGTGTTATGGGTACTAGATATCTGATACTAATATACAGAAATTTTTTTTTTTCCATAAATATATACATAGCAAACACCCAGACCAATAAAAACAATTATACTAATGAATACAAATGTTTACTAATATTACCTCGTGAGGAATCGAACCCGCGACCGTCGAGAAATAAGTAAATTATATTATTACTATAAGAATTTCTCAACATATACCTGATAGCATGGATTACATTATATGTAATGGTTATTTTTATATTATGTTTTAATATAGATACCACTTTGAGTTGGACACCCAGGGACTGTGGATCGACTCTCCAATGTTGCCTGAACTGCTCATGCCTCAAGAGAAAGAGGCACCGGTCCAGACGGAAGCTGATAAGAAAGGTTTGTAATTAATTAATTATAATTCAATAATTAATATCTTGTAGTGTAATGGTTATCACCTCACCACTGTACCGTTATATATGATGTGATGAGGTGTCGCTACATAATATTGTTTATTATAGTATGTAGGTAGTGAGTATACAGGTGTAATAATTGTACTATTCATTGTACATTAGTAAGTTTATTACATAGTGTGCTACATGGGTTATTAGTAACTAGCGACCTGTCCTGGCTACACACAGATGTATTACAAAATTTTGAATTTCTCAACTTGTTCTATACTATAACACGCATGTATTATACATATAAACCTTCATCTTTAAACACTATCTATTACTGAAAACTACATTAAAGTCTGTTGCGTAGTTTAAAATATATAAGCGAATAGACAACGGCTGTTACTTAGTTTTATACTATGTAATGCGTACATTCGACGCGGAGTCGTAACGTGGACTGACTGTACACTGAACTTAAATCTATGTTATCTGGAGGGGTACTAATGGAAGGGTTGCAAGTGTTGACAGAAATATTACAAGTGTAGGCACATCGTCATATATTTATCGAGATAGTTTAAAATTATTATGTATTTAACCAATTTTCAACTTTCATCTTCATATAGGTATGAGTTATTATTTTTTAAGTGTTTTTTGGCTCTGGTGTAAAGTTAGGTTTTCAAATTACTTATTTACTCTTTCTTCCGTCATTATGGTATTCGTTATAGCACTAGAAATATATAACAAAAAACATTAACAGAGTAAGAAAGTACGAAAGCCGGTCTTATCGCTTAAGCAATCTGTTCCAAACAAACTTTGGTTAAAGTAATAAAAAGAAAAGGTGGTAAAGGTAGATTGGGCATGATTGAAATAAAAAAAATAAGTATAGTTATTTATGGTCATTCATTCCCATTGCCATGCTTAGAAAGACAGTGGAATATGTAGCTATGGTTTTCCTGAAATCACTCAGCATTTTTTTTTTGGCTTGTCATTCTTGTATATTATTGTAAGAATGGGATAGCAAAGCGGCTATTACACTATGTGACTTAGCCCCAAGGGGATCCTGGTTCGTTAAACCTAACATTTATAAATAACGTACTAAAAAAATTGTGTTGAACCAACTCAGTTTCATTTTACCAAGACGGTTAAAAATGTGGCAGTGTAATTACAGGGTATAGAGTCATAACCTCTTAGTTCTCTGGAATGGCAACGCATATAAGGTACCACAGTCGTAATGTCCTTAGTGCTATACATCTATACACATATGCAGTATGTCACTTTCTACAACTTCATAGATTACAAGACTACACTGTGTAAGCAGTACAGATATATATGCACTTCACTTCTATCACTTTCTAACGTGTCACATATTCTTTTGGGGTTTACAATTTCCATCATAGGTTATAGTTCCCACTTAAAAATTTGACTGTCAGCTTTTTTGCCATTCAAATAAAAAAACTAGGCTAGGGCTGTCGCTTTGCACTGACCACCGCTCTGGTTGCAGGCGGCGGCCAGGCGGCGACTCGTGACACCTACCAGGCTCTATTTGAGAGGTTCCTAATGAATACTCCTAAAGGTACTGTTACCATCACAGATCTGGTTACCAATCATAGGACACGTCTGTGGTACTGTCCGTGTGACACTGTCAAACAAGAAGTTTTGAAACAAAATCATACAAGGAATGAATAAAAAAATCATCCAACAAAGACACTGATGAAACTGAGCCAATCTGGTCGCAGACTAAAACGCAAAATGCCTCAGGATCTTATCAAATAAGATGACCCCATGAACTCCATTCCGCCTCAAAATTAAAGGAATTTTGAAGTTTGGTTACGCAATAAATTCTAAACGCAAAACAATATTTTTGTGTTTTGTTCCCATAAAAAATATTGTTTTTACTATCCTCTATGCAAGTTCTTCATATTTTATCACCGTTTAAACCTTCCCTAGACTTCCACGAATACTTCAAGACTAAAATTAGCCAATTCGGTTCAGCCGTTCTCATTTTTTATATCAAATAAATAGAGACCTTATCAAACGTGTATAAGTAGAGTAAGATGTATGTGACCGAGCATGCAGTGACGAGAATCTAACAAACATAATGTTCAATTGCGACAGATAGAAGTACAGGCAGTTCTCGACTTACGTCGAACAATGTTTGACACTATTCCTCAAACATACAATTGTTTCTATTTCCGGCATAGGTAAAATCACTTGTCACGAGGTCAATGTCCGTGCTTGTTTAGTTAGTTCTTTCGGTTACTAACCCTGTTGGATACTAACCCTTGAGTTTTAAGCCCAATTTACACTCAGCCCGAGTGGGCAGGGAAGTGAGAAGCGCGAGAGTTTAAACACGATACTTTCCGTGCCACTCGCGCTGCCCGGCGCTCTCTCGGTTGTCGGTTTTGCGCGAGTCAAAGGTCTGGCAGCGCGAGTGGCAGCGTGTGTTTACATTCAGCCCTCTCGCTCAGTTGCCGCCCGGCAATATTTCCGGCAGCACGAGTGGCAGGAGAAGCGGCTGAATGTAAACGTAGCATTACATGTGAACATACAAAAAAAATATGTTTCGACTTGCGTCGTTCCGATTTACGTTGCGTATTTCGTGAACCTAACATGTTGTAAGTACGAGGACTACCTATACTCGAAAAATAAAAAAATAAAATGGTTTTTATTTTATTTTTTTTAATTAGTGTGTCGTGTGTGCCATCCCCTTTTCTGTATACATTAGTCCTCTCTTCTAGGTTATCTGTATGAAATTGCTTATAGCTATATAAGACCGCCTTTTGTTATTAATTCTCCACTTGCTGTTTATCTTAGTGTATTTCTTCAATGTGCACAATAGTTTATTATATTATAAATAACGCCAAACATTTTCTTGTCAACAGCTGTAGATGTCATTCGCATGGAACACAATTACTGCGTGGAGTCTGTCAAGAAGGAGCCGCCGCAAAATGTCTCGCGGTTGAATGTACGACAACTGGTCGACACGCTCGGATACCTGTGAGTATCTACCAAGTATCATATACACTAGTAACTCACCCAGACCTGTTATATTAATAGTAATTATATACACTTAACTATATTCAGAGAAATACATTATTATTGTATTTATTAGAGCAGATATAGCGTCTGTGTACAAGTCAGCATCTTGGATAGGATAACCACTGCCACCCTATACTTATTATCTTATAAAAAGCAGATGAAGTCGCGGGTAATAATAAGTATCTTACAAATAAACTAGCTCACCCCGCAAACATTGCTTTTCTATATAAATTGAAATCGCTATTAAAGAAATAGGGGTTAGTTTTAATATCACATTATAAAACGTGAAAAAAAAACATTTTAGTAAGAGCTTTTAAACTATAACCACTAGCCACCCGCTAGTGGTTATAGTTTAAAAATTAGTTATAAACCTATTCTCAGACCTATTGAATTTACATATAAAATTTCATCAAAATTGGTCAAATTTCGCAGGAGAAAACTGTGACACGAGAATTTTATATATTAGATCCTAAAAAAAGCAATATCGCGTCTAATAGTTCGTATTTTATATATTTTTGTTGATAGTTCACTGAAGAATTTGCAACGCAAGCAGCTGTGGGTGGTCAGAGTGGAAACCGACAAAGCGGAGGCATCCATCACGCAGTCAGAGCAGGTCATCACCAAGATGCAAGACCCGAAACAGATCATCGAGGTGAGGACATCATCTTACTGATAATGTCAATGTGTACGTTTGATTATTATTTAAACATTTTTGACCGCCACGATGGTCTGCCGGCTTAGCACACCGCTTTGCGGGTTTGATGCACATTACAAACATTTGTTTTTACGAGTATGATTGTTTGTATCGGTCTGGGTGTTTTCTATGTATATTATGTATGTATTTACGAAAAAATGTATAAAGTATTTATATCAGTAATCGAGTAGCCACAGCACACTACGCCATGTAGTCCCAAACTAAGAAGAGGTTCTGCTTAGTTTGGGACTACATGGCGCTGTGTGAATTGTCTAGGTACTCGATAGATATATATTTTTGTCAACTGAATTGATTTTAATAAAATTGCTTAAAAAGACACATCTAAAGTGAATCTTTAGACGTGTCTATTTCACAAACAGTTTTGATTACGGGTTGATATCCCCGTCTTCGCAAACGGTATATGCTGGCGGGGCACCAGTTGGGGATGATAGGGATAGTATGTAGTCAGGCCATTTAGTCTACCGTGGTTTTACCAGCAATTAACCAATAGGTAGTTTTCTTTCGAAGCACTTCGACTTCACGCAAGTTCTATTGTCTTCCATTGGTGCCCCGCCAGCGTATACCGTTAGCACAGACGGGTGCAACATTCCATTATCACCCTTAGACAAATTAACTCACTCTCAATGTAAGTCTGATGTGTTTAAAAGTCACAAAAAGTATTCTACTGAATAATTCTGACAAAAAATTATTCAATAGTATCATTGTGACTTAAAAAATACCTCTGACTGACTGGAATGGTAACGCATGAGACGCGTTATGTAACAACTTGATGTCCTTGTAAATATAATCATTAAAGTTATTGTAATATTGACGAATTTACTTTCTTGTTATATCCACACTTTATTTATTATACTCATATAATAAATAAAAACACAATTACTACTATATCAAAAATGTATATGACAGAAACACTATCAATTTCAGAAATATTTCATTATGATTTGAATATAGCCTATGCCTCCCGATATAAATGCAGAAGTGTCTGTTTGTATTATACCATTTCACGAATAAACCCCTGAATGAATAGAAATGAAATTTCATGTACATAGACTTTCTTTTATATAAAAAAAGTAATTGGTAATTCCTTGTAAATATTTATGATTCGGGTATGGAACACGTGACCTTCAGATATTAAAGCATTATACTAAACCCCTAGACCGCAAAAGGTCATCATGTTATTCTCTACCGAAACTACATCGGTCTCTTCTATAACCAGTTACCAAATTTCAGATAATACCTCAGACTTCATCAGCAGAACCCCAAACCAGTCAGAACGAGGTGCTACAAATCATGGAAGACACAACCATACCCGATACATTCATATATGAAATCGCCGAGGAACAGGAAATAAGTATGGAAGAGGTAAAAGAGATACCTATCACTGATAACAGGGAATGGATGGTCAATATTATACCTGAAGAGAGCAGACCAAAGTATGCATACATAAAACACTGCAATACAGGCAAGAAAAAACGTCACTTCACAGCAGAAATGAACGAGATCACGCTACAAGGGGATTATGATAATTACTACATTCTCCCCGATGTCGACCCATCAGTTGGGGTAGAAATCACTACCAGTTATGAACCGGAGAACTATATCGTCCAAGAGTACGAACATTTGGTACTAGAAGATCGGCAGCCGAAGAAGAGAAGTAAAGAGCCGACCGAGTCCGCAAAGAAGAAGAAAAAGAAGTACACGGTTGTGCACGAGGAGGACCAGATACGGATAAAGAGTGAGGACGATTGGGCCGTGGAGGATAGGACGTCCTTCGAGCCGGATGGAGAGGAGTACGACGATAAAAAAGCGGCTCGAGTGCGGCGAAAAAATAAAAAATATCTCGGTTACGATTTTGTTACTTAACTCTCATTTGTTTTCATAGATGGCGCAACAGACAAACATTTCAATCGATCTTGGATTGCAGCTGAATTAATATTTTATGAGGTCTGTAAAATTATTTTGTTCATACAGTATAGAGTATATCAAAAGAAATGTCAGGTAGAATACTCATGACGCTGAGGTACTTTCGCTACGACACTAGTCGCAAAAAATAAATCATAATATTGCAGTTCCTGCTAGCGACAAGGTATTCATCCTCATACCCAGGGGCGGATCTACCTATTTGTTTTTTCGGCTGCAGCCCAGGGCTCCGGATACAAAGGGCCCCCAGCCCCCATTGAAACGATATTTAGTATATAAAAAAATATCTAGAATATTAAAAAACCTATCATAAGATCAATCAATCCATGCAAGTGCGCGTCTATTGAAAGGAACGGGGAATCTCTGGTCGCTTGTTTTTGGTGGGTGTATTTTTTTTAGTTGAGTAACATAATTAGGTAGGCCCCTAAGTAGATATAGCCCAGGGCCTCACAAATTCACGATCCGCCCCTGCTCTGCCTTAGAACCTAAGTGGTCACGGACAGACATTTCAGAGGAGTTTCCTTCCGCCCACAATTAGATTGTGGAATGAACTACCAGCTAAGGTTTTCTCTAGATATTACAGTATGAGATTCTTCTAGAAAATATTAAGATCGTAACATGTGACACCCCTGGTGTTTCAGGCTTCCATAGGCTACGGTAACCGTTTACCATAAGATGGGCCGTATGTTGTCATCACTGTGATATAAAAAAAAAAATAAATTGATGACGTGATCGCGCAATTTGTATATAGGTTTTAAAATTCCAATTTTCAACTTTGCTTCTTTGACGGCCTCGGTGGTCTAACAGTTTAGCAATACCGCTTTATAGTTGTCGCTAGTTCGATTCCTCGCACGGTACAAAATTTATATTTCTGAATACGATACAAATGGTATCGGTCTGAGGGTTTTTTTGTGTATATATTATATGTAAATTATAAAAAAAATGTATTTAAATATTTCTATATGTTATATAGTACCCATAACACAAGCTCTGCTATCTTTGGACTAGATGGCGCTGTGTGAATTGTCCCGGGTCATTATTATTTGTGAAACTTTGTTAGTTTCATTATCTTTGAGTTTATTGTACGTTTTGTAACTAGCCCTGTACATTTAATATTATAGAATTTCAAATATTGCGAAAATATTATTTAAAATCCTATAATAGAGATAGATATTAATATTTCTTGAAGCCAACATTAATTACTCCAGTATTTAATGTAATTTTGTATAAAATATGAGGTACTTTTATGGTCATTTATATATTTGAAAATATTCTAGCTAATGCATTTCCAGGGTCGATATGACGATTAATTACTTAACGATGTTATTAACATTTCACAATTGTATTGTAATCTACAGTGCTACAATTATTTATTTACGAACAGTTGCAAATTTCTCAATTGCAGCTGTTTAATGATCTTTACACAATAAGAAACGAATTCTTAACATTCCATAAATTCACGGTGCGGATGCCTGGTCCATCGTGTGGCAGAGAAACTACGAGCAGTTCCCGGGGCTTGTGACCCGGGTGTAGGTTTAATTCTCATCTCCCGACGTACATCAACATTCACCTTGACCGCTCCAGATTTGTGTGAGCACGGAGTGTTTCTCTCCCTGCTCACACAAATCTGGTAGGAGCCTGCTAGTGCAGCTTTAGATACACGTTCTAATATAGAATCCACTGCAGTTCTAGACAGGCCAAGATCTTTTAGAAGATTGTAGACAGATTTCGCTGGTATATCTCTCGCTACCGCTTCGACCGCATATAAATTAACCACATAGATATTTTTCGTTAATTCGTTTAATAGTTCTTTAATAGAAATATAGATATTGTTTATTAAAATAAACTAATTAATTTAAAAAAAATAATGACTATTCAAAAGTGCTTGTATTGACAAGAACTTCTCAATAGTCATATGTTTTTATTCTAACACTCGTTCGGAACGCCGACTCATCACATGAAGAATGAGCAAGATACTCGTTTCTTGTTGCTCTTTTGAATAAATGTTAATTTAAATAAATAATTACACAATAACAAGTAAGAGGGATGTAATATAAAATTGTAGTTATTCGCTACAAATGAGATTTTTTTATAATATCGTTAGAAAATTAAGTCCCTTTAAAATTGAAATGTATGCCTGTTGCGTCATTTAATAATATCTCATTGATTGAGACTGTAAATTTTACAACAACCACAATGTATGGTTCATTTTTTATTATAATAACATATAATCTATGCTGTACAGATAAAAAATACTTATCAAATATAATTATGGAAATATAGCTTCTTTTAAACATTTGCCACGTATCAGTAGACGTATTTTTTGTTGTATTTCTTTAAATAAACAACATATGACTTATTGTTGATGTAAAAAAATATTTGTACTAATTTAGTACTGACCTTGTTTTGTATATTAGTCCATATTGTACACGGTAATGGATTTGTCACTTGTATGCTTGCAAATAATTTGTTACTTGTAAACACTTGTAATAATTCTCACGCTATGCTTCGGAAGATGAATAAATTGCATTAACTGAAATATATAATAAGGAAAATTCAATTTTAAAAACAGTAACTTTAGAGTCCGTTTTCTATTAGCGTTTATTTTTAGTTAATGCATTTTATTAATATGTGTGATGATGGAAATGATACTTGTAAACATAACTGATATATATATATACATATATTATATTAACACTTTAGCTGCTGAGTGTTATCGTAGATAAGCCGTCTATGCTAAGGGGTCATTGATAAATTACGTCACATGTTAAGGAGGCAAGGTGGTGGACAATATGTGACATTGTGTGGCAAAGGAGTAGAAATGGTCATTGAATCATCATCAATTTCATGACGTCACATTTAAAATTCTGATTTATCTAAGGTGGTCATATAAATGTGACCAACTGTGAAAAGACTGGGGTGTCAAAAAATAACAGAAGTAAGGAATTTGTGAATGGCCCCTAACTCGTACCTTTACTGGCGTAAGCGGTGAACACTGTTAACTTTTAGTTTGTAAGTACTAGCCATCGACAGGCGAGTCCAGGTGCCTACATATGTATACAGTATACAGGGTGGAGGCCATATATCCTGTATATATATGTGGACAGATTGGACTCACCACGTGAATTCTCAGCGGTTAAAATGTATGAGGGTTACTTGTAAATCTTGGCAATATTAGAAAATTATAGGCCTTTCAAAAAGTGTTGTCATTATTAGGAAAGGGTTTGAATAAAATTTATAAACGCTTTTACAGAAATCACTTATATCCTTAGATAAATGGTTTTATACATATTTGTACTTTGTCATCAATGAAAAATCATATTTTAACGATTTTATTTTCATTAATATTGCTATTCAAAATCGTAATAATATGTGAATGTGGAAGTTGGTGTGTTTGTTACTCAATCTGGTATAAATTGGTTGAATCGTATCGAATGAAATTTAACTAGCTGATAACGTAGCTGTTTATAGGTCAAAGTATGTTTAAAATCGGACAAGTATTTTTGAGTTTATTATACAAACAAAAATTAAATCATTTGTCTCGGTAATTAATTTAAATTACGATATCTTGCAATATAAGAACGCTTCTGAATCGTGATTTGCACATTTATAAACAATTGTTTATCATAAGGGGCCATCTATAAATTACGTCACACATTATCGATAGAGTGTGACATTGTCACATGGGGGTGGGATGGTAATAATAACATATATATTTCTAAATCTCTTATCTTAAAAAATATTTCAGACTTTATCTATATTAGCATAAAGTTTAAATTGATCTTTTGACTAGTTTACACTCTGTCTACAAGCAATATAGAAAAAACACTAGGAGGGAGTATCACAAATAACCAGCTATGAAGTTACAAACTTTGTGTGAATATTATATCTAAGACCTTTCTACGAGTGATTTCTGGTGAGATCACATTACAATTTTAATATTAAAACACTAAATTATGACTTTAATTTGACAATCTGTTACAAGATCATACTTTTATTTTAGTACATACACATAAAAAAAAATTAACATAAAAAAGTATTTTATCACCTGGATTAAAAATCAGTAAAATTGTTGTGACGTAGTTTATATATGCCCCGTAACTAGTCAGTAAGTGAGTCCAATGTAATAATGTATGCGAGAGTATTGTATAAACGAATGGACGAACTGACAGAAATGTAGTTGTAAGTTAGAAATTTTGCTTAAAATTTGTAATATAAAAATTTGTCATGCTTCATTTATCCTAATGTTTGTGATGCCACAGTTGTAGTTTAATTTCCTATTATGTTACGATCGAAGTGTTATAATGAAAACTGATGGAATGGAAACTATGTTTAAATCCAGGTTTGGGTTTTTATCAGAGAAATAAATGTCAGTATAATGTTTATATTGTTTTAAATATCAAAGTGATTTCATTGCTGAACCATTTTATAATGAAAATTCTGTTAAGATCAATCATTTATTCTTTGTTTATAGACACGGTTTGGGTGGAAAAAATATTAGTTTGAAATAATGAATTTAAAATATATATAAGTTGCAACTAAATTATCTGCATTCATTTTATGCGTAGTATTGGATTAATTATTATTGCAATAATGATGGAATTTCCTGTTTCTAATATCGTTAATAAATTTAAAAAAAATCGTTACTAAATGCAAATTAACCGATTTTTGTAAAATGGACTTTAATAAACGTTGCCGTTTTTCTCTAGAGTATAATTTGGTAAGTGCAACTAATGACCTGTTCTGGAATCTGAATAAAGATTCCAGAACAGGTCATTAGTTATTTGCATTTAGTGAAGATTTTTTTTTAATAATTTAATATACCAACATATGAAAGTTCTTTATTATCGCAATATGTAATATAATAAATAATCCATTACAGCAGTTAAAAATCAAATCTTTATTCATGTAGGTCTATTACGGACTCTTGTGATATATTAAACCTACCGTCAGTTTGGAGTGCTTTCGAGCTAAGAACTGACGAGAAACTCAGCTCTTATACTTAAATGAGCTGGTACATGTTTACAAACATATGTGAATACAGTTTATTTAGTAGCAACTTACATACTTGTGTTAGACAAAGTGGCAATGTAGTGCTATCTCGTTCATATCTCAGAAACGCCTTGACTGTATGCATTTTTAATACAAAACTATGAAACACGTAACGTTCCTGATTGGGTATCGAGCTCTGACATTAGTTTTAAGTATTATTTCTCAATATATTAATGGTGTTTAAATTACTATTTGTACAGACAAATCAACTTACATACTTTTTTGTACGAGTGTTATACAGTCGCAAAAACTACTTTTAATGGACTTTTGACGGAATTTTAACACAAAAATGTCTTTAAGTTGATTCACCTGTACTTGTAGTGTTGTTTGTCATTACCAACAAAGTGTGTTGTGTAATTTACCCCCTTATTTATAAACTAACGACCGTCCCCTGGTTCGCACGGGTATATTACAAATCTTTGAATTTTAGTGATATTTTAAAAATAGTTTAGATCTCTACTAAAAATGTAACATTGTGTTTGTTAATGGTAAACTATACTAACTGTATACCGCGGCGTCGTATGAAATTATAGGCCATATTATTCCCGATTGTAGATCTATTTATGTGAATAAAAATCTGTTTAGTATTTTATTTAATGAGTTTTTACTCATTACAAAGAAATAAACAACTTGATAATATTAATAACTGAAACGAGAATCATATGTTATTATTTAAGAAAACCAAGATATATGTGTGTTAGTCTCAAAGAAGTTCACAATAACGTCAAATATGAAAAATAATAAGTATTTAAGAGCTGCCAACAACAATATAAGTCTGGATTTCAACACTACAAAACAATGTTAGATATTAAAGTGTTTTTGTCACTTTTTTATAAAAATTAACAAGCACGACCGCATATTTCTATAGTTAATAGTTTTATAAATTAGGGGGTTTTTTTCATATAAATTACAATATAGTTATTTTTTATTAACAAATATGTAAATAACTGGTTTTATACAGGTTGAGTTGTAAAAGTTACACCAAGCCTATACATGTTTTTATACTGGCTAGTGGTTCCATTAATTAATTAAATTTGATCTGAAAGAAGTGAAGTGAGAAATTGAAAATATATTTTTTACGCTTCATACTGCGCGGTCATTTGATTACTAGACCAGAAAAGTTGTACTACATTAAATTTAGTTTCAAATTTTCACTTTGTTTCTTGGCGACCTTCCATAAATTACGATACACGTTAAGACAGATAAAGTATGACAGTGTGACAAGAAAGAATCGATGAAGTATGACAATGTGTGACAAAGAAGAATTGATAAAGTATGACATTGTGACAAGTGAGGGTAATAAATTTAGTTATTGAGGTTTGTAAGTAGGTATATTACCTAGGTTTGGGGTTGGTGTAACCTTTATAATTGAGACTACGCATAACAATGCTTATATTTTATATATAGCCAAATAGTGTAGACAAAAAATAAAAAAAATTGTGTGGAGGTTATAATAATGTCAATGATTTTACAAAGTTACAAGTGCAAAGCAAGTGGTAAGGGCGTTTTTAACTCTGGCCTTATTATGGTATTCTTTTTTTATATAATTTCCAAATAAACAAAAATAAAAATGTTTGAAAACATATAACTTAATTTTCATGAAATAAATAATTTAATTCAGTGTACGCCCTCGATCGATCCCCCGCCCAATTCAAACAGGGATCGAAATTACGACGACCTGAGCCATCAGGTTGTAGTTGGCATTCAACCGGTCCATAAGTCCTTTGGTTTGGAGTGCCATCTGCACTCGCCACCTATCGTCCGCTGAAGCTGTAAAGGCCAGCCGTGGCCAACAGCATTAGAGCAGTCCGGAAAAGAAAACCAGTGTATGCAGAATAAATCATCCATATTCATGATTTATTCTGCTTACAGTAGTGAAAATATTTGTATGTTCTTAAATAACTCAACCAACCATCATATTAGGCATGTGCATATTATTTGGTATGAAATTGTATATAAGTTTCTGTTTATAAATCAATAAATATATAATTTGTAATGCGAACGAAGTAGCGGGCAAAAATAGTATTACATATTAATTACAGTACATCTTGACTTAATTATTTTTATTTATCATCTTACTGCAGCATTTGAATGGTAAATGCTACTAAAACCTACCACGGTTTTCGTAGCGTTTACCATTCAAATACTACTAAAACCTACCACGCTGCATTCACGCCATTACTACTAAAAACCACTTTGCTACTGTATTACATGTATTTGGACCGTTCTTTGAATTTACTTTCTGTAAAAAATTAACAAGCGGAAGCCCTTACCAGCTTCCTATTTGCCGCGCTGTAATTTTGGGAGAACTTGTTGACTAGAATATAAATATATTAAAATGCTATACAGTGACAGAAATCAATAATAAAATATATTTTCTGTTATAGAACTTTGCCTTTATATATATGTATATATACAGGATTAGTTGTAAAAGGTATATATATTAAAAATAAAAGGTAGAATATACATAAATTAACAAAGTGGAAATATGATAATAAATAATAAAATTTTCATACTAATTTGAATTTATTATTTGTAAAATTTATGTACATTTTAAGCTATATTTTATAAACTATGTACTTTTTTTTTATTTCGACTTCTTTTCGATTCTTCTTTCAACCTTACTTCCGGACGTCGTGAGTTCAATTCCTAACACAAACCAAATATTTGTATTCAACAGTATGATTGTTTTTTTTTGGTATTTTCTATCTATATTGTGAATGTATTTATATTAGTTATCTAGTACTCAATAACACAAGCTCTGTTTAGCTTGGGACTAGATGGCGCTGTGTAAATTGTCTAATTGTAATTATTATAATTACTTCAACTAGAAGTCTTGAGGTTGAGTACTGTGATTTACAGCGTCTCGCATCTTACTGGAGGTTTAAGAATATAATATAAATTTAATATTAATATAAATTTCCACTTTGTTCCTTAATGAGTTGTTCAGTGTAATATATAGTAAAATAGGGTAGTCAATGTAATTATCATAAGTAGGTTCATATTCCTTATTTCCATTTATACTAACACTGTCTTTCGGTTTTGTCTACCCTTTACGATTAGTCCTGTATAGTGACTTGGTTTGTCTTGTGAAACCAACAATATTTTATTTACCGTAATATAACAATTTCAAATATTTACTGTATATACATATATTGTGTTTTGTACTTATCTTTCGAGGGAATATCTTAATTTAAAATTAACAACTTCTCTTATAAAGGTATTCGTGTTGTCTACTCTGCAAAACTATTGTTGTTTTTTTCCTCAGATTAAGAAAATAATTCGATGGGAGGGGGTGGCTATTTGTGGGGACTGTTCTATTCCCTGCAATGCGCCATGTCAGGTCGACCTCCACGCGGTCCCCCTGGAAACTATCGTGGTTATTAGTGACAATAACACGGTGGGCTAACTGACCTGACTATCCTCGTCCCATCATTCTCTGGAGCCCCGCCAGAGTATACAGTTAGCGTAGGCGGGTATTTAAAAAAATCGATAGAAAGTACATGATATAATAGCTGTATTAGTTGTTTGAAGATTTTATAACATGGTAACACTTTTTTTATGAATAATAATGTTTAGTAGAATAAATAAAAATAGTATGTTTTTTTCGTTTAATGAAATATGTACTGCATACACTTGGGTTTTGAAGATCATGTAAATTTTATCATAATACATTATCCATGTTTCTTTTAAGAAATGTTATATTAGTTTAAGTGTTCACTATTACATATTATGAGTCTGTATATTTGTTTTATTTTTTTACAAAACCTTCCCAACTTTGATATTAACATATTGATTTTTACATATAGGAAGAAAAATAAACAAGTTATCTACTCATTCTTGTGCTGAGACAGTTTTTCGAATGAGTGATTAAAAAAACGACTATTCAAAAGTGCTTAACCGACCTGATCTGAAATTGTTCTACATGTTGCCCACGGCTACTTACATACACTTTTACCGTCGCGCCGCACGCCATCGACAGGGAAGTCATTATCCTACGCTGTACCCTAAGTGGTGTCGAACATATGCGGTTTCAGAGGAGTTTCTTCCCGCGTATACTTAGATTGTGGAATGAACTACCTGCCGATGTTTTCTCGAGAGACCAAAGCATGGGGTTTTTCAAGAAGGGCTTATTAAGATTTCTTAAGGCAAAGCACACAAAACCTCATTCTCATCCTATAATCTTTCACTGGAGCCCCGCCAGCGTATATCGTGCTTACACATGTAATATTTGTGCCAACACTGCACACTACATTAATTTGCGTCTCCAGATAACATAGATTGAAGTTCAGTATAAAGTCAGTCCACATTACGACTCCGCGTTGATTGTACGTAAATAATAAATGTAATGTGTAATTATTACACATGTAAAATACAACAAACGAATATATTTTATAACAACACATCACATCATAGATAACGCTACAATGGTGAGGTGATAACCACCGCGCTACATCGTGAACACAGACAGGTGCACTATTCCAGTATCATCCAATTATAAAATAAAATATCGTCATTCAGCAGAATGTAACTATTGCAATACCCAAATTGTAAGGGGTATATTCGAATAAAAAAACTTAATTTAATTAAATACATATTTATTTAAGTACAAAAATATTTACAATAAATACATATTACTATGTATTTTATAAAAAAAAACCTATTGGCGTAGTCAAATTGGATCATGGGAATGATTACTGTACCTCAGTAGTGTAATAATTTAATGTGCTAAACCGTCGGGTTAATATTATTATCACAGGGAGGATTATTATTCTTAATTTACGAATATTTCGACATTCTTATGATTTTAGAATTAGATTATAATTTTGTACAATAAATTCGACACAATAATTATTGTTAAAATTTAAGAAATAATAACTGACATTATATCTAATTGACAAAACAATATTTATAGAAAATCATGACAAAAGTATGATTTGCATAAGAGACCTAAAGGTTCTATATGAATAAATATCAAAGAAAACTGACAAAGGCATCAATTTACATAGTGAACCATTTGGAGGCGGCAGTAGAGTTCAGTAGTCTGCAGCTGTGTTGGCCAAGTAGTCTCGTCTGCCAATGTTGGACGCTTGTTTGTTCTGCACAGCTTCCAATTTCGGACATTCTGAAAAAAAAATTTAAGTTAAATTTAAATTACCAATTAAAATTGACACAAAATCTGTTTTAGTGACAAATATATAGAGACTGTCCCAGATGTCGATAATTTGGAACTGTTTTGAACGGTTTGTTGATTTCTGTGACTATGATTTTTGGGTGAGTCATAACAGTTATCAGAAAAGACTGACGGTCTTTTCACTACATATATGTATTTTTAATATTTAATTTGTTTTGTAATCTCAAATTCTTTAAATGCTGACCTATACTTTAAAATTTAGACCTGCTGCTTGAAAGTAATGTCACTTTTTTCCTAACCAAAAATTAAAAACCAATACATAACACAGTTTTAACTGACCAGACTAAAAAAAAACACTATGCGGGTTTGGCAAGTAACTTTAAAACAGGAAAAGAATTCCAAAATAATATGACACTTAATAATTTATTACTTAAATTGCGAACATTTAATTTTTTCCTATAAAAGCTAGTTTTGAACATGTATACTTAAAAATGATTCTAATCTTTAATTCTTTTTTTAATTATAATTCTAATCGAACCATGGATTTCCTCCGGGCCGTAACGTTTAAAATTTCAGTTGGAGTGAGATGGACAATGTCATTATAAATAAAGTGTGAGTGGGACAGTGAAAGCAAACATAATTTAAAGTACAATACTTGCAAGGACCACTATTAAAATTAATTTGAATGATCATGTATAAATATTAAATATGTGTGTGTAAATCTCACCTGTGATTCTGTGGCCCAGACCACCACAGTAGGAGCACCCTTGGCCATCTGCCACAGGCACATCTGGCTCTCCGATCATGTCCAAAAGGAACGGAGGCACCTATAAACATATAAAATTGCTTATCAACTTTAAGGATAGTCGCAATATATAATTATACTGAATAGAACTATTTTTTATTAAATACACAATTAAATTGATAAATATTTTTTTTTTTATAGTTTGATATCATATTATAATTATGTATATATTATTTAAAACAAACGCCATTAAAACGCGAGAATGAACGCGTTTTTTTTAACCTACCTATATAATCACACACCTGTCAGGCCTTCCGCAGCAGATGCACCAGGACCCCCAGCACGCTGTCACCAGCTATTCTTACTCCCAGGCCTCATTAACACCTGCTCACCTTCTGTCCGGCCTCCCGCAGCAGATGCACTAGGTCCCGCAGCACGCTGTCATCCGCTGCTCTCCCCAGCAACGTGGTGGCGACTCCCTCGCCGCCAGCTCTCCCCGTACGGCCGATCCTGTGCACGTAGTTCTCGATATCCTCCGGCATGTCGTAGTTGATCACATGCTGGATGTTAGCGAAATCCAAGCCTGGAGAATTAATTAATTGGAAATTAATATTACTTTGGTGTGTCCAGAAAAAATCGAATTTCATTAATCCATAATTAATACATGTAGCAAAAACTTTAACCATGAAATTTCGCACACTTATAGTTTATATAGAGTGAGGAGAGAATGCTAATATATTTTAATGTATGCATAAAAAATGTATTAAGACATTAAAAAAAACATTACAAACACTACATAGTACATTTTACACTCTCACGCATATATACTCGTTTATTTATTGTTAACTAGCTACTCGCCCCGACTTCGCCCGGGTGTATATGTACATATAAACCTTCCTCTAGAATCACAAAATCCGTTGCGTAGTTTTAAAGATTGAAGCATACATAGGGACGGACAGACAGCGACCGCGACTTTGTTTTATACTATGTAATTAAATCTGTGGTTAAATTGAGAATAGATTAATATTTAATATATATCTTGTCTTATCGTGAGATCAGGGAATACAAATAAATATATATACATATAGTTCATATGTGAAAATAATAATATGAACCTATTACCTTTGCTAGCTACATCCGTAGCCACAAGCACGTCCTTCTCACCGCGCCGGAACGCCTCCACGGCTCGCGACCGTTCCTCCTGGTCCTTGCCACCGTGTATCGCAACTGCTTCTACACCTGCATTATATAGAATAATTTTACTAAAATTATAAACTCGGAAATTTTCAAGTATCAATATGTATGAATATACATATTACATTATTACGATACAATGGATGAATGTTTGTTAGTCTTTCATGCAAATAATACAAAACTAATTTTGATGCAAATTTACAGTAATATAGCATATACATCAGAATAAAGATAATTATTATTATTATTACATATAACTTTAACATCGTACCTATCTATACAATCGTATAGATAGGTACGATGGAATATTAGATATATAACATCAGAATAATACATGATAATACAATAAGACTTAATTGTCACAACAACGCCCCCCCCCCCATCCCCCGCTTTGTCACAGTTAGTTATACTGTTAACAGTAAAACAGTAAGGAATATCATGTGACGTTAGTTATAAATGGACCTTTACCGCCATCTCTCATCATTAAATAATTCCACTCACCTTTCAACAACAAATACTCGTGTATAGCATCCACGTCTTGTTTCCTCTCAGCGAAGACGAGGACAGGTGGTGGTGTCTTCTGGAGACACTGCAGCAGGTGGACCGTCCTCGCTTCAGCTTTCACCGGCTCCAGCTCTTGGCGAACGTTGAGGGAAGCGGCCCCTGCACGACCTACGTTCACTGTGACTGGTTTCACTAGGGCTGATCTGGAGTGATAACAAATAAGTGAGGTTAGAATAATAATCCAGTATTTTTCACGCAGAGCCATCTAGTCCCAAGCTAAGCAGAAGAATATAGTCACTAGAAAATTCTTTATTCTTTATAGAAATTTATATATGTATATACTAGCTACTCGCCCCGGCTTCGCCCGAGTGTACATGTCATACATATAACCACATATTATTTATTTATTTTTAAGGATTACCGACATAAGATACAGCAATAATAAATTTGTTATCATTCTATACAATTCTAATGGTCTTAAACTAACTGTTCTCATAATTATAGGTAACCACAGCATGCTTTGAGTTACAAGATTATATCACTACTATTACATATGTCATTAAAATTAATTAATAAATTAAATTTAAACTTAAATGCTACTAACAACAATACAATAAACACATATTTGTTATATACGTTGTGATATGACAAGGAACGTCAACTTTTGAGCTTAGTTATGAACTCGGAGTGATTGTCAAAAATAATATCAAAATCAGGATTTTCCTCTGCAAGATCGTTGTACAGGCGCGATAAACGGACGACAGGTGAAACACGACCCAAATTAGTTCTGCAAACTTTACTTTTGAATAAGTTGCAAGGATGGCGTGGTATTCTTGTGGGTATTATACATATAACCCTCATCTACAACCACTCTATCTATTAAAAAAAACCCGCTTCAAAATTTGTTGCGTAGTTTTAAAGATTTAAGCATTCATAGGGACGGACCGACAGCGTCAACGACTTTCTTTTATACTATGTAATGATTATCTTATATATATATTTTTGACATGTCTTATGTATATTAGTCACCGCCAACAATCTTTCTCCGCACCACTCATGGTTGCCTGGTAGATAGCGCTTAAGCTATTAAGTCCACTATATGTACACTATATGCTCGTGCATTGACATTAAATATATAATAAATAAAATAATTAAAAACTGATAGAAATATTTAAATAGGTTTTATATGTAAATCTATCCCTTATCGTCCGGTGAAGCTGTAAAGGCCAGCTGCGGCCAATAACATTAGAAACAAAATGGCAATTACCTGGCAAAATTCTGAATCTTCCTCGGCATGGTAGCACTGAACAGCAACGTCTGCCGCTGACCAGCGAAGTATGAGAATATAGTTCGCACGTCCTCCTCGAAACCCATGTCTATCATGCGATCAGCTTCGTCCATGCACAGGTACCGGCACACATTCAAGCGGACCTGAGTTCGATTTTAAAGCTATTTTATATTGTTAAAAATATTATTCTGTTAATTTTTTTTTATACTACGATGAAATAATTACATATATTAATCTGTACAGAGGTTGATTTTAATATATATCATATTATACTTATTATTATTTTCCTTCATCATCACTATATGTTTGTAATTTTTCTCCTGTTTGTATATTACCTACCTGTTTGTATAATCGTTTCCCTAAGGTTGCCTTGAAAAGATTACTTTCAGCAATAAGGCTGCCTTATTGTAACTATACATGTGTCCTTTAATATATTGTTTAAGCATTTTCTTTACTGTAAGTTACAAATAAAGTATATTTCATTCTATCTTTTTAAAAAAGTTACATTCATTAGTCTTTGTTTTTTCTTTCTTTCTTTCTTCTTTCTTTGCTAAGAAGGCGTAAAAAAAATTAAGTTCAAAATTAAAGAACGAACAGATAAGTAAAATATTTTCTATAACTCACATAATAAATTTATTAACAGAGTTTCGTCTCTTATTAAGAGGCCAAATATTCTAACAGGTTATCTACTAAGTGACGTCGATGTGTTGATGTTTTTCTTACCATTTTCTTATCGAGCATGTCCATGAGTCGGCCCGGCGTGGCCACCATTATGTGCACTCCTCGCTGTACCACCTCCATACATTCCGACACCGCCACACCTACAACATTGTTAATATAATATATGTATACATTTTACTAGCATTGTACTTATGTTTGTACTTAGGATACCCAGTTAAATTTGGTAGGAGCCTACTAATGCAGTCTTAGATACAGGTTCTAGTACAGTGCTTACTGCAGTTCTAGATTGGCTAAGATATTTTAGAATATTGTACAGAGTTTTGGTTGGTATACCTCTCGCTTTCTCTTCAACCGTATATAAATTAACCACATAATATATAATCGTAATATAAATACTTTTTCAGTAACTTAATCCAAGAGTAAAAACTCACTGGCAGTAATAATTCACCTTCAATGGCTAGACAAACTCACTGCCAATAGTAACTCACCTCCAATGGCTAGACATCTCATCTCATCATCATTTGTTATAAACTTTTGTATGACTGGAGATAGATTTTATCTGCCTAAAAAACAAATAAGAAATATAGCTAGTTTACTAGCTTATAATATAAATGACCCCATTATAAGTAATATAATGGGTTGCACTAATCCAATTAGTAGTATTTGTACTAATGTTAATACTAAACATTCTGAAAATATTGACATAAATATTGATTCTAGTAAGAATCCTTTTATTTACAATAATTTAAATATGACTGCAGATTTAAACTGCTGAAAAAGACAAAGGGAAAGCTATCAGAATTGAAAATTGTTCACCAGAACATACAAAGTTTTCTCGGCTGTGAATTAATTATTCAATTGTTTTTAGAAAAAAATAATATAGATGTTCTATGTTTAACTGAACATTGGCTCAAAGTGAGCAATATGATGTTAAGCTTAAACAATTATAATATTGTCAGCTGCTTTAATAGAAAAATAGTAAATAGAGGAGGTTCCATGATATTGGTGAAAAATAATATAAAAGTAAAAGAACGTAGTGATATTGGCAATCTTTCCGTTGAGTGTTGTATTGAAATTTCCTGCGTGGAACTAGAAAATTATATAGTTATGTGTGTATATAGACCTCCAAATAGTGATTATAATTTATTTGAAGAGGTAATGGAGGATATTTTAAAAAGAGTATTTAATATTAACAAAAAATTTATAGTGTGTGGTGATTTCAATGTTGACATTTTATCACATAACACCACAAAAACTAAATTAATGAGTTTATTTCAATCTTTTGACTTGAGTAATGTCTTCCACGAACCCACTCGTATCACAGCCACGTCTGCTACTTGTTTGGATAACATATTTAGCAACAGTGAATATTTAGATAAAATAATATTAAACAACCTTCCTTCTGATCACTGTGGTCAATTAGTAATTTTTCCAAATCACGTAAACAAAATTAGGAAAATTAATTTATTAAAAAGAGACTTGACTAGTTATAAGATCAATAAATTTAAAATATCAGTTCGTAGTAAATTAGATTTTTGTCCTCAATCTGATGAACCAAACAAACTTTATACAGATTTCTTCAATATTGTTTCTTACGAGTATAATAAGGCTTTTAACAAAAAAACTATCAGTATTAGTAACAAAACAAAATTTTCAGAATGGGCTACAAAGGGAATTCTTAAAAGTAGAAATATATTATTTGATTTATATGATCAAAAAAAATACCGTTTCGATAGTACATTCGTAAATTATGTAAAAAGATACTCAAAAACTTTTAAAAAGGTATGTAATGTAGCAAAGTCTAATTATCTAAATAAAAAAATTAAAGAATCCAAGGATAAGATTAGGACAGTGTGGAATATTATTAATAAAGAAACTGGCAAAGTTAAAAGTCCATATAATGATTTTACGTTAAATTATAATGATAAACTAGTAACGTCCACAAAAGAAATAGTCAATATTTTTGAAAAATTTTTCGCTAGTATTCCAACTGATATTACGTCCTCTTTGGACTCTTCTCCAAGTACAGCTAAATCATTCCTTATTGACAATGTTGCTTCGTGTCCGGTTACATTTAAATTTACATTTATTGACATTGCTACAATTACGAAAACATTTAAACAATTAAATTTAAAAAATACTGAAGACCATTGGGGCATGTCTGTTAAAGTTATTAACACCGCTATAGATGTTATTGCTCCATATTTAGTAACTATCTTCAATAAATGTATTTTTGACGGTGTTTTTCCCAATTTAATGAAACATAGTAAAATAACTCCACTTTTTAAGTTAGGGGATAAAACTGAAGTAGGTAATTATAGGCCCATTTCTATCTTACCAGTACTAAGTAAAGTGTTTGAAAAAATTATGCTCAATCAGATGCTTCACCACTTTAAAATAAATAGACTGCTTCACAGTCGGCAATTTGGTTTCACGGCCGGTAAATCAACTACTGACGCTGGTGTAGCTTTAATGAAACACATTTTTGACTGTTGGGAGAGGTCACAGGATGCTATCGGTGTATTCTGTGACCTCTCAAAAGCATTTGATTGCGTTGATCATGAAACACTCTTACTCAAATTAGAATATTACGGTATTAGATATGAAGCACTATGCATGATGAAATCCTATCTAAATAATAGAATGCAAGTTGTTGAAATAAATGGTGTAAAGTCTGAGGGAACTAGTATTAAAATGGGTGTTCCTCAGGGCTCTATTCTAGGTCCTTTCTTATTTTTAGTTTACATAAACGATCTTCCTTATATGGTAGAAAAGATAGCTGACATAGTTCTGTTTGCTGATGATACTTCATTAGTATTCAAAGTCAATCGACATATTGATGATATGGACGAAGTAAACGGTTCTCTCTCTTATGTTTTAAAATGGTTTACGGCAAATAATATGCTACTAAATGCAAATAAAACTAAATGTATCAAATTTACTCTCCCCAATGTAAGGCCGGTAGATTCAAAAATCGTATTGGACAATAAATCTATTAATTTTGTTGACGATACTGTATTTCTAGGTATCACATTAGATTCCAAGTTGCAATGGGGTGCTCATATTACTAAATTGGCGAGTCGACTTAGTTCTGCCGCTTACGCGGTAAGAAGAATTAGACAATTAACAGACGTGGCAACGGCTAAACTTGTCTATTTTAGCTATTTCCATAGCATTATGTCGTATGGTATTTTGTTATGGGGCAAAGCAGCTGATATAAATACAATATTTACTTTACAAAAGAGGGCCATTCGCTCCATTTATGGTATGGGTTCCAGGGAGTCATTGCGAGAGTGTTTTAAGGAATCAAATATCCTCACCGTTGCTTCTCAATACATTTATGAAAATATCATCTATGCCAGAAGGAATATAGACAGTTTCAAAAGAGTTAGTGATTGCACTAATAAAAGCTTACGTAACAATAACAAACTGATTTTACCTAAATGTCGTTTGGCTAAAGTTAGTAATTCGTTTTATGGCAATTGCGTAAGGTTTTACAATAAAATACCAGAGTCTGTTATAAATCTGCCAGAAAAAGATTTAAATGTCAAATAAAACAGTTCCTTTGCAAAAAAGCTTACTATAAAATTGAAGAATTCGTTAACGATAATAATGTTTTTATAGAAAAACTTTAAATCTATAGCACTGACAATATTATCTGATTACATTAATAATGAGTGCGTAGCGACTTCTATGTTGATTATCGCATGCCTCTTACTTGTTATACTGTAATTATTTATATAAAAAAAAACATCTATTAAAAAGAGCAACACACAAGTTTCTTGCTCATTCTTCTTGTGATGAATCTGCATTCCGAATGAGTGGTAGAATCAAAATATGACTATTCAAAAGTGCTTGTAATGAGTTTATTTGAATAAAGATTATTTCTATTTCTATTTCTATTTCTCACTGCCAATAGTAACTGACCCACAATGTCTAGACAACTCACTGCCAATAGTAAGTCACCTCCAATAGTTAGACAACTCGCTGCCAATAGTAAGTCACCTCCAATAGTTAGACAACTCACTGCCAATAGTAACTGACCCCCAATGACTAGACAACTCACTGCCAATAATAACTCACCTCCAATGGCTAGACAACTGCGTATTTCCGGGTTTCCGGCCATCTTGAGACTCCGCACGAAGTGTTGTATGATGTCGTGTGTTTGCTTGGCAAGTTCCCGGGACGGACAGATGATGAGACCGTATGGACCTTCGTTTCTGTAAACAAATATTTAATTTAAATTATAAAAGGAAATCAATTTAATTTTTATTTGCTTAAGACACAAAATTTAAAGTTGTATGCAATTGTAACTACCTCATTATATGTAAAGGTAATATTTGTTTCTTTAACTATCTCTACATAAGTGTATGACACATGCAAACTCAACTAATCTTATGATGGGGACGGGGATTGTTAGGACGTCAGGTTGACCTCCACGCGGTTTCCCCTGGAAACTATGGTGATAAATATCAGGTAAATCTGCCACGATGGGCTAACTGACGACCTCATGCTCATCTCATCATCCTCCACTGGTACCTCGCCAGCGCAAACCGTAAACGCAGGCGAGCACCTGTCCATTATCATCCATCACAAAAAAAACTAACCTTATGAATGGCATCTTCATCTCCTGTTCAAGACAAAACATGATGATGGGTAATGTGAAGACCAGGGTCTTGCCCGAGCCTGTGAACGCTATCCCGATCATGTCACGCCCGCTGAGCACCGCCGGGATACCCTGCACTTGGATGGGGGTGGGTTTCTTGATACCTTTAGCTTCCAGTCCTCTCAAAATGCCTGCAAATATGTTATAGTCTTACAATTGTCATGAGAATAGAATAGAAAATTCTATATTCAAATAAATACATTTAAGCAATTATTAATAGTCACTACTTTTTTTTTTAATTTACCCTCCGAATGAGTTAATTCAAGCTGTCTCATCACAATACATTATATATTACACTCTAGTGTTAGGGTTCACATCAATATTGTCGAAAAAACTGATATTTTATATTAAAAGAAGGTAGTTTCATTATTACTCGGTATCGTTAAACTAGTTGCATATAGCCCCCACTCATATCTTCTCTGTATAAAAGGAAGGGTTTTTGTAGGCCGCGGCATTCGGTCTTTGTGCACAGGATGTTCTGGTTGTATTTTAATTGCTAAAGTGAATTGTGTTAGAGACATAGTTAAATTAATGTTATATAGTTGTTATTTTATTATAATACATACTTTTACTAGAGATTATACATAGAGTTGATATATCTAACACTAATTACCCACCCTGGCTTCGCACGGGTGTACATGTATTATACATATAAACCTTCCTCTTGAATCACTCTATCTATTAAAAAACTGATTCATGAACAGTTGTCTTTTTTTAAAGATTTAAACATACATAGGGACGGACAGACAACGACCGCGACTTTGTTTTATACTATGTAATGATTACGTCATACTACTTGATGGATTTACAATACAATTTGTTTAATTCCATTCCAATTAGTAAACGGTCGGTGTTTGATCATTATTAGAGAAGGTCGGAACCAATTCATGATGAGTTTATATACTTCCTTACCTTTAGGAAACTTCATGTGTTGAAAGGTTCTGATTGGAGGCGGTACATCTTCACCTTCGACTAAAATACGCAACTGTCTTCTGACCCTATCGTGCCGCTCCTCAGACATGTCCAGTATTGTCCGCGGTGGGCGCCATGACGTCTTTATAGGATCCTCATACTGAATACCTGGACAAATGTATTTAAGGTAATAATTAAAAGCATATGTGACGACCTCGGTGGTCTAGCATTCTAGCATACCGCTTTACGACCGATGGTCGCGGGTTCGATTCCTCGCACATATGGCAGTGAAATTACAGTTTGTAGTGACAGTACAGAGGAGTGATAACTTAGTCCTCATAGACAACATACATACATAGACATGGACAGCAGCCACCAAAGCAGTTCTCTGTAAGCTATGTTTAGGTTGGATTGAGATATGAAAGTGCAATTACAGTGTATAGAGGAGTGACATGTTAGCCCTAGAATGGCGATGTATCAGACATGCTAAGGACATGGCATGCATGGCAATGGCAATAAGCATGTTTATGGTGCTGTATATAAAGGTGACAGTTACCACTTAACTTAGGGCTTAGGTAACGAACTTGTGTAGTAGTGTAGCATACTCATTAATGAAATATCTCCTTTGGAAAGTTTAAAAACCATTGCAACTATGAAAATCCTTTAATTCTTGTCCCTGACGAATCTTGGAAAAGGGTGAGTACAATAGATCTATGTAGGTCGCAGTGTAACAAGTCTTAATACCTGACAATAGCCCAAATCCCTCAATAATAAAAAACTACTTGGCTTAAGGCAGGCCATCATTTGCTATTTTCTGTTAAAAATAATATTTTTTTTTTATTATTCCATTTATTTCTGATATTTATCCATCCATATTATGTTAGTAAACAAGTTATAAACTATGTTAGTAAATTACAATTTTATATATTTAATTCATATATTTATATTTATGTCTTTGTCCACGTCCAGAAGCCCGGGATCCGCAGCAATGCAGCGATATCCAGTGCCCCTGAAGTGGACAATCGGACATATTGGATATGGTGTTTATAATGCTTCTGCTAAATTGTGTAATAATAAAAATACCTTTAGCCAGTTCAGCAACACCCATCAAAGCCTTGCTTTGCGCAACACTCTCAAGTATATGCTCCTCTTCTCTTGCTTGTCTCTCGGCGGCGGATAGTGCTCGAGCCTCAGCTATACGCTTCAGTTCGCTATGTTGATCCAGTAGAGATACATTGTATCGGCGGCCCCACTCTTCTTGTGATGCTGAAAGTAATTTATATTGATAGGTAAAATTATATATAATGGGGACTAGTGATCCCACTGCCAGCTAGGAACCCAAGCCCCAGTAGATACAAAGGGCCCCAAGCCCCCACTGAAAACAATAGGTGATATTTTAAATGAAAAAAAAATTAGAATATTATAAAACTTATTAGGTTGGTAACCCTGAGATCAACCAACCCATGCTTATGCACATCTATGCTAGTTTACAGGGATTTCTGTCCCTTGTTTTTGGTATTTTTTATTTTTATATAATTAGGAAGGCTGCTAAGTAGTTTTACTACACATTTTATGTGGTTGTAGACCACTTATATTTCCTTTTGTTTACACTCTTGAGGTATCTTGAGGAGATAAAAATTCCCAATAAAAAAAAGTAGTTTTAACTGAGGACCTTACAAATTCAACATCTGCCTATGTTGCCAGCGATGTGTGGTAACATGTTAAATATTACTCATAATATGAGTTAAATCCCGAGAGCATGCTACCCTCCATTCCGCCACAGACACCTGAGCACTCATCTCACCTCACCTGAGCATTAACCTTTTGTTTTATATTCTAATTCTAGCAGTGCTGCGATTTCACCCGCCTGTAATTTATAGCTTATATCCTGATGTATAAGCTATATTTCTGAAGTTTCATCAAAATCTATTCAGTAGTCTTGTGACTGTGAATGTGAAAGAGTAACAAACATGCATACTTATAAACTCATGTGTTTATAACATTATTAAGATTCAGATATTTAAACTTTGTCATTTACCAACCAATCCAATTACAGTACACTGATTGCAGATATACAAGGAACAAAAAAAACTTTGAAGTAAATGCTTCTGTTAAATTGTGTAATTATGTGTCAATTAACAAAGGTTTTGAATTTGAATATAAAGAGTGACTGACATAAACAAGGATTGGAGTGAAAATACTGCTATACTGCTACATAAAATATTTATAGTATAGAATAATACTAACTCTCGTCATCAGGGTCATTGTCGCTGGAGCTTTTCGTTTCGGCGGCAGCCTCGGCAGCAATCTGGCCTATTCTACCAAGTTTCAGTAACTTCTGTTTCTTGCGTTCTTTAACAGGGATGTACGGTTCATAATTATCTACATCTTCTTCTGAATCTGAGGATTTCTCCTCTCTTCTGTATCTTTTGATAGGAGGTGCAGTATCTCCTGTTTTTCCAGACATTACAGCTTTACTAACCACAGAAAAAATAAACTAATAACCACAAATTAGTAATAATTAATTATCACGAACTATTTATGTTCATTGTCAACAAATATTCGTATTTTTGTGGCCCTTAATAATGCATGTAATGGTAAATTTCTTTATGAAATATTCCTTTTGGTATATTTACTTTACTCTTTGATGAAATAATAATATTAAAAGTAAATATTATTCGTTTAGTTTGACAGATACAGCACAGATAAGAAAAGGATTAAAGAGTCTGTGACTCTGTGTCAACATTCCGAATGTCAACAGCACGATCAAATATATTATATAAATAATGCATAATTTAACTTTTACAATCTTTTTTTTGTTAAGAAAAAAATCGCAATAAATAATACAAAAAAAATCTTTTCAAAAACCAGTCACCAAATATGGTACTACTTCTGAAGTTAGGTTTAGTTAATATTTTTTTATATGTGTAATAATATCCCTACACAGAATACTCCTAGCTTAGATTTTATAATTAAAGTTAGTTTTAGAGGTTTTAATAACCCGCCCCAAGAGGCTATCAATTCAGTCACCCGGGAGTTGTTACCCCCGGAGGCCCCAACCTTCTACCCTCCAGGGGGTGCAGAAGACCAGTCAAATCAGACAAGTCAGTCAGATCAAGTGGCAGTGAAGTTTGTATTTTTTTGTATGGAGCCTTCATACAAATTTCTCTGTTATAATTTATTTATAATTTTCCATTATCGTTTCACAGTAATAACGTTTTATGTGATTTGTACTTGCGCTGTCTCGTGTGTGGTGACCATATTGAAAATCAGCACTGTTGTATGACTTAGTTCTACTACAGTATAAATGCTGAGTAGGGGTTATTGTGCGTGTAAGATAAGAACATTCAGCGTTACAAGTATGTTTTAACTTTTAAGTTGTATAGCAAAATATTATTGTGGACAAGAATATTGATGTAATGCTGAATAAATGTCTTTATTGTTATTATTATTTAAGCCTTGCATTCCATAATGTACTAGTTAGTAGGTGGTTAAGTTGAAAGCAGATTAATTATGGTCCCTGTTAGGCATAACTACCAGAAAAGAAGGGAGGAGGACGAGTTCATTGTTATGTAATTATAAAATGTTTGAAATTGAAATTGCTACTGGTTTGAATTTTGGCTAAAATAAAATCAAGATGAAGGCCATACAAAAAAGTCTTGCTGTCATGTAAGTGTCACTGTCAGCCTGTCATATCAATGCAATAAAAAATTGTCAAAATATGCAAGTGACACGTAACTTCACGTAATTAATTAAATTACATTTTCGCGACCTCCAAATGTGTAAATTAATGAAAATTTGTGTTCCGACTAATGTATAAATTCATGACAATATGTCCGACAAAAGTTTTGGTGATCACACAAACAAGAACGTTCTGAAAAATCCTCTCCTCTCGTCCGCCGTGACTGGTCTGTCTCTCGATGATTTGACACATAACGCTGTTTTGCTGCCTGTTATACAAAGCCAGGAGTCGATCCGACAACAAGGTGAGTTTTAATATTTATTTTTATCACATGTCTACGTTGAAAACTCAATCAGTGCGACCTTGGTAATACAAACATGCCAACTGTGTGACAGAGATTTTGCGCGCGCGATACCAGCGTCATTACTGCGCTATTCACTTATTATTTTCGGAAATAACAGTGTTTTTTTGTGCTTTCTGTAATCAGCTTTATAGTGTATCTGTGCGTACGTTTGTAGAATAAAAATATTGTACAATAACAAGGTGTAAATACAGCGTTAAAATATGTCATCGTTTTTGTATAAGTCATATAGGAATGCACCTTTCGACAATGGTTTCGTACCGGAGATTCGTATGCCGACAAATTTCAAGTACAAAAAGGTTGAGAAGTATCTCACTCATGTTTTATTTGTAAGTTTAAATCTGTAGGGATGTGTCAATTTGGTGTAATCGTGATCACAAGTGTGTTATTTTATATAATTGAAATAACAAACAAACTAAGGGCCCGCTTGATGGTAACTGTTGCCTATGTACATGAACAGCTCTATGGACATCACATTATCATGTGATACATGCAATACCACTCATGCATTCCCATTTCAGAGGACTACCATGTATAGTATTACTAGCTGTGCCTGCGACTTTGCATTGTTATCAAAAACACCATTGCAATTATCTTTGGAAGCTCTCAAATATGAATAATTTTCCCTGTTTTTGCAATATTTTTCACTGATGCTTAGCTTCTATTGGTTGTATCGTAATGTTATATAGATTAAAGCCTTCTTCGACAAATGGACTATCCAACACAGAAATAATTTTTCAATTCGAACCAGTAGTTCCTGAGATTAGAGTTTCGAACAAACAAACAAACTCTTCAGCTTTATAATATTACTGTAGATCACAGGGCAATAAAAAATACAATGACAGTTGTAATAAATATATTTAATTGCATTTTTTTAAACAAAAAAATATGGCTGCTCTTAAAATTAGCACTTAAAATATAGAAGCTACCCGTATTAGTAAAGTTTTACATTGTTAGTTGTATAAAATATACTAAGCTTGAATTAAGGTGGAATATAGAAGAATAATCCTATTTCACCAAGACATAAAGTTGAAAATTGATTATTTTTATGTAATTATAAATATTTTTTATGAATAGTCAACAAACTGATGACCTACCTGTTTTAATTTAAGTAATCAGCATGATGGACTAATAATATACCACTCTTGCATTGCCATTAAGGACTATGTCATGCCTCTTATCCTGTAATTTGACTGCCAAATCTACAACCAAAACACAGCACATCACATTATCATGTGACAACCGTAATACCACTCATACATTGTCATTCGAGAGGACTTAGATGCCCATGCCACTTATCCTGTAATTTTACTGCCTAACCTGCAAACTACATCTGAAACGTGTCTTACAAAGCAAGCATAGAAATAAGTGAGAATGAGGGTGAAAGTACTAGGAGTTAATGTCCATTAGAATTTACCCACAGTACAAGAAGAGCTTGCTAGCACATACTCCAAATACAAGACTCGGCTGAGTGTCTAATGAACTAGCTCAGAGGTTACTGACAACCCCCCAAAAAATATATGCACATAAATGCATAATAATATATAATAATAATAATTTCACTTTGTTTCTCTGGGAAGTTTTTAGTTTTTATCAAAGATTCTACCTAGATTTTAGCTTAGTATACAGTATACAATTAAGTCTGTATGATTTTTTGTAAATAACAATTAATAATGTTGTAATTACTCTAATTAAAACAATGTGTTATTACATATTAGAAGCTATGTTGCCAACTGATACTAAAATATATATATTTTAGACCATAAAAAACCATAAAAAATAGTATCCATCAAGAAACTAATTGTAACAATCAGAGCTGAAATGGTTTGTTAAATCACTAGAACGCATAGACAATTTTATAAACACTTTGGATGTCAAGATGTTAATATGATAAAGAAAATATTTTTTTAAATTGTCATACTAGCGTTCCACCCTGGCTTCGCACGGGTGCATGTAAATCTTTTAGTGTGGATTTTGTATACTATAATATGCAGTATATACTATAATATGCTGTATTATACATTTATTTATTAATATAAAACTTCCTCTTGACTGACTTTGTCTATTGCCGAAAGCTGCATTAAAGTTGGCAACTTTGTTTTATATTATAAAAAAGTAAAGAAGTCTAATATGAAATTAGAAGATATTCTAATCACAATTTCCATTATTTGATATTTAAAACTTTACTTAATGTAAAAATGCCATTCTACAGAATGGTTTGATGATAAAATAAATATAATAAATTATGTTTCTATTTCTTCTCAATATGGAGCAACAAAATAATATAAAGTAAAAACTAAAATTACTGCACTTGCATTAGATGTTACATTTTTTAAGCTATTATATTTTAATTTTAATAAAAACACATTAATATAAGCTCTTACACTTAAATCTAAAGGTAACTTAATAGTAATATTTAACTTTATTAATACTTAAATTGGAAGCTTTGAAATGTGGTGTCAGAGAAGGATGGAAAGAATTAGCTGGAACGATAAAGAAATGAACAAACACAGGGTGAAAGAAAAAAGGCAGATAATGAATATTATAGAAAAAGGAAGAGGGAAAACTTTAGGACACTTGATACAACGCGATGAATTTATAGAAGTTATTATTGAGGGAAAGAGGGAGAGAGAAAGACACAGCTACATCAACCAAATTAAAGACAGAATTGTAGTCTTGATGTATAAATGTTTAAAGAGCATGATGGAAGTTCGTGGAAAGTGGCAAAAGCTCCACCGACAAGAGTGGCTCTTAAATTATGAATGAATACTTAAACATAACTTATAATCACAAAAGCTCAATTATTTTTGTTCAAATAAATATTCCGAAAGACTTATTAATATTTATCTTATACTTTATTAATATTGCTAGAAATTTGGAAGGATTAAATTCGTATTCTAAATGGCTGCCAAGTCAGAAATTTAATTATGGAATCATTTATCTATTTCATAAACTTAAAACCTTCGTCTTGAATTTCATTTCAAATATGGAACCGTTGTTAATCTAAAAAACGATTATTTATTCATGATCTTCAACCATGAACTTTAGTAACCGTTATTTTTTATTCTAATTTGAATATGGAATTTAAAAATGTTATGTGGTTTATTGACTATATTCAATTTTGAATTTTTAAAATGGAATAGTGTATGGTTGACCAGCCATTAACTTAATTTAGAAAACGTTATTTTTTATTCATAATATTCGTAATTTATTTTCCACTTCGATTTTTAAATATGGAATGATTTGTGGTAATTTCTAACTTATATTTCTTGGTGATGTTGCATATGAGGGTAGTTCTCTTGATTTCCGCTGTCTCTTCACACACCAGTAGATAAGATATATAATAAATGCAATTATTGCTATCGCCAACAATACACTGAGCACGATGGCTGCTATTGCAGCTGGTGTGAAATAATCTGAAAAAATATATAACTTTAATGCATGCAATACAGAGGTAAAAGTACATATGGTACCCTTAAAACCTAGTGGCTAAATCGAATAAAATCAAAATATCTTTAATCACGTAGGTTTATTACAGACTTATGATATGGCAAAATCTACCGTCATTTCGGTAGTGCATTCGAGCAGAGAAGAACTGACAAGAAACTCTTATTATTTTTCAATGAGCTTGTATATGTTTACAAAAATACAGATATTTTTAAATTAAAATTTGAGAGAATAGAGATTTGTAATTTTGTCAAAAGGAAATAGTCTAATCAGTGGCAGTAAGCAGGATAAGCAGCACCCGTTCACGAGTATGACAAAAAACCACTTACTCGATATATCGATGACGTAGCTGTTGGAGTTGCCGAACGAATCGACAGCAGTCACCATGACTCTTGGGGCGCAGCAAGTCGATCTATAGGTGGCAATGACTTCTTCACGGGAACCCGCTATGAAGTTACTGTCGTACATTAATCCGAGAGGGGACGATGACAGCCGAAGTAATCCTGCAAAACAATGTAAAATCACACTTAAATTATTTGTATAACTGATGATAAAAAGCAATTCACAAAATTGTGAAGTATGTGGTACAATAGAGTATGTATATCATTTGCTGATGCAGTGTGTCAGGAACGAGAGTCTACGAAATAGAATAACATCCAGAAAGTAGGATAAATAAATTGGATGTTGGTGCCTTCAGACAGTGCGGCTAAGTTTGTAATTGCGGCAATTTGTTCACTGGTGAGGTAATGGAGTAATTAGGTTTAGGGTACAATGGGACTGGCATGTAATTTTAGATTGTACAAGTCTCTAAATTTTAAAAGAAATAAAATAAAACTTAGTGCATGCGACCTTTAACGTGTTAAAGAGCCCAATGCTGCAGTCTCGCGAGAAAGCCCCGGATTTATTATTGTTGTGATGAGAAAGCTTTCCGAATGAATGGTACTTTAAAAAAAATAAGAAATGACCATTTAAATGTGCTTAAATATAAGTTTATTTGACGAAGAATTTTCTATATTGTTCTATTCGGTCTAGGGCTTTAGCTACCGGTTTACGTCCTATGGTCGTGGGTTCGATATTCAATTTAAACATTTGTATTCATGTGTATGATTGTTTGTATCGGGCTGGGTATTTTCTATGGTATGTAATATGTATGTATTTACGAAAAAAAATCTATGTATTTGTAACAGTTGTCTAGTACCCATAATACAAGCTTTAACTAGCTTAACTTGGGTCTAGATGGCGCTGTGTGAATTGTCTTGAGATTACTATTACTACTATAATATACAATAAAGAGATGCGGTTCTCCTCACATACATTTCTATATGTATACTGAGTGAGTTTAACCAATATTCTATAAAAAATATATAAAGATCTTTTATAACGATATATTTAGAGCAGATTTTGTAACGCGTATAGATTTTTGATGCTCCGCCATAATGAGAGGGTGTAGTGGTTTGGGTGGAGGAAGGATTTCATTTGCTCGATCTACTTGAATTGAATAAATAAAATTAGTGTTCTAAATAATGCATTATCTGAATTATTTGTCAATTTATAATTACGTTATCTATCATCTTCTATCCAGCTTGGCACGCGTGCATACTAATATGGTATAGTGTAGAGCAATTAATAAGTTATTTAACATATCCTGCAGTATAGACATACTACAGGATATCTATTATAACAATAATCAGTAATAAAAATGACGTATTTTGGACATTAATATCTAAATTACCGTTTGAGATATGTTTATGAAATTTGGAACACATTTATTCGCAAGTCTCAATATATGAACCAAATTTGACAGGTTTATGTGAAAGAGTTTTTGAGTTATGCGGGGGTCAAAAGTGGCTCCAAATGATTCGTGTAAAACTGCACACGGTGCTGCTCGACAGTTCTCTTACTTGAACTTGGCTTTGACATGCTCCCGCGTGTCTAGATTTACACCTAATTTGTCATGAACGCGTATTAATTTTTGATGCTCCGTCTTTGCTTTGGGTGGAGGAAAAAATTCATTTGCTCGTCAGTCTATCTTCTAATATATCTGTTTTAATGAAATACTGCTAAAACCAGCCTTTCTTATAACAGAATTCTAATAAGTAATAGTCATAATTTCGATACTTGTTTGAAATCCATTTTAATGAAATACTACTAAAAGCAATTTTGATTTACTTAATACTTGTATTGAATAAATGGAATCGTGACTAAGTAATGCAATATCTGAATTATTTGCCAATTTATAATTATATTATCGATCTGCGCCAGCTTGGCACCGGTGTATAGTAATATGGGGTAGTGTAAAGCAATTAATAATGTCACTAGTTATTTAAGATATCTTTAGTATGTCTATACTACACCTTGTATTCAATATTCACAGCAGATGAACGCGTATGATGATTTTTGATGTTTATATTGAGAGGGTGTAGTGGTTGCCCGTCAGCCTATATTCTAATATATCCTTTTCAATGATATACTGCTAAAAGTAGTTTTGAATTACATGATATGTACAACATGTATAATTGTATACATTATTTACAGCAGATTTATTGATCCGCCTTTGCTTTGGATGGAGGAAAAATTTCATTTACCCGTCAGTATATCTTCTAATATATCCGTTTTAATGAAACACTGCTAAAAGCAGCCTTTCTTATAACAGAATTCTAATAAGTAATAGTCATAATTTCGAGACCTGTTTGAAATTAATGGGGGATCAATAGGCGTAGCTGCCGTACGTACCCGCATTAAAAAGCATATGTCCTTTCTCAGGGTCTAGACTGCCTGCACACAAAATTTCATTTAAATCGGTTCAGTAGTTTTGACGTAAACGAGACAGACAGATAGACTGAGAAAGTTACACTTTCGCATTTGTAATATCAGTAAGGATTAAGTATTAAATATTAATTATCAGTAGTCTAGTACCCATAACACAAACTCTGCTTAACGTGGACCTAGATGTAACTGTGTTAATTGTCCTGAGATTATTACTATTATAATAATATTAATAATAATCACAGGACAATTCACACAGTACCATCTAGACCCAAGTGAAGCTAGTTAAAGCTAGTGTTGTGGGTACTAGGTAACTGATACAAATACATAGATATTTTTCCGTAAATACATTTATAATATACATAGAAAACACCCAGAGCGATACAAACAATCATACTCATGAATACAAATGTTTGTGCAGTACGAGGAATCGAACCCGCGACCATTGGAAGTAAGGTGCTAAACTGCTACACCACCGAGGCCGTCACGTTAGGTAAATATACAATGAAAGACTTACCACCAATAGAGTCCCTTGCGATGACACTCGCTGACCAAACATGCTGGGCGCAGTCATCTCCCATGCGTTGGTAGCAGGTGCCTTGGAAGTTGTGCCGCAACTCAGGAGCCCACGTGTCTATCGTTGCCTCGCCTGAATTTACCACGTAGACGTACGCCGATATTGACACCTCTTCTTGCCCTGCTGACCATAATGTACAGGGTCCATTATTGGTTGGTTAAAAGTTACGGATTAAAAATATACCCCATAAACTTAATTGAAACTAAAGTTTTGTTAGTTACATTTGTATTGAAACAGATTTGCTTTAATAAGCTGGTGATGATTTTAAGTCAGATCATTCTGACTTAACTCTTGGCACGTTTTTTATATTATATTATACATTAAATTTATCAATATCGTAAACTACTGCTGCCTCGAACTAGAATGCTAAAATTTTCCCGCGTTTTCCAATAAGGGGACAATTTTGCGTCCCAGAGTTCATTTCGGGGATACCGGGTCTCGTAATTATAAAAAGGGACAGTCCCGTTAAAAACGGGACGTCTGGTCACGTTAGGTATATTTAATCACGCGCGGTTTGGTCGCCGAATAGTCAACACTGGCTTTCATGCTATGCAATGTCTGATGATGCCTCGTTCAGAGGCGAAAAACGTGTCGCAACGTGTGGCATTTTCTACTAGTCAACCATTGGTGGTGCACAGACTAATTATTGGCGGTGCAAATATAATTAATGATGAACAAAAAGTAACCCAGCTGACAACCCCGGACAGATTGTCCTGGCGCCTCAAAATTTGGAGAGCCAAACCTGCATAAAGTGGGACAGTGCTAAGAGGAAGAAGAAGATAAACAATAAGCAATAAAATATAAACAAAACGATAAACATAATATTCACATATAACCTAAGGGATGCAATAATATATTACATAATGAAATTTGGCATTGCTTACCGTAAGCCGTAAAGGTGACGAGATCTCGTGCTCCGGGTTGCGCCGATGCTGTAATTGTTAGACTTACAATGACGTTGACTGTTTGACCAGACTGTATTGTTTGTCTGAAAATGAAATATGGATTACCTTTTTATTCATATACTGGCCGATCAAGCCGAACAAATCAAATCGTCAATCAATGAGCAAGAGGAAGAGGATTTTTAGTAATGTGCAGGGGCAGATCTGCCTAAGGACTTTTTGGGCTCCATCCAACCCCGTGGATACAAAGGGCGCCCAGACCCCACTGAAAACCACAGGCGATATTTAGAATCTAACATATCAAAAAACCTACCATGAGGTTTACAACTCTGAGATCAATCAATACATGTATAACTTTTGAATGGAACAGGGTCAATTCCCCGTCCCTTGATTTTGATGATGTATTTTTTCAGTTAAGTAATATAATTAGGTAGGCCGCTAGTATAATAGCTTTAGCCCAGGGCCCAACAAATTCTCGATACACTCCTGGTCCATGTCCATATACCAAGTCCGGTTCACACTTGTTTGTATCAGTTGTCTTTTTTTATGCTACGATGGTGACAAATAAATATACGGTCCATCTGATGGTAAACGGTTACAGTAGCTTATGGATGCCTGAAACACCAGGGGTGTCACGTGTGCGTTGCCAACCCTTAAGAAACCCAGATTCCAGAGATTCCAGGGTTTTCATGTTCCCTGTTGATGCCGAGCAATGCGATGATAAAAGGTAACTGTAGGCATCATGTCGAACAATTCTACTCTAGTAACAAGCTCTGGTTAGCTAGGGACTAGATAACGCTGTATAAGTTGTTCAGGGATATTATTATTATTACACCAATCCGTTACAATCTCTATTGACTTGCCATTGTTCAACGAGACATGTAAAGTAATGTGAAACAAGAAATTTTAAAATATTTAATACTTACGATGAAGGATTGATGCCCGTTAAAAATCTCAGTTCTCCAACGGCACCGAAACGAAACGATACCGATTGTGGACGATGGTTTGTGACTTCGAAATGTAACTGAAATGGTATTATCGTTACAAATATTATTGACTCGTTATTTAAATTATTTGCCATCGGGATTGGTAAATGGATAAGTTTGATCTTAAGACTTTATCTTTTTCTATTTGATGCCATCAAAGACTGCAATTATAACTACATCACACCAATTTCATTAGTTAAGTCACAGATAGTGTGCCCAACGTTATAATAGTTTTAATTTCGTGTTTTGCATCTGTAATTATAATGTTCTGTCACAAAATCTAATACCACTCCCAGGAGAGTGCAAGCGTTTAAATTTATTGTCGTTAAATTTTATTTTTAAAATGGAACTCGATTTTCGTTATTAATGTTTTCGCAACTTGTGAAGAATTTTACCTGTAAATTATCACCGGGAGCACCGTAAAGTCTGGTGCTGAGTCCGATTTGTACAGTTGTTAAAAGTGCACCACCTTGGTTGACCACCTGCAAAGCATTGTTATTTAAGTTTTGGCAATCAAGAAAATCTGGAATAGGATTTCGAAACACAGCTAAGTGAAGGGAGCTGGAGCAGGCTTATGCCAAAAGGTACATCGAGTTGCGCGACATTTTGTAAACTACAGTATGTACCCTAACTTTGGGAAAAAAGGCTTTATTATTAAAATGAAGCAGTTATGGAAGTATTTTGAATGATTTGCTTTCATTAATTCTGACTCTCATTATGTTTAATATCTCCAAAGAGAATAATTAAGAAAAAAAATGTTAAGACTATATTCTCTGTCTGTTTGTAGGAACTAGTTAATGAAATCTATATTATATCTATATATAGATAATGCCATACCAATTAGTATGTGCGTCTATCCGAGATCTATGGAAAGAAGAATAATAATATCTACAAATTAGTTACGTACAAAAAAAAATACGATTTATATTATAATAAGTTTTATGCATGTTTTTGATGGTATGCTTTAAAAAAGCGTAACTTACTTGTGACATAGCTCTACTATAAGGTAGAATATTACTGTCATTGTATCTTAGTCTCTGATTGTATATCCTAGAGTTGAATTCCTCAGCAATTTCGAGATCGTTTCTAGAATCAGGGAACACTATAGATGCAGATCTTCCAGTACGTTCAGGTGATTTGCTTAAGGGTCCAGCGAGGCGAACGAACGGATCTCCTGAAAGTTAAAGATCTTGTTAGTTAAAGTTAAAGATCTAGCCTGCATAGTGTTTAGCAGTGAGTGGGCAATGGTCATATGGTACAAACCAAGTAAGAACATAATCTTTTCAGTAAATTCAATAGCTGGTAGTTCAAACATCCGTGGGATAAACTCTTAAGAGTCGTATCTGATGTACAAAGTTTGTCTTAAGCAATAAGTTTTCAGATTACCTTGCAAGTCTCTTCCCACAATCTTAGCGTACACTTTTGATCCCTTCACAGTAGGTAGATCCACTTCAGCGACAACTTCCGTGATGGGAACGTGTATGTTTTCACCATTGTTGTCTGTAGACATCGGTTGGTAACTGCGGAAAAGATAAAGATTTTTACGTCAAGATACGGCGTAAAATCTAAAATGGTCTTCTTCCGCATTTTCTTCTTTCATTGAGGGCATTGTTCATTCAGAGCAGTTATTAAGACAGTCAGCTATGCTCTTTCCATTAGCGATCTGGTAGACCTCTTGTAGTAAGTACATTTGCGCTAAGCAAAGAAAGAAGTGTTCCTTCATTCATTACTTGGTTTACCTAATATTATAACTTATTTCATATAGGTAGGTACCTTTGCGTAGGATATTTCTTTATTTCTCAGCTACGATATCGTGTTCTTTGCTATGTTTTGTCTAAATGAGATTGAAATTTACTCCTCTACTATAACGAATGAGTTTTCTATATTTTCTTTATTATAGTTTCAAATACATTGTGTAAGTTGATTAGAAACATTGTATGTATGTTATATATCCATACTGTCAACTTCACCAGACTATTGACAACTTTGTGTAGTCTCTCTTTGACCTCTGATAACATTTCTCCTCCTCTTTCTTTCTAACAATCAGTAAATCATGAGTTCATGACATGTTATGTTAGTATTCATGATAATGAATACGGATAATACATTATTATTCCTTGATCTTTTCGGGTCGTAAGGTCTACTTACATTCATCTGATATTACCTCTATATTCATAGAATACATATACATACTATAGTGACTCCAGGTTAAAAGACGCATTTTGACAATTGCTAAATAGGTGCGTAAAAATATTGTTATCTCTCTTTTATGTATCATAGAATTATAGTTTTCTCAAAAGGCTGAATTGTGTAATGATAATATGTGCCAAAATATGTGTCCAGGGTTTTTATAATTATTATATTTATTCATAGAACACCTCTTATGCCACCATGTGATTGATGTGCATGACCAAGTGATTGTTTTAAATTAGTTATATCCAGTTGTGCTGCTGCTTTAGAAATACTGACAAGAAATCTGCCAGGAACTAATGTACCGCTTACTTAGAAACTGAATTAACTCAGATATTATACATTTTGTAAATTAGACCTTGAAGCAAAATCATAAAGTCGATTTCAGAAATAGTTTATATTTTGAGTTAATGCAGTTTATGATTAAGTGTGCGAAATTATTTATGTCATTCAATTGGTCAAAACTCTAGGTATTATCTCTAGTATATTAAGATGAGTGATATTATCAATGAGATATAGTACTACAGGTTAAGAGTCTTTGCTATTAGAGCAGGATAGATATACTCCTAAGTAATAATTATAAGATGTTTGTACTCACGTAAACGGCAACTTGGCGAGTTCAGTTCCATACTCGTCGATTAATAGTGAGTCCCTGATGCTAGCCACTGGTCCTGATATCCGAAGCTTCAGCATGTCTGCAAAAGGCAGACAATTTATTATATAGACAGATATTTTTTTTATTCTCAAAAACGTATACATGAGGTATAGATAAATAAATCTACAAATAGAAGAAATGTAGGTGATTCTATATAATTAACGAGTTTCCAATTTTGTGTACAGTCAGGTCAGGTTTCTTAAGGGTCAGCGACACCCTTGGGGTTTCAGGCGTTTATGGTTACCGTAGCCTATAAACGCCTGAAACCCCAAGGGTGGGCCGAATGGTTGTTTTGCCACCATCGTAGTATAAAAAAGCATAATGATAGGAGCTTATCACAATAGGTAGACATGCTCGTTATAAAGTTCAAACTTGTAGCGGCGTGTGGCTCTTTTCTGATGTAAAGCTATATTACTTATTCTAAAGTTTCATTAAAATCCGTTCGGTAGTTTTTGGGTGAAAGAGTAACAAATATCCATCAATCCAATTCTCCATTCGCACTCCCAAACTTCCGGCTTTTAATAGTACATCAACCTGGTTTAACATAAAATAATTTAAAATCATTACGTTTTTGAAGTCAGTAAAATATCTAGAACCCATAACACATGGTTTGTTTAGCGATGGCGCTGAGAGTAACCAAATTAAATCAAATAAATAAAAAATCATTTATTAATTTAGGATATGTTATCCGTTTATGAATGGCAAATTTTTTGGTGTAATATTTTTCTCGATGTGAATTGTTCAGGATTATTATTATTGGTGTAACTTGAAAGCATTTAGAATGTTTAGAACAGGAATGTTGGAATGCTCCGTAACTGTAACCGAATCCGATATTTGGGATAGTATCGGATAGGGGCGGAGCCTAATTGAGACACTTTATGTAACCATTTTATTATCTATTTGTATTTTACTTTGAAATAACTTAAAAAAATAATATCCGTAACCGAAGTTCGGTTACGGATATTATTTTTTTAAGTTATATTATTATATTATTATTTAGTTATATTATTTTTTTAAGTTGTATCCGAAACTAACTAATAATTTTTATATACAAATATAAGTAACTATACAGACATTCTTATTGTTTATTAATTGGTATCCTAGACAATAATGAATGGTCTATGACAAATTTCATATCTGTATCCGGTATAATAGTAATTCCTATATCCGAAACATATCCGTATCCAAAATTTCATATCTATAACATCCCTAGTTCAGAACGCTCACGTTTTTGAAGTCAGTAAACAACGTACAATTTGTATGGTCGTTCTACAATGTTATCACTAGTCTATGGTCATATAGTGGCGTCGTGTCTCTGGCTGCGATAACCCTCGGCCTGATGCACGTCATGTTTCCTTATTTACGTTAATTGATGACGAAACAGTTTGTTTTTTACTATACACAAGACGTCAAGAGTATCTTGACTGTTTGTCCAACACATACATGTGTATTTTATGTATATGTATATATATATTATATTTTTTTAATATATATATATAAACACCTCTTTGGGCACTTTGTTGATCACGCCACAACCTAAACACTTGCTGATTCCACCTTTTGCACTGAATAACTTGACCTCTATCGCGTATATCTCAGGCGGTATGGCAACGTCGCATTCTATTTTGCGATGCGGCCATATATATTCGTCGATAGTACGATATACTCGACACTTTTTTTACTAATAATTCGTGACTGAATGGCTCCGAACGGCTAAATTTTTGGTATACACAAAGACTTTTTGGCTCTGAATATATTCCAAAAATCAATTAATTATGTTGATCACTTTATATACTCGTCCTTACTGCGATACTTATTTTCATCCGAATATATATAGATACCGTAACGGTCTATCAATTATGACTTTATTAATTTACTAATGTAGATATTTTATATTCGCAATGCTCCATACATGCAAGCTCCAGCAACGGTGGAGGCAGGGTCCCCCCTGCACCGTACACCGCACCCCGCGCACACAAACAAATTAGATATTTTTTGAATACACAAAGACTTTTTGGCTCTGTATATATATTTCAAAAATCAGTTAATTGTGTTGATCACTTTATATACTGGTCCTTACTGCGATACTTATTTTAATCCGAATATATATAGATACGGTAACGGTCTATCAATTATGAATTTACTAATCTAGATATTTTATATTCGCAATGCTCCATACATGCAAGCTCCAGCAACGGTGGAGGCAGGGGGTAGCACCGTACACCGCACCCCGCGCACATAAACAAATTAGAATAAATTAAATTCATAAGATTATTTATATATTTCGACTGCCTCGGTGGTCACACCGCTTTACATCCGATGGTCGCGGGTTCGATTTCTCGCACGATGCAAACATTTGTACTCATCGGTCATCGATTGTTTTCATCGGTCTGGGTGTTTTATATGTATATTATATATGTATTTACAAAATAAAAATATCTATTTATATCAGTTCAGTATCAGTCTGTGTTAATTGTCCAGGGTTATTTATTATATTTTTATAAACGGTTATCTTTTTCCATCGCACCGCTCGCTATCGACAGTGAATTCATAGAAATGTCACTCTAAAAACAAAAATAGTTTTGTGTTTTGTATTTCAAATACTAAATGCAAAATAGGTATTTTCAAAATACTTTTTAAAAATTAAGTACCTTTTGAATTTTTGTCCAAACCTCAGATATTTTATTTATTTTAGGTATATCAATCATTACATAGTAATATAAAAACAAAGTCGCTGTCGCATCTAACAGTACATAAACAAAGAAAGAAGACTTTGGCTCTGATACCGTAACGGCCTATGAATTATGAATTTATTATACCTAATCTAGATATTTTATATTCGCAATGCTACGTACATTGTAATATCCGCCTCCATTCATTGTAACGGTGGAGGGACTAAATAGTTGAATAAAACTGAATAAGCAGTTGCTCCACTCTATAGGTACTGCGTCGTCGTCGTATGCTGTTCATTTTTTCACTCGTTTTGGCGCCAAGAGAGGGTCACATAGTCGTGGTCAAGTTAAGAACTTATAATTTAATTTTGATAACAATAGATACAAGTAAAAAGTAGGTATTATATTAATGTACGTAAGTACTGTACTTAAAAATATTTATTCTTTACTGTATGTACATTTGAAAAACTTAACACTTAAGGACTTGTACATATACACGGACATACTGCCATTTTCTCTTAAAGACATCCAGAGAAGCACTATTTATCAAATACGCGGGGTGCACCGACCTTTGACCTTATAACACCTGATTCGCGCGTAACGAATTACATTGCTACTTTTTGGTATTTTATAGTGGATATGTCACTATAAAATATTATTATTTCTTTAGATTATGACATAATAACATAGTTTACATGATTTTAAGGGAAACATACGATAAAAAAAAATCCCGTAAAATGTAAAAGATAAAAAATGGTTATTGTTGGTTATCCTTAAGAGATAGACATATACTATCACGGACTTTTTTGTTGACCTTATTTTGATACATCTCAAAGCACTAGACAACACGCATTTTCATTAAACAGTATTGTATTTTTTTATTTCTTTAACTTTAATGCACAAAAAAATTTGTACATGTGGCGGACTTAATATTTTGCCGCGTTATTTACCAGGCAACCATGAGTGGTGCAGCGAAAGATTATTGGCGGTGCACTAATATAAATAAGAAATGTCAAAAAAAGATTTATAAAGATAATAAAGATAAGCAAAATATACATTTCTATAAAAAAATAACAATATACATACATAAATATATATCTAAATATAACCCATAATAAATGTATAAATATTATATATAAGTAAATACATAATGATCCGATAATCAAATTATAAGTACAGTCTCAAATTGAAAGTAAGAAAATCAGAAAATATAGAGAGAACTATATGGATATAACAGAAAGATGTGAAAAAAGGAGAAGGACAGTAAAAAAGTTACAAATTTAAATAATGTTCCCGCAATTTCTGTTTAAATGAATTTATTACATTATTATATATATTAGGCATACGACTAGCCTTATGACTGTTACTTTTTTTTTAATCTATACATCTATACATGTAAATAAAATTGGAGTGTCTGTTTGTTATATTGAAACAACAATTTTTTCCTACATGCATATGAATATAAATACGGTACATACACCAAAATAACATATTTTACAAGTTTTGTCTGTCTGTCTGTCTGTTTGTTCCGGCTAATCTCTGAAATAGCTGGACCGATTTTGACGGGACTTTTTTTGGCAAGTAGCTGATGTAATAAGGAGTAACTTACGCTACTGTTATTTTAGAAAAATAAAATAAAATTTCACGCGGACGAAGTCGCTGGGGCCAACTAGTCTATAGATATACCGAGATTTAATGTTTAAGTTGCTATTATGTTGTTGACAAAATTTTACTGTAATGTTACTATTACGTTATCCTACACAATTTGTATTATTTTGGATGAATAAATAAATAAATAAATAATAATCTATACATATATACATTTAATAAAAATTGGAGTGTCTGTTTGTAATATAGAAAAAACCGTTTTTTACTACATGCATATGAATATATATAAGGTACATATACCAAAATAACAATTTTTATAATTTTTGTCTGTCTGTCTGTCGGTCTGTTTGTTCCGGCTAATCTCTGAAATGGCGGGACCGATTTTGACGGTACTTTTTTTGGCAGGTAGCTGATTTATAAGGAGTAACTTAGGTTACTTTTATTTTAGAAAAATAAAGTTAATTCCACGCGGTCGAAGTCGCGGGGACAGCTTGTTTTTAATAAAAACGGTTTATTTGATAAAAAAACATCTTTTTTGTGGTACTTGAGAATGTTGAAGCCTGTTGTTTGTAATATTGAAATAACCGTTTTTTACTACTTGCATATGAATATAAATACGGTACATACACCAAAATAACATATTTTACAATTTTTGTCTGTCTGTCTGTTTGTTCCGGCTAATCTCTGAAATGGCTGGACCGATTTTGACGGGACTTTTTTTGGCAGGTAGCTGATGTAATAAGGAGTAACTTAGGCTACT